AATACAAAAGCCATGATTCACGCTAAAATAATATAATAATCAACATATCTTGCTTTTTTGGGGCTTACACAAGTTTTTGTCACTTCCCTGGCGTCACTCCTCTGGTAGTTTTTCTGCCAGGGGAAATACACACTGCCCAGGGGAAATACAACAATACGTTTTTGTATAAGATGTGGAGCTACTATACCAAATTCAAGTTCAAGAGGCAGTAGATCTGAAATAGGTCAGGCATGAGGGGCTAGGCCAGACGCCTAGTGCCGTATTCAGTACTCAAACGCTCAATGTCAGTGTTCATACCAATCTGTCACATCAATCAGCGGGCTGCACCTACGAAGTTGCCTGGGCCACTTTACGGCTTTGAACGGCCTGCTTACTACCTCTTGAAGTTGAATGTGGTATAGACACTATTTCATTAATTTCAGATATACCAAAAAACCATAACTCGCCAAAATGGCAAAATTTAAAAAAAAAACGGATTTCCGAGAGGAAAGGTTGGAGAAAAAACGGCAAGCAGAAAGACTACGCTACCAGCGAATTAAAAATGATCCAAGCAAGAACGGTGAGTTAAAAGAAAAAGAGAAGTATCACAGAAAGAAGGGAAAAGGACAAGTTAGAAGTATAAAAGATCTGAAAGATATGAGATATGGAGATATAAAACTAAAAGATATAGGGATCCTGCGAGGCAAAAAACTATTCTTAATTCTCCAGAGTCACCGCCGCCTTCGGACCATGAAGATCCACACTGCGGTCCTCAAATATTGGACAATAGAGCTTCAGGTACCAAAAGACGCTCAGAAAAACAGAGGAAACGTAGAAATGAGCTTATAAAAAACAAAAAACGAAATTGATCGATTAAAGAAAAAGGTGAAGAGCTTTCAAAGGAAACTACATCACGTCAAAAGTCTAAAAATGTTACCAAAGCCGAAAGTGGACCGATTACTAAAAAAAACGAAACCAAAGTGGTAGGTTTTTGAAAAGTACAATGTTTTAAGCCAAAGCCACTGAGGGAAGAAGTTTGTTAGACGAGACAAGGAGAACAAGAATGAATGAAACTAGAGAGAAGCTAAAGAACGAAATCAAAAGTTTTTCGAAGAAGACTGCAACAGTCGCTTATATATATATATAGAACATACATTTTTTGAGCGATGGCCCTGTGATACCATATCGAAACAAAGATATGTTCTTCTATTTGGCCTGCAAATTAACTGATTTACTTGTGGCCTATGGAAGTGACATATCAACTATTGAAGCCTTTGCCAAAGCTATATAAGAGCACTGCACTGGTATTAAAACGTTTGTAATTTCTGAAGACGATATTGAGCAGCAAAAATCTATTATTGATGCTAATCGGCTGCAGATCAAACCGTTCGTAGGCACATTAAAAGTACACCAAATATGGGAAAATGTTGTTCTACGCCGTAAGATACTAATGAAGAGGCTAAGTTGCTTTTGTAGCAGTATGTGTAGTCACTTCAACATTGGTGAAGTTAATTATCAGCAACAAACTTGTGACAAAATGAGCACTTCTAAAATATTTACTGATTCTCATGAAGAAAACAATACACACCAATGTGTATAAGAGTATCAGCCGCAATGTAGATGGTCCATCTTGTTCAAAATCGACTGATGGCAAATATAAAAGTGATGATTTTATTCTTGTTAAGTATGAACACAAACACAACGAATTCAGATATGCCAGTGTGTGCTCATCAGATTTTGATGAAGAGAATCAGGAGATTCAAGTGACCTTCTTCTTAAAGAACTGCGATAGTGATGGCCTTCTTTTTAAATTAGATGATAATGACATGTCTGACGTAAAGTTGGAACAAGTATTAGAAAGACTGCCAGTGCCAAATATAGTGATGAGAGGAAATAGATTATTTTATAAATTCAAAACTCCTATACCTGTATTCGAAAAATGAATATCTACTCAAATTCACAAAAAAAAGGTTTATATGTTAATTTTATTTTTATGTTAGCTACCGTTTTTCATTTATAGGCACTGATTTCGATTCAAAGACTGACCATAGGTATTATGCCAAATTTTTGTTTTAAGTTTTTATAATGAATGGTTTATGTAACAGTCACTGTGTTCAGAAGACTGCGATTTTTGAGAAGTAACCAAGTTTGGTTTTATTTGTATTATTATTATTACACAAGTACCTAGATTGCCATCTATATTAAGTTGCATGATATTAACAGCTATAGTGGTTTTTACTTATATTAGCTTTTGTGTGAGCAGAGTTCATTCAGCTGATCCAAATGTTAGTTTTTAAGAGACTAATGGACCACATTGTAGGATTATTTTCAATAAAAAACTGTTGACCTTATTTACGTATTGGTATTTATATTCTTTTATAAAGTGTCCTTTAAGATCATTCACATGAGAAGTTGTCACTCTTCTGTCTCAGTTTGTCACTACCCTGTGTATAGTGTCACTCGCCTGACTACACAGTTTCCGCTGGTAGCTGTAAAAACTCTAAAAATCAAAAAACTATCTGGTCCTGTCAGAGATGCATCACAAATAGTATAATCTTAAGACGTAATGAATATGAAACTGAAATAAGTAATTTTTCTTAGGTACCACTAAAAACCCAAATACCTGATATTCACCCACCAAAGCTTGATACATCTTCGGCCCATATGAAAATGACAAAAGGCCACTTCGCCTCTGGTCGATTTTCACTAGATCATACCAACCTCTTTGCTTTTCGTTTGACTGTCTCCACATGAATAGACTTATACCATACTGATCATTGTTACAAAGGATAAAACAATGTTGTATATGGTTGGTCATGGTTACAGGTACTGGAACCAAAGCTATTCAGTACAGCCAATACAAATAACCCAAAATTACTCCCAACAAGTATTTGAGAAGTTGTTTACTGTTTTTACAATGTTTCTGTCTATAACTAACAATTTCAATTGAATAGTGAATTTTAGGTTGTTTTATTTGAATCAAAATTAAGATAGCATGTAGTAGTGTTACATCAGTGAAATTTTTATGGTTAATAGATGATGGAGTAAAGGAGTTTCTAAGATACTTATGAATGGGAAATCATGATTTTTCTATTTTTAGAATCTGTTTGTAGTTGTTGGGCTTATACTTTAGCGTCAAGGTTTAGCTATCTAATAACCACAAAAGCAAGCATTTAGCCCACTTATTTACGAAGTTTTGACTAAATAAGATCGGAACTCGAAAATCCCAAAAAATCTGAAAAATTCATCTCATAAACTAACAAAAAAAAACATATATGGGGGTGATTCAGACTTCCCATAGGGTGCTCTGTGCTTCTGATTATCACCTCTTTTTGGGACACACTGTATATGAGGTGAGTTTTCAGGTTTTGTCTCTGTTGATAACTCCATTATTACTCATGGCATCTATGTAACTTAATACTTGGAAAATATGTTCATCTCTACAAGGTGATTCATAACTACATGGTGACCCAAACATACATTCTTTAAATAGAAATCCTTACAGTTTTTTGAAGATTTGGATGAGGCCTTTCAAAAGAAGCAATTTTATGTAACTTACTCTAGAGTTTTTGTTTTCAAATTGTTGAGATATATGACCAATTATTAGAGAAACACAACTTTGACAACAAGTACTTCCTCAAATCTTACAATTGTCACTGGCCTTTTCAGTTTTTTTATAGTTAATATAGAGTGTTGAAGAACACAAAATGAGTCATTTCTCATAATTTTCAAATGGTATGTTTTCACATTCTTTGATTCCTCTTTGGACATGCTGCTTTTGATAAAGTTTACAGGGGTTTGTGTGATTAGCTTTTGAGTTCTGTAAATCTTTTTTGTAAATCAGATATCAAGCTGAATAAAAGATATTGCAATACTGTTCAAGATAAAAATATACCAATTAACTGATAAAATGGCAGATCATTTACATTGGTATATTTTCTCTATAAATTCAATCTATCCAATCTTATGCAACAAAGTCAGTCAAGAAGGAGTCCCTACATTTTAAGAGTATGAGTGGTCCATTATAACCCATTACTGATGTTATCCGAAAAAGTTAGGTAAGCTACATTACTAACCTTTTTATGGACTGCATATCAAGGTAAAAAAACTATACTGATCTATATCAACATAAACAACAGACAATTCATCAAAACAATAACAAGCATGACTTAGAGTCTAAAGGCATGTTCAAAAAATTGCCTTCTTGTATCCTGGATATCTTTGCAGCAATATCCTGAATGCAGACAGCTAAAACTGAAGGTTGAGAAAGTAATGGATCATTTTACTTGTACTGGCCTAGATAAATATGAGAAAGATGAAAGAACCAAAAAGTATTTGCTAAAGAAGTATTAGGTATTATTAACCATTACTGAGAATAAAATTCAAAGATACTAAATATGAGGATTACAAAGTACGTTATATTTCTTATTTTAATTTTGATTGGTGTTGCAATATTTTCCATTTATCTTAATGTCTCATTTACAGAAAGTTTATCTGTAACCCAAAAAGCAGTCATACAGACCCCCATAAACCTCATATTAAAATAAATCTTGTGAAAATGGCAGTATATGAATTTGGAAATTTTGAGAAATCGTTAAGTTTGCGTTTTTGACCACCCTGGATGAACTATCAAAAAAAAAAATGAAGGAATGCATAATTTTTCTGGAGACACATTCAGTACTCTAGCTGTAACAGTTGAAAAGATGCAAGTACCAAAATTGAGTGTTAGATAGATTGTCTAATAGACCACACATTAGAAAATAAAGCCCTATAGTGTGTTCTTTATTGGGAAGGACCGATTCAAACCTGCAATAGAATGTGGTCTGTCGACTTATGTATGGTTGGCTTACCATGTAGTTATGGATCACCCTGTCCAAACAAACATTAATACTATAAAATCAAGAGCATACTCACTGTAGGTTACATATTTTGTAGTTTTTTACATATGCGTAATATAATGGAGTTATCGACCAAGCCCAGACTAAAAACTCACCCTATAAATAGATTTTCCTGAATATTACCTGTATTCCTTTTTGTCACTATAGCTTTTTACTGGACTTGGTAAAGCTTGGAATTTTACATTTTCTTCCTGAGTTGTGAAATTATGTTGTGTGACATGTATTGCTTTCTTTTCGCCAGCGCCGGGAGATTTATGCAGTTTATTCATTGGAGGTGAATATTTATTAATCAATGTGGAAAACAGCCGGAAGCTACGGATTAATAACATAAATACATTTTTTCAACTTTCCACGCCGCCAAATGTCAGCCGTCAAAATGTTGTCCCCGCCAATCACAAAACATAAATCAAATTCAAGTGGATAACCAAATGGAAATGGTATTTAGCATTTTGGGTTGGTATTTACCAATCCGTTCAAGCGAGTGTAGTTATCAGTTTGGTTATAAGATCCGTGACGTCACGAATCAGCTGTTATATGTCATAGTTATCACCGCAAAATTGTGGTATTTACCCAACTCAAGAGTAGTTTTATATTTCTGGTTATTATTTGAAATGTGACAAGTTAGAATTTTGCCGGGTATTGGATATTGTTATTGTACTTCAGCTTCATTTTTGGGAAACTTGATACAGGCTGACTTCAGTTTTACCATAAAGTGGAGCACCTTATTAGTTATACTCATTACGGTTGTTGAAATGAAATGAAATGAAATGAAATGAAACGTTTATTATTCTTAGCCCTAAAGCTACTTCCTATAGTTTATAATAGTGTCTTACTCCAGTAATAAACAAAAAAACAGTAATTCTAGATTCCCTTAAAATCATAGTAACTGCAACCACAGTAAATGCAACAATAGCAAATGCGAGATAATGACATACAGTTATCTTAACACAGAAAGTACATATATTATGCCATTTTATCTAAATACAATTGCTTAACCTTACGAATAAATATATTTACAGACGTCGCTTCTCTAATTTCTGTAGGTAATGCATTAAAAAGTCTCAAACCATCACTAAAAAGACATTTTTGCATATGGGATGTTCTAGCGAATTCTATGTCAAAAGTGTTACGTGACCTGATATTATATGCATGCCTCTCGGACCTCGGTATTAGATATTCCTGCAAGTATTCTGGCAATAAATGATTTTTTGTTTTAAAAATAAATAAGACATTTGACATTTTAACCTTTTGCTGTATTGAAAGCCATCCGAGGGTTTTTAACATTAAATTAATAGGCGTATAACGTGTACAAAATAATATAGTGCGCATAGCCTTATTTTGTAGTAACTGGAGCCTTTGAATATCAGTTTTTTTGGCATGATAGCAACAATGAGAAACAATAATTAAAATGTGACGACTCCAGTGACTAAGACTTTCAGATATTCGCCTAAAAAATCCTATTTTTTTCCCAATTTTTTTACTAACATAATCAACATGCAATGAAAAATTTAGCTGAGGATCTAAAACTACGCCCAAATACTTCATACTAGATGCACTTTCAATTTGAATATTATCTATCTCAATACAAAATTTCTTTTCTAAAAATGTATTACAGTTCTGCTTTGTCCCAAAAACCATGTATTTTGTTTTTTCTACATTCAACTTAAGCCTATTCACACATAACCAGTTATACAGAATTTCCAGTATTGAGTTCATACTATCCCCAACTTGTCTAAAATCCTTACCGTACACATAAAGCAATGTATCGTCTGCAAATAAGCTCAGAAATGTATTTACTAAAACCCTGTTCAAGTCATTTATATAAAGTAGGAACAAAAGCGGGCCCAACACACTACCCTGAGGTACCCCAATTTCACTATCAATTGAATTTGACGCCACGTTATTAATCTTCGTCACATGACAACGGTCTTTCAAGTAGTTCATAAACCATTTTAGTGTCCTGTCTGTAATCCCATAGGTCTGCAATTTCTGGATCAGTCTTTTCCTATCAATAGTCTCAAATGCACGTTGAAGGTCGATGAATACACTTAACACAATATTCCCGTCATGAATGTATGAACGCCATTTCGAACACACATACTGCAGCGCCGACTCGCACGAGTGTTTTTCCCGAAATCCCGACTGTCCCTTAAACAACAGTTTTACTTGCCTCCAGAAACTCCCGTAACTGCGCACAAACCTCGGTTTCCAAGATTTTGTCTATCACTGGTAACAAGTTAATGGGTCGGTATTGTGCTGGTTTATTTGGTGAGGACACTTTTGGAATAGGCACTATAACACTAGTTTTTATTGCTTTTGGAACTTTTCCTGATGTAAGGGATGCATTGATCAAGTGAAGTAAAGGGTATCCGAGTACACAAAAAGCCGTTTTCAAAAACTTAACAGTACAAATATCATCCGCTGTTGACTTGTTTTTAAGTTCCATTACCCTTTTTCTAAGTTGATCAATGCTTATAGTGTTGAAGCTTGACAGACCATCACTTAACTGTGGCAATTCTTGAAATGTCGGTGCAACTTTTGGTATTTTGTCGGCTATTTCCTTTATGCTTTTTGCATAAAAATTGTTAAAATTGTCTTGAACAGATCCAGCATCTTCCTCAAATTCAATATTATCATATGACAGAACATTCTTGTTTTTGCTGCCTACAACTTGCTTTAAAGTTTGCCACATTTTTTTGCTATCCCCCTTGCATTGGTCAATAGTAATTTCATAATATTTTTTCTTTTCGTTTCGAATAACACGAGCGTAAATGTTCCTTTTTTTCTTATACAGATTCCAGTCTGAATTTAATTTGGTTATTTTAAACTTTTTAGCTTCGTCCCTGTCTCTTCGGGCTTGGATTACGAACCTATTAATCCACGGTTGTTTGCGGGTTTGAGTGTTTTCAAGAGGTACAACTTTATTTACAGTTTCTGTAATTTTTTTTATAAACTTTTCATATAATAGGTCCACATCTGTTGTTGAATAGTCCCAATCTTTTCCGTAGAGTTCAGCTATAATAGTGTTAATATTTTCCTTATTAAATTTTCGTTTATATTTCATTTCCTCTGTTTTAATCTCATGTTGCACATCGAATACGCAGCCTATAATTCGATGATCTGAAATTTGTGGAAAATCACCCGTGATTTCTTCAAGCAAGTAATTGTTAGTCACAATTAAATCAATCAGGGTGGCTGACGTATTTTTCACTCTAGTGAACTCTTGAACTATTTGTGTAAATCCTGCATCTGATACGATGTTTATTAATTTTTTTTGGCTTGGGTTTTCGGTCTCTAAGCGAATATTAAAATCTCCCAAAAAAATACTTTGATGAGTTGTAATCAAATCATCTTCCAGTAATTCCTCAAAAAATTGGAAAAATAAGTCCATGCTACCGTTCGGAGATCTATACAGTGATCCAACAATTATATTTTCCAATCCTAGCTGAACATTTAAGCATAAGAACCAAAAATGGCCGTGACGTACGACATTCTTTACAACTGTAGAAGTAACATTGTTTTTTACATAAATTATCGTTCCCCCTGTATGACAACTTTCAGCATGGGCAATGTAGTGACTATAGCCATTAATATTCAGTTCGCTATCCTCAAAATCCTCCGTAATATGGGTTTCATTAACACATAATATAAGAGGATTCTTATCCAGTACCAGCTGTTTCAATTCATCAACTTTTCGTCTTAGGCCCTGTACATTTATGGACAAACAAATTTCTTGAACATACGTTGATTGCTATTCATATTTTGTTTTAAGCCTAGTCTTTTCCACTTGCCGAAGATATGAAGTACAATTTCGATCAAAAACAGTATGATTATATTCTATATTTTTTATCTTTAATACATTGCTAATATATTCACAGTTGCTACAACGTTTATTACTGCTTGTACATTGATCTGCCTTATGATTGCCGGCGCATAGTGGACATGTAAATTGCTCTTGTTTGCAGAGATTTGCCATATGCCCGTATTTCCAGCATTTAAAGCATCTTAAAACGCTAACAAATTCATACAATAGAAAACTATCTCATCCAAAGCGTAATTTCTTTTGAGCAATAAAGTAATTAAATGCCTCATTTGATACCTCTAATAGCACATTAAAATGTTCCTTCCTACGAGGCTTATATTTCCTAACAAACGTTATTTCGCTTGTACCACACATGTCTTTCAATTTGTTTATAAATATATCAATCTCCCTCAGGTATTTATCTCGTCGTTTTCACATTCTATCTGAATCCCACCGTTAGCTGTATTTCTGACTCCGGCTATATTTATTTGAGATGGATCGACTTTGTTGGTCACATCTAACTTGGTTTTCACGCTGTTCTGTGACGAATTTTTTGGTTTAATTATCAAAGGCGGTCGTTTGGCTTTTACTACGTCACTCCACTTCTGCACGCTGGCATTGGGTGCTCTATCGTATAATGTTTTAACGACGCTGAAACACTCCTTGGTTTGTTCTAACACATCGTTGGTTTTTTGTTCAAGACTGTCCAATCTCCTCGATATTTTTAGGTTTTGTATAGCAATATTACTACAGTCATTACAGAACCAAAACAAATTCATACAATCGGCAATACACTTACTGACATTATCTTTTACTTTAACACACACATTATCGAAAACTTTTTCACATAACTTACACTGAATTTGTTTACTGTTTACTATAAAATTATCCGTGCACACGGAACACGTCCGCACACCACTCATGCTGACTACTGACTGGGGGGACACTTTAAATGTACTTCCTATGCTTAACAAAGTATCCCGTGTAGCCATATACCACAAGAATATTAAAATATGGCCATATAAACTCACTAGATGATATCCACCTGTATACGGTTTTGCTAATTTCTTTTTTCATCATTTCTGCTGAATCAATAAATGTTTTCTTTGACATGCGGAAAAATTTAGAGAATTGAAAGTTATCATAGCTACAAAGCCATGGTTCCATCATTTAAAAAAAAAATCTGAAAAAAACATTTCTCCCATGAATATTATGTAAGGTTTCTTATTTAAACTTTCCATATACCGTTGTAGACGAAAAAGCACCGATTATTAAGTGATAATAAAAATAATCAGAGATTATATACGCGCTTTTCTAAAATAAACAACTTGCAACAAAACCGCGGTTAAAACCAACGCGTTCAAGCGATTCGTGTAACTGACGTCATCAACCTGTGTGTCATCTTGAACCATATTATAACCGCGGCACATAACACAGAAATTTTGGTTATTTATTTGATTTATAATCAAATCCAAGCGAATAACCAAATGAAAATGGTATTTACCATTTTGGATTGGTATTTACCGATCCGTTCAAGCGAGTGTGGTTATTAGTTTGATTATAAGATCCGGAGACGTCATGATTAAGCTGTTATATGTCATAGTTATCACCGTAAAACAGTGGTATTTACCCAACTCCTGAGTAGTTTTTTATTTCTGGTTAATTATTTGAAATGTGACAAGTTGTGGCGGGTATTGGATATTTTTGTTGTACTTCGGCTTCATTTTTTGGAAACTTGATACATGCTGACTTCAGTTGTAGCTTAAAGTAGAGCACCTTATTAGTTATACTCATTACTGTTGTTGGGGATACCTTAAATCTAGTTCCTATGCTTAAAAAAGTATCCTGTGTAGCCATATACCACAAGAATATTAAAATATGGTCATATAAACTCACTGGGTAATGTCCACCGGTATACGGTTTTGCTAATATCTTTTTTTCATCGCTTTTTCCTATAATTTCTGCTAAATCAATAAATTAATGTTTTCTTTAACATGCGGAAAAGTTTAGAGAATTGAAAATTATCATAGCTACAAAGCCATGGTTCCATCATTAAAAAATGTTTTCTGACCAAAAAAGTCATTTCTGCCAATAATCTTATGAAAGGTTTCTTTTTTAAACTTTCCATACACTGTTGTAGACTGATTATTAAGTGATAATAAAAATCATCAGAAATTATATGCGTACTTTTCTAAAATAAACAACTTGCAACAAAACCGCGGTTAAAACCAACGCTTTCAAGCGATTCGAGTAACTGACATCATCAAACCGTGTGTCATGTTAAACCATACTACATACATGGCTTAAAACTCACAAAATGTCAACTTAAGTTGATTTTGTTCAATGATATTAATCAAATCCAAGCGAATAACCAAAATTTCTGTGTTAAGTATCGCGGTTATAATATTTTTTGTTGCAGGTTGTTTATTTTAGAGCAGCGCGTATATAATTTCTGATTACATATTTTTATTATCACTTAGTAATAGGAGCAACTGTATGGAAAGCTTAAAAAAGAAACCTTTCATAAATCAAATTCAAGCGGATAACCAAATGAAAATGGTATTTACATTTTGGGTTGGTATTTACCGATTCGTTCAAGCGAGTATGGTTATCAGTTTGGTTATAAGATCCGTGACGTCATGAATCAGCTGTTAAATGTCACAGTTATCACCGCAAAATTGTGGTATTTACCCAACTCATGAGTAGTTTTATATTTCTGGTTATTATTTGAAATGTGACAAGTTAGAATTTTGCCGGGTATTGGATATTGTTATTGTACTTCAGCTTCATTTTTGGGAAACTTGATACAGGCTGACTTCAGTTTTACCATAAAGTGGAGCACCTTATTAGTTATACTCATTACTGTTGTTGGGAACACTTTCAATCTAGTTCCTATGTTTAACAAAGTATCTTGTGTAGCTGTATACCACAAGAATATTAAAATATGGCCATTTAATTCACTGGATGATGTCCACCTGTATACGGTTTTGCTATCTTTTTTCATCATTTCTGCTAAATCAATATATGTTTTCTTTGACATGCGGAAAACTTTTGAGAATCATAGCTACAAAACCATGGTTCCATCATTAAAAAAAAAATCTGGAAAAAAAACATTACTCCCATGAATATTATGAAAGGTTCATTTAAACTTTCCATACACCCTTGTAGACAAAAAAGCACCGATTATTAAGTGATAATTAAAATAATCAGAGATTATATACGCACTTTCCTAAAATAAACAACTTGCCACAAAACCGCGGTTAAAACCAACGCGTTCAAGTGATTCGTGTAACTGACGTCATCAACCCGTGTGTCACATCTTGAACCATATTATAACCGCGGCACATAACACTGAAATTTTGGTTATTCACTTGAATTTGATTATAATATTAATGGGATAAAAGAAAATAATTTTTAATGATGGAACCATGGCTTTGTATCTATGATAACTTTCAATTCTCTAAACTTTGCCACATGTCAATGAAAACATTTATTGATTTAGCAGAAATGATAGGAAAAACCGTATACAGGTAGACATTATCTAGTGAGTTTATATGGCCATATTTTAATATTCTTGTGGTATATTTCTACACAGGATACCTTGTTAGGCATAGGAACTAGATTTAAAGTGTCCCCAACAACAGTACTGCGTATAACTAATAAGGTGTTCTACTTTATGCTACAACTGAACATTTCAAATAATAAAAAGAAATATAAAACTACTCCCGAGTTGGGTAAATACCACAATTTTGGGATGATAACTATAACATATAACAGCTGATCCATGACGTCACCGATCTTATAACCAAACTGATAACCACACTCTCTTGAACGAAGCGGTAAATACTAATCCAAAATGGTAAATACCATTTTCATTTGTTGCTGAATGGCAATGCTGCTTTTCAGAAAAATACGTTAAATATGAATTGTCAAAATAAACAAATAAAAATCAAATTCAAGCGGATAACCAAATGGAAATGGTATTTACCATTTTGGGTTGGTATTTACCAATCCGTTCAAGCGAGTGTAGTTATCAGTTTGGTTATAAGATCCGTGACGTCACGAATCAGCTGTTATATGTCATAGTTATCACCGCAAAATTGTGGTATTTACCCAACTCAAGAGTAGTTTTATATTTCTGGTTATTATTTGAAATGTGACAAGTTAGAATTTTGCCGGGTATTGGATATTGTTATTGTACTTCAGCTTCATTTTTGAGAAAATTGACACAGGCTGACTTCAGTTTTACCATAAAGTGGAGCACCTTATTAGTGATACTCATTACGGTTGTTGGGGACACTTTAAATGTAGTTCCTATGCTTAACAAAGTATCCTGTGTAGCCATATACAAGAATATTAAAATATGGCCATATAAACTCACTAGATGATATCCACCTGTATACGGTTTTGCTAATTTCTTTTTTCAAAATTTCTGCTGAATCAATAAATGTTTTCTTTGACATGCGGAAAAATTTAGAGAATTGAAAGTTATCATAGCTACAAAGCCATGGTTCCATCATTAAAAAAAAATCTGAAAAAAACATTTCTCCCATGAATATTATGAAAGGTTTCTTATTTAAACTTTCCATATGCAGTTGTAGACGAAAAAGCACCGACTATTAAGTGATAATAAAAATAATCAGAGATTATATACGCGTTTTTCTAAAATAAACAACTTGCAACAAAACCGCGGTTAAAACCAACGCGTTCAAGCGATTCGTGTAACTGACGTCATCAACCCGTGTGTCATCTTGAACCATATTATAACCGCGGCACATAACACAGAAATTTTGGTTATTCGCTTGGATTTGATTTATTTTTAAAAATTTCTGTGTTATGTGCCGCGGTTATAATATGGTTCAAGATGACACACGGGTTGATGACGTCAGTTACACGAATCGCTTGAACGCGTTGGTTTTAACCGCGGTTTTGTTGCAAGTTGTTTATTTTAGAAAAGCGCGTATATAATCTCTGATTACTTTTATTATCACTTAATAATCGGTGCTTTTTCGTCTACAACTGTATATGGAAAGTTTAAATAAGAAACCTTTCATAATATTCATGGGAGAAATGTTTTTTTCAGTTTTTTTTTTTAGTGATGGAACCATGGCTTTGTAGCTATGATAACTTTCAATTCTCTAAATTTTCCGCATGTCAAAGAAAACATTTATTGATTCAGCAGAAATGATGAAAAAAGAAATTAGCAAAACCGTATACAGGTGGATATCATCTAGTGAGTTTATATGGCCATATTTTAATATTCTTGTGGTATATGGCTACACAGGATACTTTGTTAAGCATAGGAACTACATTTAAAGTGTCCCCAACAACCGTAATGAGTATAACTAATAAGGTGCTCCACTTTATGGTAAAAGTGAAGTCAGCCTGTATCATTTTTCTCAAAAATGAAGCTGAAGTACAATAACAATATCCAATACCCGGCAAAATTCTAACTTGTCACATTTCAAATAATAACCAGAAATATAAAACTACTCTTGAGTTGGGTAAATACCACAATTTTGCGGTGATAACTATGACATATAACAGCTGATTCGTGACGTCACGGATCTTATAACCAAACTGATAACTACACTCGCTTGAACGGATTGGTAAATACCAACCCAAAATGGTAAATACCATTTCCATTTGGTTATCCGCTTGAATTTGATTATAGTGGCGTTGGCAGTAATAATTCATGACAGACGACACCTCACTTCGAAATGGCGGCAAATGTCACTTGTCTCTTCTGTTGCCCGTCGAGTTTTTCTGAGTAGGCGTTTTTTCCATGTTATGTTTTGAGCTTGACATGTTACCTGTCAACGTACTGTCAACTGCTATATATATTTTTTCCTGTAAATTTAGTTTTTTTATTAGTACTTCCAAGTACAGCAAAACATACTTTCCCTCTAAATTTCTAGCGTCTATTTTAGTCCTGCTCGCTGGTTCTATTACAATAAATCATTCTCCAATCGAATAAAATTATTATAAGTTGGCAACGTTCACCACCTGTCATTTGCAGAGGACAACACCATTTTTTTTTATTTCCGTCCTTTGCCGTTATTTTGTAGTGGTTCTGGTTCTTCTTCGTCTTCTTGATATACAAACGCGTTCATGCTGTAGTGTGATATTTTGCGCGAGTCTTGGTGAACTTTTTAAGTTTGAAATATTCAGTGGAATTTCGCTAACAACTTCACATGAAGTATCACGATAGAACCTTCGTCAACGGCAAAACAACCCACGGTACACCAAAACGTTCGCGAATTTCGAATAGCCCGCTCGTAAACCGTGTTATGGCCGGTAAGTTGTGTTGCAACATCGCCGTTTCTCGCCAACTGTGACCCCGATGCGGGGATATGTGAATAATTCTTGTGCTATACAATTGTTTTATAATAAATAATGGAAGGTAATTTTTCATGCGAACGAATATCAGTGTAACGTTTCACTTTTTCATACTCCATGTTGTGGGATTCAACGACATTACATTGCTTTTTTTGTTTTGTAGTAACGTACGATACACCATACACCGAGCACACTAGAATCGAATGGCAGCGTTTACAATAGGCTTTACCATACTTTTATTTGCAATTGTTTGGAAATGTCGCAGATTGCGTTCGTTTGCTCAGTGGCTGCGAAAATTGGGTACTACGCCCAATTTTTTACAGTGTTGTTACTTTGTTCTCTCCACTGCTTAACGATAAGAAAACCGGACGAAAAATCACCAAAAATGAGGATTTGTCCCAAGGAAAATGATGCTTGCTTAGATTTTTTTGTTTATTTGGAGGTTAGAATCAAATGACAACCATTTTTTTTTGTTATACAACATAACAAAATAATCCCTTCAGATTTTACAAGCATTTTCCACTGCAGTGTTATCTTTATCACATGATTTTTCCATTGAAAATGATAGTTGCTTTGCATCTTGTTATATTTGCCAATCCTGACCAGATAAAATTTTTAATTTGCTATTACTACCTTCCTACCTGTCATTGAATTTGAAATCCAAATAACGCCCATCTACAGATAAATAGGTGGTAACTATATGGCACATTGCTGCATGTGGAGGAATTTTGTTTATTGCATTAAAAACCTTTAATTTACATTGTCTTAACTGGCTAACTATTAAAGAAAACATAAAGTGCTGTGGGATTTTGGTTGTTTCTACCTCATCAATGAGTATATGAAACAACCCAATGACCCATAATTAATTGCCATGATAGATGGTAGAAGCCATGTTTACCCTGTAGGTAGCTAAGTGCCTATATGGTGCATAGCCACAGTGTAATCAGGGACAACAGCATTTATGTATATAACTATGATGCTTAATGGATTTGGTGTGAAACATGGTCAGTGTTATAAAGTATAAGAAATATTGAATAGAATTTTGATAGCTTAGTTCTAATACGGTGTATCTCCAAAAAGCGAGATTTACAGAATGAAGGAAAAACGATTCATTCAAGATTAATTTGTCATTTAATGAGGTTAGATGTTGTTATTTATCACATTTGAGATCAGCGTTATCTGTTTTAGACAAAATACCAACAAGTAGAAACCATTCCATCCTTGTATGTAGCTTAAGAAGTATTAGCATTTGATCGTTATATTTAATACAACCTTTTTGTCTTCCATAGTAGGTTATGTCTTTCTTACTGTATATTAAAATTAGAAAACTAATTGAGATACAGCATATTGTGCTAATGTAATTTTGTAAGAAACAACATTTTACAGTTATATAATCATTTATTATTTGCCAGCAACAAAGAAAAACATACAAATATGAGATCATACAACTTCAATTGTTATCTTGTAATAAAAAATGAAAACAAATTCAAACTGGTGACTTCTCATAGTCGGCACACTCGGTAACAAGCAACAGAGTAGAAGAATCCTTGATGAGATTTTGTTTCTTGTTTTTGGACTAATTCGTATCATTATTGCACTTCTTTGTTTTTCTGAAATAAGTAGATTTCATAAAAAATGATTATACATGACCAAATGTAATACCTTTTACTGTTTTTTGTGTTTTTTCAAATTATGTTTTCCTGACTATATATCAGTTTTGGATACACTCACTTTCTCTACCTTCCTCGAGTTTTTAGAACTGTTAGAACACTTTAAAATTTTCTTTTGATCCAGTAGGCTGTAACCAATCTTCACTTTTTAGTCAAACTTCCAAGCAATAAACTATTGACACCTTCGAATCGAAGTATACATATAATAATAATAAATAATCTTTATTTCAAAATAACAGTGCAGAATTACAATGTAATGTCTGCTGTCAGGTAAAATATACAACACATAATGCCATAATAGCAAACAAATGCAAGAAACAAAAATAGTGTCTAAATATTTCAATATTACACAATGTTTGTTTCACATTTCTAGATATTCATTGAGCCCATATGGTTCTAGATTCATTAGTAACTTGTGAATACATTTCTTGAACTCTTTTATATTCGACAACTTTTTAGCTTCCTGGGGTAACTTATTGTAAAGCTTTGCACAACTGTAATGTACTTTTTTTTTCCGGAAACAGTTAGATGATGAATGGGGTACAAAAGAGTTATATCATTGTTCCTTGTATTGTAATTGCCTGGGATTCTTATAAAGTACCCAATATTTTTAAATGTAAAAATCAATATTTCCTGAATATATATTGCCACTATAGTCTCTGACTGTCGAACGCGGAGGTACCACCCGGCAGATCTCGTAGGCGGAGCCAGAATGTGTGCATGTTGCATGCACACGTGTTCCATCGCCAGTTTCCGTGTGGCGTTCCCCCTTTCCCTTGTATCCCCTATAGCCCCATGGGTGTTTAGACCTTCGTGGTAGTTGGAGTATAAAAAAAAACACAATGAGGAGAGGACCCAAGATGCTTCCTTGTGGGATACCTCTATCTACTGTTAACTGCGAGGAGACAACTGTCATGCCATTCTTTATGATGGAAACACTTTGTTGGCGGTCTGTTAAATAAGACTTGACCCAGTTCCAGGCACTTCCCCTTATCCCAAATGCCATTTCTGATAAAGAGTTCTTAGACACTTACCCTGGCACAACGCTTTATTGTAAAAACACCATAGATATCATTATTTGGTCAAATAAAGAGAGCACTGTCTAGCAACCATCACAATCATATTCAATGAGCAAGTGGATGCTGAGGGATACAGCTTATTGGAACCAAAAATAACCGCTGATTTAGATACGACAGTAGAATATGCGCAAAAATGGTGTTTTTATTAGCAGATGTATGTGTTATGATTATGCATATTATGTAACTTAATAAGTGAGATTATGTAGTTTTTTTGGCATTGTGTAGGTTTTTCTACATGAATAGGCATGGAATGAACTAGTGGCTACCTAGTGCACAAGTTGACATTTTATCATTTTTTTTGACATATGTGTTTTTATGCAATAACCCTGCTCATATGTTGACTATAAACTTAGCTTAATATATACATCATCATGAAGAAACTAGGGTATATTTAAGTTTTAAGGAAACTGTTCTACTGCATTGCTATTTGTTAATTTCTATCATACATATTTTCTGTGCTCACCATTTATATTATATCATTATCATAGACTCAACAATACTACAACTTGGACTCTTACTAAGAAATTTTAACTCTTTCTCCCAGCATGATCAATAGAACTGTAATCAAACCTCTTTGTTATGTTAAAATTTGCTAAACTGTAGTTGAAACATTAAGTTTATACATCTGAGTATGAGAAAACATTGAATTTATGAGCTGTTAACTCCTGATAGGCTTGACTATGATGAAGAGACAGGTATACCTATATGTTTAGTTTTGATAGACTTTTGGAGAAATGATGTATCATTCCCTATGAAATTATGCAGCCAATCATAATTCAAAATGTCAATTCCTAATCTGTCCAGATTTTTTTTTTCAAATAATTACAGTTTTATCATGTATCAGGTGGCATTGATAGAATATCTGTATTTGTAACAATTTACCCTGCAGATTAACTTTTAAATGCAATTATTAGTATTTTTTCGCAAGAACTGTGGCTTGGCAAAAGTAGGGCTTTTCATAAGACAATAGTTATATTTTTTATATCTAATATTCCCATTGATCATTAAACAGTTAAGGATAAAAGACAAACAGTATTAGTTCAATGCATCAATTATTTCAATTTGGTACTTTGGTTATTATTATTTTTAATGACATTTAAAAATTCGGTTTGGAGCATTTTTTTATATTAACATCTAAGGATTAGCGTATTTCAATTTTTATAAATGTTTGAAGAATGTATTTAATTTTGGAAATATGTATGATGTCAAAATATAGGTATTATTTTGTTTATGTAAATTAGTTTTGAGTACTTGTTACGAATAAGTTATATTATTCTGTAAGTATAGTGAAATTGTATTTGCCTTATACCATGATTTGTGTCCAGTTGCTTTAATTTCCAATATGTGTAGCTAATATCTAAAGATTAATATAAAGTGATGCAGTACTCATCAAATACAATGTATTCATAGAAGTTAATATCCATTCCAAATACAACTTAATTGAATGTTATAACAGCGCATAAGCACTACTGTATTGCGCTGGCAGTACCAAGGAACTTATTTGTTGATTGATAGTATAATATTGATAAAAAATATGCAATATTCAGACCAGCAAGATTTTTACCTAGAAGCTAGAGTATATAGGTCTGTGTGACTTGTGGTTAACCATATTGATCTTTGTTATAAAACATAGTATTGCCTAAAGATGCAACTACAATCAACAGTCTATATTAGATTTTTTTCAGAATGTAAGTGAAAGCAGTGGCCTTCTAACACCCAATTCATGTGTGTGTGCAAGAGCGAAAATTACCTGGGTTACGGATCGGCTTGCGCAATGCCCAGTTTCCCTTAGGAACACATGATACCATTAGTCAATATTTTTATTGAGATTTTCATGAGTATGCATTGCGGTAGAATATCAGCTGTTTATCTAGTTTTGTTTTGGTTTTTTGTACTCTACAGATTCATGTTGTACTTACTAACAACTCATTTATTTAGAAATGTTTATTTGCAAACAAAAAAAAACGCTACAAGCAAGTTTTACTACATTATTGTTGATATCACAGACTAATACAAGGATATCAATTGCTCATCAGCTGTACACCAGAGTAGACGTCAGAAATAGGGTTCACTTATTTCACGAGCATCCATCACGCTTTGACGTCTAGTGAGGTGAACAGCTGATTAACAAGTGACATTTTTGTGTTAGTCTGTAATGTTGGCAATAATGAATCGAGTGTATATTTAGTAAAACTTTCTTGTAGCGTTTAGTTTTTTGTATGCAAATGAACTTTTCTAAATAAAATAGCTTTTAAAAAGTACAGAATGAATCTGTAGCATAAACAAAAAACTAAAACAGAATATGGCTCTACCTGGCATTGACGGATCCGTCAGAATTATGTGTCCTTTGCCGATTTGGGGAATTTTGAAATATTACTAGATAATCAGCTGTTATTCTACCATTCTCGTTAAAAAGACTATATTTTGTATGTCATTGCAACATAACTGTTAAACACCAAAGGTTTTATGTGCTGCATCCGAATCCTTCATCCAAATCTCTCAGTTGGCTCTAACTTCCTAGATATCCTATCCTGAAAGTGCACAAATAGCCGTTTTTGTCTATATTTTGGGTTGTGTAGAATGGCGAATATTTTTTTCCAAAAACCATAGACATCATACCAAAGTACAAGACCTTGCCCTTTTAAATGCTGTTGAGTTTGCTTAAATATCTTTTTCTTTCACTGAGATGAGGCACTTAGAATTGTTCATTTTTCTGAATTACCCCTTTTACTGTATTTGATACTTTACATGTTATGATTATGTGTGCATCAAAGTTGCAGTTTGGATTATAATATTATGTACATCAAAAATTTAATAACAAGCTAATGTATTTTTATGGATTAACCTGCCAACTAAAAGACCCATAAATCTTAAACTTTAAATCCATAAAATATCTAAAACTTACCCAAACCACAACCCACCCTAGCCTACATTTGGTTGCACACCTTCTTTAAAATAACAAAATTAGTTCTAACAAAAACTGACCTAGCTTACAATATCCAAAACTTACCTAAACCACAAGTTCCCAACACACCCTACCCTATCTGGACTGAATTGAACGTCCTAACTTTGATTAGCAAATAGAAAACTACTTTCTGATGAAAATCGAATCGATCTACCTTACAGTATCCAAATTAATGTTGGCTAATTCCTTGTTTTCCTAAAAAATAGCAATAGAGTAATTAACTTCACCTGTTGATTTCTGGATTTTGAAAGAATGAATAACATTTGTAAATGCCATAATCATTAAAGACAAGAAGGGCAAGCATACAAAACCCGATTATTTTTAGGGGATTTCACAAAAAAGAAAATACGATTTCATTCATTTACTAGAGAAAATGACATTAACTTGGAAGACACTGTATTTGTTCTGACAAAAAGTATTAAACGTACAAATAAGATATCCGATAAATATTTCTTATAAATCAGGAATACTGCCTTTTAAAAAATGACCAAGATTTGCTTAAAAATATATTAGATAATGTGATTTTATAACAGCAACAATTGAAACCATTGGCTTTGGTTAATGTTTTTGTTACAACCTGCTCAGGACACTGGCAGCAGCAACAGTAGTAAAAATGATTCCTGTCATTTGAGGTGCAAAAATAGAATAACCACACTCATGTTTTACCACCCTATACCATGAAGCATTTTACTTATATCACTTTACTTTCATATAGCTATCTATCAATTAAACACTAAAGTTACTCTCCAGTTTCAAAAATTTATGAGACAGAAAAAATGCAATATGATGCATGTACATATTTATGTTTTATTTCATAAATCCTCTTGAAACATTTGGGCTTATATTTTTTTTGTAGTGAACCATTTGAATCAGTAGCTTGAACGAGAAAACATATTTACTTACAATTTGCATAAAAACTCACCAATTGTGTTCATCAAAATTAAGTGTTGTCATAGTCTTATTAATATGATAAAGGAAAGAGTCCATAAGCAGTGTTTTTGTCCCTGTTAATAAGTTGTTGATTGTATGGGATTGTTCCATTTATATATTTTTAAATATATATTTCAAACTGTTATAAACATTTTTCTTTTTATTTTCATATTTGATTGCTTTTTAAAGCCTTAAGTTCGCAATTTTGGCATTTTTGTCTAAAATTCACCCCTGCTTGATTATTTAACCCAGTATTTTTATATACGCAAATAGTCGCCACACTTTCTACTTCAGATCTATGATAAAATACACTAAGCTACAAAGCATATGTCAAAAAGGTGTCCCTCATATTAAAAAAAAAATTTATACAAGTCATTACAAAATTATGATGAAACTTTACATTTTGTTTTACTACCAAACGTACCAACACTTAGCCGGTTATGGTATGTATTGGTACATATACTCGTCGTAACAAGTATTACTCAAAACAAACAGAATATAATAGAATATCAACTTTATATAGTTGATTGAAAATGTCATGAAGTCATATGGATAAAAGTGATAAGATCATTTTCACTGTAAAGTTTCGTAACCTGTCTCGACCGCTGAAGATATGTTTAGTGTTAACGTAACCATAATGCAACAATACTTCATTTTTAAATGTTTTGTATTCCAGTGAGCTGTATTATAGAATCGAGGTAGAAAGTGTTACGAAAATGCGCGCATATAAAAATACTTGAGGTAAATATTCGAATATGGGTGAAATTTGAACAAAAATGCCAACATTATGAAATTTAAGCCCTTAAAAAGCAATCAGCTACTAAAATAAAAAGTAAAGTATTAAAGAAACTTTAAAAGACATATGTTCTAAAACATTTAAATGCAACAATTTACTAGATAGGATTCATTTGAAATTCGAGTTATTTTCGGGGCCGAAAACTGCGCGTATCGACTATGATTCTTTTCCTTTAGTATATGATCACGTGATGTATAAATGTCATTTATTTTTATTTCATTGTTTTAGGAAATGGGGAAGTACAATGGAGTTTTTCTCAAGTGAAAGGTACATTAGATGACGATGTTACGGAAGCTGACATAATATCATGTGTAGAATTTAATCATGATGGGGAACTTCTTGCAACTGGCGACAAAGGCGGTCGTGTAGTGATATTCCAACGTGATCCAGTATCAAAAACGGTATATTTATTTGTAAAGATATTTTTCTATAATTAACAAAAAGTGCCTATTTAGCTTTCAATGTACCTTTGTTAGTTTTCACAATGTGATTTGAAAAGCATATTTGAATCAACTGCCGTATCTAGGAAAAGCCACAATAGACCAAAGACTCGCAGTGGAGGATTGTTATTGATGCACTGACAAGAAACCTAACCCTAACCTAACCTGTATCTAGGAAATAATGAGGCCTAGAGATGTGCTTAATACAGCTTGTCCAAATTTTTATAGTTCTAACACTTCAAATGTTCAATAAATAGTACCTATTCCGTTGTTGGTGTCATTGTTTGCATGACTACATGACTGAAATATTTTGTCATAACAGGAGTGATTCACGATTTCGTAACGTTTTATTCACATAGTTCATACTATTTTTTGCATATTCTAATTTCAACCGTTTAGGTGTTTCCAAAGCGCGGCGAATATAATGTCTACTCAACTTTTCAATCACATGAGCCTGAGTTTGACTACCTCAAGAGTTTAGAGATTGAAGAAAAAATCAACAAGATACGATGGCTCAAACGCAAAAATCCTGCTAATTTCCTGTTATCCACAAATGACAAAACCATCAAATTATGGAAAATATCGGAACGGGACAAAAAGATTGAAGGATACAACACAAAATCAGAAAATGGTAGTCTGGTAAGCATTTTTTCTTTCACTTTATATTTTTCAAGCTATAGTGAAACCAGTATTCTACAGTGTTTTCAGAAACCTTAAGGTAGCAAGCTGAAATTGATGCACGTACAAGTAGCAGATGAAAAATTTAAGATTGCGGCTGGGCGTCACTGTATCATTTTTTTGAATCGAGTGGGGATTGCGTGATGCTCATTTTGAAGCTCCTTATGATTACTTCATAAAACTAGAATATAAAATCACCACCCATAAAAAAGGTTAACTGGCAGGCTGTCAAAGTTTTTTTACATTGAGTTGCTTATAACTCGACAACCAACCATCAAAAAGGTATAGTTAGTGGTATACCCTATTTCACGAGTATCCATCACGCTTTGACGTCTACTGAGGTGAACAGCTTATCAGCAAGTGACATTTTTGTGTTAGTCTGCAACGTTGGCAATAATGAATTGGGTATAAATCTAGTAAAACTTGTTTTTTCTATGCAAATGAACTTTTCTAAATAAAAGAGCTGTTAGAAAGTACAAAATGTGTATCATACAAAAAAACAAAACAAAATACATCTCTGACTATCTGGCGTTGACGGATCCGTCAGAATTTTGTCTCCTGTGCCGATATGGAGAATTTTGAGATATTACTAGATAATCAGCTGTCATTTTACCATGATGGAAACCCGTGAAATAAGGTATATCAATCTCCTTCTATTGGAAGAGGCGATCCGAATATGCAATGAAATCTGGAACATTCCATTTAATAAAGTTGTCAGAAGTTTTTTTAACTGAATGTCCACATTTAGATATAGTAGGTACTTCCAAAATAAGAAGACTTATATCATATACTATAACATTTTGATTAGTTGTTGAATTATATGCGATTCAATGTGTAAAAACGCTAAACTGTGACAGCCTTTCAATTTACTTTTTGCAAAAATAGCTATTTTATGTGCAAAGGTTATAAAGTAGCCACAACGGGGTATCATACCACTTTCCACTTGAAAGAATGATCTAAAATGGCGCTCAGCCGCCATCTTGGAATTTTCGACTGCACTGTATACTGCACTATTCTTACAAGATCGTTGTAGACGGGATATATTAAAAAAATGACATTATTTATGAATTTACTTTCAAAATGATATTGAATGATACGTGAAGAAATTATACAGGGTGTTCCTTAATGATATGCGAATATTTAAGGGTGTGAATCTACATGAAAAATTAATGTTAGTTTGCTTTATACACTATGGTCCAAAAATGTTTTTTTACAAAAACTCGGGGTGTTGAGGTTTTAGAAAAAAAAAATGGAAATTAATTAATATTTTCAGAACCGCTTCAGGTATTTCACTGATATTTAGTACGTAGTGAAAGTTAATAAAGCTGCATATTTTTCAATACAAAAATAATTTTTAGCTTTAACAGTGGCATGCGTACGGGTATTGACTTAGATATTTTTTAAGGAAAAAATGGTACGCCAATCGTTTTTGCCAAATAAAAATTATTTACTAATTCAAAAATATTAATTTCCATTTTTTTTTTCTAAAACTTCAACACCCCGAGTTTGTGTAAAGAAACATTTTTGGACCATAGTTTATAAAGCAAACTAACATTAATTTTTCATGTAGATTCACACCATTAAATATTCGCATACAACTTTAATTTTGCTGAAATAGTTGGTTTTTCAACCATCAAAAGCCAATATGTTTCAATTCGAAAATGTAGATTGAGGCTTATCAAATCCGAGATGTGGTAATTAATGCTGATTCGTTCGCCAACATTCAAAAAGAGATAGATGAACAATGTTGGAGTCGATATGACGTGTGGCTCATTTTTTACTAGTATTTCTCGAAAATAACATTTTAGCATTGATTAACGAGTTCTACCTGAAGGTAGCCGACCTAATACTATAAATAGATAGATAGATAATAATCTAAAGCGACAAGTCAGGTAGGTTACTGTTTGGTAAAAGCAAATTAAAAACATGAGCAAGTTTGAAAGACATATGTAAAAAACAGATGAAAACAGTACAGAGATATTAAAAGGCGCTATGATTTCACCAAGGCAAAATACTCGTCGGTGCTGTATCACAGATATATTTTCGGATAGTATTTTTAAATCAGTGATGGTATCAGTTGAATATTATTTGAAGTATATTTAGAATATCAAGGAGGGAGCTTGACGAAGACTGGAGAGTAACATACCAACAGATAGAGAAGACCTTACACATTCATGCACCAGCAATTCATTCAATTCTGCATGACAATTTACACGTCAGGAAACTTTGTTCTCTCTGGGTACCGAATAGTCTGACGGAAGAGCAGAATATTCGTCGTACGACTTGGTGCCGAAAGATGCTGAAAATGTTTTCTAAGGAGCAATATCGGTATGTGAACAGCATCGTGACAGTTGACAAGACTTGACTCTATTACGATATGCCGACCAATGCTCAAAACAAAGTTTGGACACACCCGTAGCTGTCAGAAAATCCCGATCTGTTAAGAAAAAAAAAATGATAGCTGTATTTTTCATATCGAGCGGGATTGTGGAGCATGTCGTTTTGGAAACACAGAAGACAGTCACAGCTAAGTCGTACACGGAACAGTAAAGTCATAGAGTCTATGAAAAACCTGCGGTCAAAGTCACCACTACTGGACTGAAACATTGAGCACCCTCCTTATAGTCCAGATCTTGCTCCCTGCGACTTTGCACTGTTTCCGCATGTGAAAATGAAGCTAAAAGGAAAACGGTTTTCTAGCAATGAGGACCTTCTGAGGGCTTGGGACAACGAGTGTGCCACACTCCCGGGTAAAACTTGGCAGAGCTGGTTTAAGCCCTGGTTTTGGCGGATGGAGAAGTATATTGAAAGTCCCTGGCCCAGAAGATGAGCTAGCAAAAAATAAAATTCTCCACTCTATCCGTTGGATCAAACGTATAAAATGCCGTGCAAAAAATTGTCTACACCTTAACTTAACAGCCATGGTCAAGGACAGTTTCAAGGTTACCAGTGGACAGACAGGGCAATTTAAGCCCCTGCTGTATGTTTCCTGCGTCATAAGTATGGAGTATTGTTAAAGAAAATTGTCATTACATTATCTAAACCGTCAAGGACATGGTAAAAGCTCAGTTTCACAGTCATCAGTAAATAGCCAGAGAAAAAATGATGTTTCTGCTGCCGTTAGGTGCATATTTTGCTTAATTTTTATAAAGTTCTCAGAAATCGAACCAGGGTATTTTACGAAAACCTTGATCAGGCTGTTCAAGGCTAAACTAAGTTTCATCCAAGATCAAACGGAAAGTTTTACTATACTGAAAACTTTCCGTTCTATCCGTTTCTGGGGTCAAAAGTTTAGGGTTCAATTAAAAAACAACTTGAACTTAATTAAACCTCCAAGTCACCACCATAGACTATAGATCAATCACCAATTAATAGCCAGGGAAAATACTAAACCCCCACTATTTTGAGTTTCTATACCCTTTGAATATCCTCAACTATTTTGCTATTCCGGGACTCTTGGATGGCCCTGTATCTGTTGATTAATAAACCAAATATTTTTGACACTATCATTGATAGGTGGACCCAGCGAGTGTGAGCAGTTTACGAGTACCTACAATTAAACCAATGGAACTGATGGTAGAAGCTTCACCGCGAAGGATCTACGCTAACGCTCACACCTATCATATTAACTCAATATCAGTGAATTCTGACCAGGAAACCTACCTTTCCGCGGACGATCTCCGGATCAACTTGTGGCATTTAGAAATTACCGACCAGAGTTTCAACATTGTCGACATCAAACCAACAAACATGGAGGAGCTCACAGAGGTTATCACTGCAGCTGAGTTCCATCCGATAGAGTGTAACCTCTTTGTTTATAGTAGCAGTAAAGGAACAATAAGGTAGGTGACATTTTCTTGAAAATACGTTGGTGCTTCGAAGTCGCGACGTGCGTTATTTGTGATAGATAAAACTCTTATTATTACAATAATTTACGTCGTATACAAGCATTTCCATAATATAATGAGAGCCAGTGAGAGGAGAACAAAATGAATGACTAATTACTGACGTCTAAGCTACACTGTCAATAAATATCACATACCATGATAATACTGATGGATCACAGTAATTACTGATTGTGTGACATTCGCCTTAGTGCGAGGATTATTGACAGTCGATGATTTTTACATCAAGTTGGCAAATTACTCGATAAAATGAATGAATGAATCGTGAAATTAGAGGCATTCCGGCCACCATAAGGAGCCAGCTCATAGGCCGCTTAAACGGGCCCTTATGCACCTCTACATTCCTTAGATCACAAGCCTCGCCCTTTTAGCGAAGTTGAGAATCGCCTTGAGTCCAAGCTCCTTGACCTCCTGAGGATCCAAAGTAATGGACCCCAGTATAGTCTTCCTATAGTAGCTCAGGGCTCTACAGCGACACAAAACGTGCGCCGAGGTCTCTTCCTCTACCCCACAGCGCTACTCCATAAAATAATTCAGATATAATATCTCCAGATGAATTTGAATATACAAATAGCGAAATGCAGCCGGATCTTTTTCTTCCAAAACATAAAATCAAAGTTTGTGAGGAAAGATACAATGTACAGTGACAAATATGCGACAATCGTCAAATGGCAGTAATGCTCGTGTATGGGGTGCAACTGTTGCGAATTTCTCTCATCTCTAATCAGGTTTACTGTGTGTGTCCAGCTTTCATCAAAGTTAAGGTTGATTCTCACTATACATTCAGTTTCTATTCCGTAACCGTTCCGTAAATTATTAAAATTGAATATTCGCCTTCTCGTAAGACATGCTATTGCATGTGTATGTACATTATCCGTAAGGTATACCGTGTATATAATCAAATTGTACGGAATGTTTACGAAACAAATGGAATGGAAACGGAATGTATAGTGAGAATCAACCTTTACACAGCCCATTTTCATAGGGAGTCAAAGTGAAAATGGTAATATTTGTTCGATGAGATCCATATGCATGTACCGCTTGAACTTAGTTTGACGTCATTTGTTGACATTGGGAGGCTGGTGTTTTTTCAAATTTTTTAAACTGGCCGAAAATCAATGGTTTGCTTTAAAAAAAAGTGCAGTGTGGTGTTTTTGCTGTTTCTATATCGCTGCCAAATTGAAATTATTCTCTGACATTGATGTTTTGAAATGACATGTATGGTCATCTGCTGTATCCTCTGGTGGCTGTGTTCATTTCTTTATGACTAATGATTTCATTTGTAGGTTATGTGATATGAGGGCGGCTGCGCTATGCGATCGGCACGCCAAACTGTTCGAGGAGCCAGAAGATCCGACGAACAGGAGTTTCTTCTCTGAAATCATTTCCAGTATTTCCGACGTTAAGTTGTCCAATAATGGCCGGTATATGGTATCTAGGGATTATCTATCTGTGAAAGTGTGGGATCTGCATATGGAATCGAAACCCATAGAAAGTTATCCTGTAAGTACTCTAAAACAGAATCCTATAACCATGTTGCTTAGAAAGATTATACAACTTATTTGAACAAGAATTTTGAAACGTCCCGGATGTTTTCTATATTCGCTCATCAAGTCAAAACTTCAAAAGTTGGTTTCTAAATTTGATTCATGAAGTCTACGAAAACATTTTTACTACCTAAGCCGCATATAGACTATCCTAAAGATAATCTTTTGATTACTAAAGTAATAATTTGTTTAGTAACTATTTAATAATTTAGGGAAATCGTTTTTCGTTCGTATAAACTTGTTTTAAATTTCACGATTTTTATTCCTATAGAAAAATTCTAGAGGCAGTTTAACTTTCCAGAAAGTTTGCCATCTTGTCCATTTTTATTCCTTCAGAAACTGTGGTTCAGCATCAAACTCTTCGATTCCGTATCTGTTAATTACCAGTTAAGCATAGATAAGATGTAGCCCCAAAAACAATTGATGGAACGCGGCAACGAAAACGGGAGATTTGGACCACACACAGTATACCTTGCGTGACGATTTTAGACTGTACGAGTGTCTATGCCAGCTCTAAGAGGTGGAGGAGCCTCATGATGGCTTCATGATTTTCAATTGGACATAAAAAGTGAACAAGCTGGTAAAATTTCATTTTGGCAAACCTTTTAAATCCCACATATATTGTGCTTATCCATGCCATTTCATTTTACTGAGAAGACAAAGGGGGGTGTATACACTGTTTTGATATACAGCATTTTACCATTCATATTAAACAACTCAAGAGTCATAAATACGTTATAGCAGTGTTCTCGTCTAAGCAACTCGATTTTAACCTGTCATTTTCATTGTGACACTTCAGCAAACATTCCAGTTGTATCCTCAAAAAAAAACATTGATAACCCGATAATAGTATTTTTCCATCGCGTTTCTGTGTTCTTGAAGTGATTTAGTTGGAGCAGTAGTGTTGAAAACCTTTCAGGAGAACTACAATTGATTCAAGAAATCTGACAAATAAGTTAATACTCGTAGTTTACGAGTGATCAGCAGACTCGAAAAACATGATTGAGTACAAGGTGTTGCTTCCCACAGCTCGTTCATTCCATATTTTTTTGTTATATAATGAGAATTTTTGGTAAATAAAATACCAATAGATGCTATTTGAGAAATATGTTTCTTATTCTCTTTTCTTTCAGTCAAGGCTTTTAAGAATAAAAATAGTTTATAGTTACTTCTCACAGAGGCGGAAGTGCTTGCCAAGACCTTTGCTGGTTTCCGGCACCAGCAATCCACAGGCGACATCCTTACGTCACGCAATTGTCTAGTAAACTCATACAGTCTTATGGTGAGGCTCATATCGTTGCTCTTTATATCACGAAAGCGTTTGAATAGCTGTGGCACGCTGTCAGGTTGCTTTTGGTGAGAACAGTGCCATAGGTAGCAGGGAGCGTAAACCACTATAAATTGTGAGAGTTTTATCATATATAGATTCTGTGATGCTTGGGTTGTGTAGCTGTAGCAGTAACATAATGTATATATAGCGACTTATTGTCTAAAATAACTTGAAAGATCAATACTTCATCGAAAAGAACTCATAATATTCGTATTTTCCACCTCTGTTATGAACTATCGTAGTAGTAATCTGTGAATTCCGTAATTCTTTGGTAATTAGTTAGGAAAAACTGAAAACGTTAAAACTGTCTATGTATCTTTATGTTTTGACGAAACCCATAGAATGTTCCCTGTAAAGTTGAGGTTGTTATTTTGCCTTTCCCATATTTCTGTAATCAATCATAGGTGCACGAATACCTGCGAGCAAAGCTGTGTTCACTGTACGAAAATGACTGCATATTCGACAAATTCGAATGTTCCTGGAACGGGAACGATTCTGCCATAATGACCGGTTCCTACAACAACTTCTTCAGGATGTTCGACAGGACGACGAAGCGTGAAGTCACGTTGGAAGCATCGCGGGACGTAGCGAAACCGCGCGCCATCTTGAAGCCGAGAAAAGTGTGTTCGCAGGGCAAAAGGAAAAAGGACGAAATCAGTGTGGACTGCTTAGATTTTAATAAAAAGATCTTACATACGGCGTGGCATCCGACGGAGAATATCATCGCCGTGGCTGCGACGAATAACTTATTCCTATTTCAGGATAAATACTAGTGTGTAATAGTGACGTATCCATTCGGTACATGTCGACATGGGCGGGAAGGTGTGATTGTACAGAATGGAATTTACAGTTTCGTTTCATATAGCTTGCGTGTAACAATCGCAAGATCACAGAGAGTTAAGAAAATGAAATGAAATTGAATCGTAGCAGGATTATACCAAGGCTTTTTTATAAATTGAAGGAGGTCTAGAGAACTTTTAGTTTCAGATTTTTCAATTGTGGGGAAAAGAAAAATATCATAGAGACCTTATAAAAAAGGCTTACAGCTTTTAAAGTATGTTGTGGATCTCAACTTGTAGAAGAAAATTGTTCATCGAACCAAAGTTTTTCCACAAGTAGTTTCTGAGATACATGACCTTTAAGTTGGGCAGTCCATATCATATTACAGCGTATGGTGGGATCAGTATAAGGTATGGAAATTTGTCAAAAGTATATATTAAAAATAATAATGGTCCAGTAAAGAGCCTTGTGGCACACCTGATGGTATAAACTGTATAGGTGAAATATTGCTCAGAGATACCTACTATTTCAAAAACTGTTCAGGATTATCCTCCACCATTCCATTCAGTAGTATACAGGGTGTAGACGGATGACCTGTTGCTTTTTCGATATACATCTATCTCTTTTTACATAATTGGATAGACTTAACATAGTTCTGAATTATTTCAAGTAGGGTAAGGTCGCATATGTTTTACCACTTTTTAGATGATTACCTATTAAAGGTACTATTAGGTTTAGAACCTTGAAATGTTTTATTTTTAATAATCTACTTATTTTTCTAACCAAAAATATTTTTCCACAGCTGTGTGGTTCTTAACACTTTGACTACTACGCATTCTGGTGATACATGACTCAACAGAAAATGGTACACTTTTTTCTCAAAAAAATATATTTTGATATATTTAACTATACAAACAGAATGAAAACAACAAGTTTTTCCACAAAAAAATATTTTTTTGACTGTGTCCAGGTACAGTACACACAGTCTATATAAAAAAAAATACAGCTTGATCACCTTAAAGTATGTATATCATGCATGACCACATTTCTCATTTACGTAAACTGCAGTTGTGAGTGTCGAAAAAGCATTTCATACATAAAAATTTGTGTTCACACCCCTGACAATGCATTTTAATCCTAGGAGTGTTTGCCATTGCATAGGCTCGACCATTTCTTTCACTATTAGCTTTGTAACATCTGGTACATCTACCCCTTGATGTTATCTCGATGATTTTGTGATTCCTAGAGATCCCTTCAGATGGAATATCTATAATATTATGCCTCTCATTGAAAAGTTTGTTTACAAGCTCCTCCCTGAACTTGGTTATATTTATAGTTTTTTTAGTAAAAAATTGATATGCTATGTGAACATTCACAACTGCAGTATTTGTGAGTATTTCTATGGCCACCTTTCTATACCATTTTATTCCGCGTCGAACAGTAGTCGAGTAGGAAGCCTTTTGGTCAGACACATCTATAAAAGACTTGATACTATTATGCTTTGCAATAGTAGATGGTTTTTTTACAACACCTCGTTTTGTTTGTACGTCAGTCATTTCAGGCACTGCTTCGGTCGTCAAAAATAAGACCTCTCTTTTGTCTCTCCATTTTCCCACTATCACATGGGTATTACTCTCACGTACAATCAAGTCCCCTTTTTCCAGTTTTGCATCTGTAATTGGCTTTGGATTAAATTTCCTATTTTTTCTCAGAGTCCCAATAAGGTGTGTCTTTCTATCCAAAAGTTCGTGTGCGAGGCTAACGCTAGTATAAAAGTTGTCTGTGCATAGTAGACGTCCGCAATCTAAGAGAGGCTCCATAAGTTCGAGAACTACGCGACTAGCAACTGACTGTGAAGTCGGGTTGTCCTCCTTGCCTGAATATACTTTTAAGTTGTATGTATAACCTTTCTCCGCACACAGTTTGAAAATTTTTACTCCGTATTTATGTCGTTTACCCGGTATGTATTGACGAAAGCTAATCCGGCCTCTGAATGGAATCATTGTTTCGTCAATACATACGTTTTTTTTGGGAATACATGCAGCTTGAAAATTAGTAATGAGACCGTCTGCTAATGGTTGAATTTTGTATATGCGATTCGTACGGTCTCATTATCTGAAAAATGCAAATTTGATAGAAGCAATTCAAACCGCATTCTTGACATTCCAATGTATTTTCCCAAATCATTTTTGTATAGTATATTGCGCGAAAAGTAATCTTTCAGTGTCGGCTTTTTGTCTAGTCCCATCCAAATTAGCATTCCTATGAATGCTACTATTTCAGACTCATTAGTATCTTTCCAGTGAGTTAATAGTGAATTTTTTTGGATAGTTTCATGATATAATTTTTTGCGTCGCATAGCGGTTTGTTTCTTGAACTATCATAGGAATGATATCGGCCAAGAAAAGCTTATAAAAGTCTAAAGGCTCATCTCCGCTTCTTTTCGCAACAAACTCTGCAGAGAATCCTGGGTTGGCATTGAACGGATGATCCTTCAAATTTCCTGAAGAGAAAAATACTTTGTAGCGTCACAATAAATCCTAATTTACTTTATTTTACCTGAACAATCATTCCAGATAACTCGAACTTCATGTGATCCACTTACATCTCTGTTGGGGCTGCACTCATCTGAGCTACTCTCGCTGCTTTCAGACAAATTCACTTCACTGTCAACAGGAGTGTCTATAGCCCCGACATTTGCATTTGCTTCCACACAAATTTCTAGCTTCTTTCTTTTTCTTGCAGTGCCAGCATCGAATTCACTATCGGTACTTTCTGATGAACTGAAATTCTCGAAGTCTGGATCACCCACTGAGTCATCGACGTCCGATTCGTATTCACAATCGCTCATATTATTAATTATTCCCTCCAACTCCTTATCGGTTAAAGCCCTATCACCCATTTTGCATTCAAGAACGCAACCGAGCACGATGAGCAGAAGAAGCAACTACGACATACGACCAAAACGTGTAAACAATACGTACACGTTACGACTAAATTACTATACAGCTTGGTGCTTCCATCTATGAATTAAGGGTAAAACTATTTGGAAAAATCTTTCGTCAAAGGCTTTCCAAATCCTCTTTATATGGTGTCGAGGTTAACACTCGAGATTTTTGCGGTCCTTTTGTCTTCGTTTTATTTTCGCCACCTTTTGTAGAGGGCAGAGGAAGTACTTCTTCGATAGAAACACAAGAGAGGCATTTTATCTTCTTTCTGACTTCTTATAGGGGAAGGTCGCTATCACTTTCGGATGTGTCAGAATTCTGCATCATTTCTACATAATTGTTTGCTCTTTCAGTCTCATTTGAATTTATTTTAACTTCTAGCACATGATGGTGCATAATCCAGATCACTGAAGATATTTCTGTCAACAGGCCATATCCCATCCCACATTTTCTAAAACCATTTATGGCATTGCCAATTTATTGCTGCAGCTCTTCCATAGGCTCCACCAAGAATTTGTGATACCTGAAACTGCGTAACAGCTAACTCAGGCTGTTCTCTCATCCACTTTTCGACACCTTGGTTGAAATACAGCTCTAAAGGCGTAAACACGGAAACTTCGAGGGGCTGCAGTCGATGTGTAGTATGTCCAGGTAACTGTAACATCATAACGCCGTCATTTCTAGCTAACCTCACAGCATTGAGGTGTTTGGAGTGAGTTGTATGCCCATCTAGAACCAACAGCACTTTCTTTCCGAGAGTAGGTTTTTCAACGTCAATAAATGCCCTAAGCCAAGTTCAGACGTTTTTCTTTTAAATATGAGCATTGGAGCAACATATTGCCCAGATGGACTAGTGGAGACAACCATGGTTATATTTACTCCCCTTTCACTGCTGGCTATGACCTCAACCTGGTGTTTACCTTTTCTAGCAAGAATCTTTTGACATTTTTTTTTTCACTGATGAAAAGCCACTTTCATCGACAAACTGAATATTTTTGTAGCATCTAGGTTATTCTCGTCAACCAGTTTTTCTAGGATATTAAAAACAAATCCCATACTTCGAGCTAAAGACGTAGCCTCTGGTTGTCTTAATGAAATATTTGGGTATCTTTTCATAAAACCGTAAAACCACTTTTTGCCCGCCATCCTTCCTTTTTTCTCCATTGAAATTATTTTTAATGGAAGAAGCATTCTTCTTCGAGTATTAAAATCTGTTCCTTGAGTTGCTTTTCAATCTCAGCACTAAATATGGTACAGCAACCTGATGGCTTAACTCCCTGATTAGCTTTAACACTTGAGGATTTTAAATGTTGGTTTAGGAACATTATACATTTGACAGATCTCATTTAAGCCGTATTTCCCTGACCTATATTTTCTAATAGCTTCCTTCATATTCGCTTCTGACCTCTGGCCATATCTAACACCTTTTCGGCTCATCCTGTAAAGAAAAAAAAATACATAGTAAACTAGTTTACTATATTCGGCTGGTACTAATTAAATAGCTCACGGGTGATACAAATTAGGCCACCAGTATCGTTTATTAAAATTAACGAAATTATTGCCAAAAGTGAGGTTAACCAGGAAAGACACTATTGAAAAACATTGCTAAAAGACATGCAGTTTGATAAAAAAAAATAGTTATAGCCTAACTAAAACCTTATATTTTAGCCTAAAGCTCAAAGAAACACATGCACATCCCACGTTTGTGGATAAATAATCAGCTTTGATTTTCTGCGATGGCGGCTTAACCACACACGTGATTTTTTTCACACTATTTATCTGTAGTACTTTGTATTCTAGAGCTTAGGTGGGGCCATACATAAGAGGTTTCAAAGATATTAAAATGGTACAATTTAGGAGGCGGTACAATATAGGCGACTTTCCCCTATCTGTCATGATAATAATTATTATTTATTTTGTCTAAAAAGCAAAATTATGTCAACCAAGTTGATACCTCATGCACCCAGTCCTTAAATTTTTCGAATAAAAACATCGTAATAAGACAGCCGTGAATCTGTACATTTTCAAACCACAATATTTTTAAATTGTTTTTAGATACTTAGACAAGAGTTGTTGATATCTTAAAAAAACTCGACAAATCGCATAAGTATTTAGGTCTTTCCAAATTTGTAATAAAAATGAACCTTTGATATGCAGCTCAGTAATAGGGCACGTAAACATTGTTGAAATATCTTTTCCCACAGGGGTGGTATGGATAATCCTGAACAGTTTTTGAAAAAGTTTGATTCTCAGAACAATATTTCATCTATGAAAATGTGGGCTAGTTGAGGCGATGTTAAAAATGTAAATAGATATCAAACAACTATACAGTAGAACCCCGATTATCCGAAATAATGTGGACCCAAGTGCTTTCGGATAATCGAAATTTCGGATTAAATGGAAATAAATATTCAGACTCATAATGTTTTTATTGAAAAAAGTAATTGCGTGTGTTAAGTGAGTGTATACCTATATAAAGTTACGTAAAATATAAACATGTGGATACAAACATACATATTTACGAGTATTTAGTAACAAAGGAAGTAATTTTTAACGGTACACGTTTTGCATTATTCCTATTTATGGCAGCAATATCCCACCAACGTTTGACAAGTAGCACATCAGCTGCTCTCGGATTTTCTTGTTGTTCGACGTAAATCAACGCCTTTTGTAGAGCTTCTAATCCCTCAGAATGTAATATTTTGGCAGAGATTTCTGTCTCATTGTCACTAGCATCACTTAAAACTGTCTCGCCATTGTTACAAATAGTTTTTATTAGTTCTGTATCAGTTAATTCTTCCACCATTTCATCACCATTAATCCACTAACCAACATCTGCTTGGGGTAAGATTTTCTCACCCTGCTATTCTTACGACGAATTTTCGTTGTTATTCACATAGTCTGCGCAAGGTTCCATTTCTTGCTTAATTATTGTCGGCCAAGATTTTTCGAAAGGAGAATTTTTTACTTGGCCCATGCTTCTGCTACATTCTTGGGGTTATTCTAGTTTAAGCAATCAACGAGGTTAAAAACATCATCAACTTGATCTAAAATTTACTCTAATAACAAACTCTGTAATTACGTTTTAAATTTTCTAAAACTCCTTGATCCATTGGCTGAATCAGTTACGTTACATTAGGAGGCAAAAACGTCACTCGTATTATATCGTTCTGTCTTGGGAACAAAATGATTGTAAAACCAGTCCCTAAATAGAGCGGCATCCATCCAGGCATTTATTCGATTTTTATACCACACTGGAAGAGCGTTTGGACGGACGTGTTCAAATGCTCTTGGTTTAGCTGATTTTCCGTACCGGACGGATTGCTACAAGCAAGGATAGTCACACGTTCTTTACTGCGTTTGTAACCAGGAGCTCCAGATTCTTGTTTTGAAGCTAAACTTTTCGCCGGTAACATTTTATAGTTTAGGCCCGTTCCGTCGCAGTTATGAATTTGTTCTGGATTTAAACCATACTGCTTCATTAATTTTTTAAAATGTTCTCCAAATTTTAATGCAGCGGACTTAACGGCAGATAACTTTTCAACGCAAACTTTTAATTCTCGTATACCGTGTCGTTTTTTCCATCTATGCAGCTAATCATCACTAGCTGTAAAGTTATCAGGCGCCTCAATAACTAGCAATTCTTCACTTAAGTTCACTGCCTTTTGCCTTAGAATTGGTCCGGAAATTGTTATTCCACGTTCTCGATTCTGTGCAAACATAGATATAAAGCATCATCCACTTTTTGATATTACCCCTTTTTCATAGTTTTCCCTGACGGCTGCGATGATGTCAGTACACTAGACCACTTTTCAGTTTTCTTGCGTTGTTTTCCCCATTCTGAAATGGTACTCACGCCCACACCCAAATCACTTGCCACTTTTTTTAAGCAAATCACCTCTATCTAAACGTCTGTTGCCTCAAGTTTCTATTTTATGGTAATAACAACGCGTTTACGTTTATTGCTATGCTGCTCCATCTTACCTATTATAAACCTGACTGAAACAAAACATACACGCACACATACCTGTGAATTCCGCAAACGCCTTCGGGGAATCACCGAGAGCGAATCCAATGGCAAGCGCCGAAAGGGGAACTACCGGCGGCTATTTCGGATTATGCGCCGATTTCCCGAACAACTTCGGTTAAAACGGAGAAATTATTGTATGCGATCTGTTTCGGATAAAGTGGATTTCGAATAATCGCGATTTGGATAATCGGGGTTCTACTGTATTTGTATATTGGGTCCCGAACATAAAATACCGAGTAGAGATTGCTCAAGTTAGAAACTACTTGTGGAAAAAATTTAGCCCCATGTGCAATCTTGTTCTGCCATGTTGAGATATGCATCATACTAAGTTTTAAGAATTTAGCCTAAAGCCATTCCCCATAAAGTTTGTGCAGGATTTTTATTCAGTTTTTCTCAAACATGCAAACAATAATTTTGAGGTAATAGACGGGAATGAGTAAAGGAGAAGAGCTCATACGTGAACATGTAATGGTTATAGTTGAATCAATACTTCTTATAAATAACCTAAAAAGTACAAGCTCCTTCTGATACACCAGTTTGTTGAAATGTTCTAGTTTTCTCCTAACACTTCAGAGGTGTGATGGTATCACATATTATGTACGAAAAAAGATATATAATCTAAACTTTGATTTTTATTTACATAACTTTTCCGCTAGAACCAATATACCAAGATGGCATCTGACACGGCATCCAACAGTGTATATATTCAAAAATATGGTTCAAGTTACCATAATAGTCCATTACCATGTGAGGTCTCAACGCCTTAGAATTCCGTTTGTTTTACTATGAAGAAAAAATGAATAATTTGAAGTTTTGGTCACGTGGTCTATATTTATATTTGTGGAATATTTCAAAATCAAAACAGATTCAAAGTGTTCCAGATAAAGATGCTGGTAATCGAATGGAACATTTTGTGGCAATGCAAACCTTAACCTGGAATTCAACGGGATCACTTCAATTCTTTTTTAATTGGGTATGTAAATGAAAACATAACTTGATACCCAAATGGTACTTTGATGTTTAACTGAGCTTTGATATTCCCCAAGACATTTTATAAAAAAAGTGCAATTCATATTTGAAATATGGTTTATATAATCTTCTTGTAACGTCACATTTTCCTGTCCAAAGTATCTTTGGCTGGCCTAAAATTTGAGGTTTAAGAGTTAAGACGGGGAAGGGAGGGAAATTCGATTACAAACAAGTGTTTTTCAGCATATTTACAGTGCAACTGAGGAATAAAAAATGTAGTTAATGAATGTGTTTGAAATTTATATTGATCCTATTATTCAAGTATGCAGTGCCATATATGTAGTAGGATATTTTGAAAAAATATCTTTCATCAAAAAGGGCATTAAGAAAAACTCTAAAAATCACACTTTCAAGTACATAAAAAATCAATAATTAATATGAAAACTTGAATTTTTCAAATTACCTCATTTGCAGATGCAAGTTGTGTATGTTGGACTACTCAATTCCATAATTTGATTGTGAATCGTTCACCTATTTATTGCAAACACACATAAATTTCGATAAACCATAACAAATCTGATACTTTTTGCCTATCCGATGAGACAAGAAGTTCCTGACACCAGATTGTGAAACGTTTAAACATTGATCCTAAAACAGTAAAAAAGACAACTTTTGACTGTCGAAAATAGCATTTAATATATACACTTGGGCATTAATTTTATAGATTTATTTTGATAACATTATAGTAGATAAGCACTAAAACATTGTTTGAAATCAATTAATTGAATATGTATTCTGCAAATCCTACAAAACTTGAGGCAATAACAATAGTACAGTGACGAAAGTATATGTACAGTTTAATTGTGAACTCTGATAAGATAATTCACATTTTCCAAGTAATTTAGATATTTTTCTACAATAGTAATGGGCCATGAACCTGTACAACATCTTCCCGCCTTTATAAGAACAAAGAATGTTATCGCCTTTTCCATTATCATTGGTAATCATAATATTAATAAAATTCAAACCAGAATTGCAAATACTTTGTACATCCATTACAGAATTCTTTATTTTTAAAGTTACATTTTTTTGTTATTCTATTACGATACCTTATACCTGAATTTATTGTTCAATAAAAAGAAAGACAATATTTTTTGAGGATTATTTTTTGTATTATAAACAGAGTCCGAACTTGCAAACTGTGTTGTGTGTTCTTACACTATTGAAATCTGACTGACACAGATCAACATCTGCTGTTTGAAAGTTATCTTACACTATATTCAGAGCAGCCAGATTGAACATAACAAAATTGGTGCAAAAAGGAAAATTTGTTTCAGAAAAATATGCATTAATTTCCCAATCTTCAGTCAACATTTGTATAGAACAATTGAAAATAAAATTAAATGTAAGCAAAATAAAATACAATACTGTTTCCTGATTTTGATGTCCATAACCATACAGCCATATTTTTATTCTTTAAACGGTGTTTTAAAGGCTACAGGGTGATTAAAATAAAAGTAGAATTATTTCTGGAGTAGAAGGTATGACTAAAAGTAAGTTAAAAAGCTTAACTATATGACCTATTTTTTACACCGAAGCAGCTGCACAGACAGAAGCCTAAATGCTAGGGCATCGCGGCTGCTATAAGAAGATTAAAGAAACTTAGAAATCTGATTTTTGAACTGTCCAATGTTAGTAGAACTGGAAAAAGGCTCATGCAGATTGCCACACAAATACCCTAGGGACAAAGGAGCGGTTGTAACGGCCAGTTCTGGATGTATGAAGTCTGACATGGACAGAATGCGAGACTGAAGTCAGGCGGGTCTGTCTGGGAGGCACATTTTGCGGCGGCATCATGGAGGCGAGCTCTGTGGAGCAAATCCCGTTGGCGTAGCGGTAGAAAAGAGCTCGATTGCTCAGTGTTGTAAATTTCTACGCCACTGATGAGTTCGAGTAAGCACAAACCGTGCATTTCTTCAAATAATGCTATCGGTGAGATGGGATTATTCCCCTAACATACTGCAAACAAATTTGTGTCAAACATCACTAACTCCAGCATATTCTCAAAATAGAACGGATTTAAATTTTTATGCTGATTTCACCTTAAATTTTCAAACCATTTCACGTAAATCGTAACGTTTCTGAAAAAAGTATGTGGCTTAGAAAATATTTTTTGCTTCTGTAGGTATCAAAAATCAAAGTTCTACGACGCTGGACATATTTGTTGCGATTTTGATTCCGAAATTATAACTTCAACATCCTGTTTCTCGATAAGATTGCATTTTAGGATCCGTTTATTTGAAATTTTCGTTTATTTATGAACCTACTTTCTACCCCAGAAATGTCACGGTTTCTTCACCCTGTTTATGACATATGTGTATTATACTCGTTACTAGTACTTTTCAAAATTAGCCTCATATGCAGGTAAACGTAATCGATGATAGATTCAGAAGCAAAATTATTTATTTGTAATATTTATTGCAGAAGCCAAATGTTGAAATGGTTCAGACATAGAAGACGAGATTCCCATTAGTCCATGCCTGTCCAACATAATTTTATAGAGGGCCATGTTTAGTATTTTCGTAACCATAGCGGGCCAAAAGAAAAGTAAAATGACACATTCTAATATAGTTCTCAAATTCAAAAAAGACTCATTTTTTTACTTATATTTAGGTAGGTACTCTTAAAATCTAACTAATGAGATGTCTGACATTTGTTCTGTTTGCACAGTGTATTTATGTTAGCTGGTATTTTAGAACTTGCTAGGCGCAAAATACCTGTAAGATGGCTGTCTAATCAAGATGATCTCGTTTTTGATTTGTTATATTTCTTGCGGGAAAACAACTGCTCGAAAATATATGTACTACCGATTAAAGAAATGTTTTGAAGAGCTAATTTAGTATTGGTTGGGTGAAATATATTTTTTGCAAAATCAAATTAATTCGTTTGGAAGACAACCATTGTATGCCATTTTTAGATGAGAACAACTTAGCAATTCAATTAATCCTAACTGTAGATTCGGTTCTGCGTTTTCAATTTCAACATCAAGTGGATTTTGTAACACTTTCACGCTGTAAACTTGCGATTTGAAGTCTACGAATCTCTCATTAAACTCATTCCTCACAACCTTTGCAACAACAACGCGTATTTTGTAAAGTGCAATGACTCTTGATTTCTTGCAGATACGGTCTCCCAATTAACCAACTGCTTTCGTTCCAGCTGCTTTTCCAACAATAAGAGCTTCTTCGTGAAAACTTGAACATGTTCATATAACTGCGTGCATAGTTAATCTTTCCCTTGCAGTTTGAAGTTTTTGTGCGCGCGCAGTTCCTATTAAGGCGGGTATCCATTTGTATCATATTCGGCTCGTTGTAAGATGATACGGTTGGGTCCGGAAGTATATTTGAATTTTGGATTAGAGTTTTAACCGGCTCGCAGACCTGATAAAGGGCCTATGCAGGCCGGCTGGTGGCCCGGGGGCCGTATATTCGACAGGCCTGCATTAGCCAACATACACTTGGTAGATAGTAAGGAAGTTCAAAACAAATCCAATAGAACAGATTTACAAACAGTAAGATAAAATACTATGTAAATTGTCAGTTATAAATAAAGTATGGTACCACCATTACCACTCAGCTCAATCATCGTAGTTATTCCCAACAAGGTATTTTACCAGAGACTCTTCAATACAGCATACCAAACAAATTAATATAATGTTGCCTAGCTATAGACTGAACTGATCTGGTCCACTGTGGATGATCATTCAAGCCTTTCAAAAATCCATTGTTGAAAAGAACTGATTGTGAAGTAGTGTAAAATGGCAACACTGTCGCGGTGTTGTCCATACATTTAACTGGTGTTTCCTCCCTATGATGAATGAATAATTTTAATACTACATATTGTGTATGCCAAAGTTCGAAATGAAGTTTGGATTAATTTTTTATCAATAGCAATGATAGTTTTTGTACGTTAAACATATGTTTTGCCTGTATATGTTGTCTATATCTACAAATATTTCACGTATTTATGTCTAGTTCATATTTCAGGCTGTAAAATGGTTGCACTTTATAGAAATCGTCACGATATGTGCTTTGTAAACGTCAAAAGCCGATTTTTTAAGGAACTTGTTTGGTTAGTATGTAAAAGTAATGTACAAAGGTATGATTAAGCTTCACATCAGTGTTTGATGTGGTTGTTTTGCTGGGTCTATAAAGATGTTGATATCCTACTCAAGTGGAAATGATTATAATTTAAATAAGATAATGGTTAGCTCAACAGATACACTTGAATGGAAGCAAGCTAGGAAACCCATGTCCTTTCTTTGGAATCTTATACCAAAAAAACATCAGCTTAAATTAGTATATAAACTTCTGGCAAGTTCTTGCGTAACCAATGTTCAACCGAATTTTCTTGTAATGTGAATGATGTTTTATTAGATTTTGGCACATTGGGACACAAGTAGCAGTTTTTTGAGTAACAAGTGTTACTGGCTACTGGAATATCTCGTGAATGACCGTTCTTGCAGAGTATCAAAGATGACATTTTTTGTATTACCTAGATCTATTACTATTACAGAAAGTAAAAGCCTCGCCTTTGTATGGAATAGGCTTTTTCATTTGATATCTTACAACCCTTTATCGTATTAGCCCATGTTATAGAAAATGACAGTTTTGATCAATTTATGGTTGCACTTCATAGAAATCGTCACGATATGTGCTTTGTAAACGTCAGAAGCCGATTTTTTAAGGAACTTGTACAAATTGTAAATAATAAATAATTTTTTACCAGTTAATCCTACTATAGATTTATTTGTAATTTTAATGGTACATACAATTATTTAGGTAAAAGATCATTTAAGAAATAAGAGCGATTAAAGACCCTAAACATACCACGCCATACAGATATTTGTTCCAGGAAAACTGCAAGCTAGACAGAAAGTAACTCGTTAAGATTAGCTTTAATAAATGTCCTTAATTTTTTTATAGCAAGGTACCTGCAGTGTCTTAAGCATAACGTTGATGAAACTATATAGATAATTGTTAATAGGAAGAGGGAAGATGTGCCATTTTATTTTTTATAATGTCATACACGGGTAGATTCAAGAAACATTAATAGCAAGATAGATGGAACCATCCGTCATTGGGATACAGATTTTTAGCTGTTCTTTTTATCTTCGACTTCGTCAGCTGTGGATTAGCCATATTATACGTTTGCTGTGTTTTTACAAGGTACGATTCCAGAATCGTTCTGAGCTGCCAGTAGCCAATCGCAATGCGATGTGAAATGACTAGAATAATTTGCGCGGAACAGTTCTAGGATAGTTTCTTGTAAAACTTATATATAGGCTAGTCCGAGATGAAATGGTATGAGAATTTGTTACAGCACTAATTAGAAATCTACGTTGAAAAGGTCAGTGCCTCATAGCTGGCTATGTCAGCACTATATTCTCATATAGCATATATTTGGCTGCAGCGCCATCTATGAGACACTAAGCTTTTCAAAGTAGATTTCTAATTGATGCGGAGATGACTGTAGTTGCGACAAATTTTCATAGATGACGCTACAATATCTCATTTTATCTCTGATAATTTATTAGACGCGGAAATATACTATTAGTTTGGCTATATTCTGGTAGGAAGTTGAAAAAAATTCATACATATATAAAATATAAAAAGTAGTAAAAAATGTGAATATAACCTTAGCTTTTAACACATTATTTTAAATACTATTCTGCACTACATATTAGCAGCAGGGAGATTTATATTTTTTTTTGTATTTAATTTTCAATATTAATACTGATACTGATAATAATTGTTGATTAGATTTGTGATGTGGCTATTGAACATGACTATCGTGGTAACGTAAATATTTATATTTTTGGTGCTAATAAACAAATATATTTTTAACTAAGCAGTCATTTAATGCTAAGGTATTTGTCAACTGAAGTGTAAAGTGAATGATTTAATACTGAGTCTGATATCTCAATGATGAATGGAGAAAGGTTGTAGTGAAAGGTAATCTTTGATTATTTTTTGGAATGTATTAAAATTTTTCAAAAAGGAAAAATATGACTATATGATCTTACACATGAGTCAGTTGTGTTGTATGGCTGAAGGTATTTTTGGGTATATTCATCTAATTCGTTATCAAGAGTGCAGTGTCAGGCTTAAAATAAAGCATTTAAATATTGCCTCCAGTGCCATGTATATTTGTACAATTTATGTGGATGAAATTGTATATATAATTAATTTTTAATTACTTAAGCTGAAATAAACAATAAATCCCTATTTCAGTAATATTATTACTATTCTATATGTTATTGGTTCATACATTCCTTTGCCCTGGAAATAGAAGTGTATTTAAATTTCTGTATGCATAATATACAATTATTGTTAATCACATACAGTTAACTGATGCATTAAATTTTTGTTGTAGTTGCTGATCTCTAATTTATCCCTTAAATATGTCAAATGTCCACTAATAGCAAATGTCCACTAATAGCATATAAATATGCTACGGAAAGTATCTGTTCAGCACTTTTGTTATTTGAGTAAGTACTACAACCCAATTCGTCCCAAATGAGGGTGACCCAGAACATGTAATTTTATCATTGTGTAATTTTAGTGACAAATGTAAATTTCCCTGCCCATATAGTGGTGTTGCCAAATATTGAAAAGCACCCTGTTCGATTTACTGTTACATCTGAAGCTTATGCTCAAAAGAAAAAATAAATGAAGTGTCACCTGGAAGGCATAAAATACTGTCAAAAGTGTCATGTACTAAAGGTCACCCTTGTGACCTAAACGTCTACTACATTAAAAAAGAATTACAGATATATGAGATTTTATTGGCCAGACAAACATGGGAAATTATCCCCCAAGTTTGTCTGGTCAATCAAACCACATCTCTTTAAAATCTTTATTGTATATGTTTAGGTTATTTATGTCTTCCATGGGACACTTAGTTTGTTGTTTCTTTGCATTTTCACATTCCTATATAGAGTGTTACTAGAGTAGTCTGAAAGGCCCTGAACATGCTGAGATTGTTCAAGCCATCATTTAAAATTTAAACACGCAGATGTTTTACTTCGCCATCACAAGGCCAAACTGTTGTGGTTTCATTTTGTCACAGAACAAACGACATAGTTCGCTTTAGATATCGAAGTGCTATTTCTTATGTTTCATATCCATAAACAATGCATTTGCAACATTTTGGTAGAAGATTGCATAACAATTAACCAGTGTGTTACGACAACAGATGTGTATTTCCGCGTTTTTTTTTTTGTTTTTTTTTGAGGGCGTTTGGCGTTTTGACGTATCTGGGAGCGGGTTTCATTGTAAAATTTGAAATGGGCTTCACGCAATCTCAGCATGTTACAGAAACTTTCAGCCTATCGTAGTATCACAATGTACAGGAATGTTGATAAGAAAAGATAATCAAACAAAGTGTCGCCTGGAAGACAGATAAATAAAATGTATTGTCAAAAAGTGTCAATTGTACTGAAGGGGGTCACAACAGTTGGGACCAAAACGTATACAATAAAGAAGAATTTTAAAGACGTGGTCAGACAAACATGGGGGATTATCTGGCCTCTTTTATTTATTATTATTCCCGTAATTTTCTACCGCAACCATTAGTCACCAATAGAGCAAGAGTCATGAGAAAGGGCATAAGGTTTTGATGGGGATAAAAATTGCACATACTGTCAACAGGAGTACAATTCTTCTAGACATAGGCACTAATAAACAATAGTTTTCTTTGAATATACAAGTACAAGCTCATTCTTTGAAAGCATGAATTTTAATTTCTCCATCGTCACTACACGAAGCCAAAAGTCCAGGTACAACAGGGTTCCAGGACACACAGTTCACGTCCTGAGAATGTGCTTTTTCCAATGTGCAAATCAGGCTAAAAGAGGGCGCATTATAGTCACAACTCTCGTCTTCTTTGAATATCCTGATAGCATCGTCCCCGCAAGCTGTGGCTATAAGATTTGTCAAAGGACACCAGCTGATGTCATAGATGGTTCTAGAATGGTATCCTGACAAAGTACATACACATTTCCATGTTGAGTCATTATTTTCTGTAGGAATGCCCTCTGGATTACCTACAGGAGCAAATAAATAATGATTTTAATAGTAACTATTACGTAATGAATGACGGATTCCAATACTGACGGCTTGTATGTAACCATTTTGCATAATTTATATGAGGTAAATATAAATTGATTGTTTAGGGTATATTTATCATGGAAACAGTTTATTGTATGACTGTTATAAAAAGATAAATGAACTGTATAAATTGTGAGTTGTTAATAGAATTCATATGGTCTAAGGGGTCACAAATAACATATTTTGTTTGTCAATGATCACAAGTGAAGGCAGACAGAAGATTGTTCTTGTTAACAAAAATTGCACAGCTTGGCAGTATAATGAACTACACAAAATTTTGTGAACACATGTATCATACATGGTTTTGCTGAAGTGCAAAAAAAGTGTGGCATATTGTACAAACCTGGTGGGTAAGCCTTCCAAATTTTCACTGTCTTATCATCACTACAAGAAGCTAGTCTCTTTCCATCTGCATCAAAACTTATACTCCAAACAGTAGATTCATGTCCTGTCAATGTATTAGAGCATATCCAGTCACCATCATTTGGGTCATCACGAAACAGTTTTATAGTATTGTCATAAGAAGCAGATGCCAAAAGATCTTTATCAGGATGGAATAGTACCTGTAAAATAGATAAATGCATATATGTATATGTTGCTGATTTGCACTTTTTGATGCAAATGTCTGTATACAAAAAAGTATCCAATTAAACAATAGGAAATTTGAAGAAAGCTGGAATTTTAGGCAAAATGATATATAATAAATGCAAATTTCTAGGAAGGGTTAGAGAAATAGGTACTCAAAATTTGACCAAGTTTGTACCTGCTACAGCTCCACTTGCTCCAATAGAAAGTTGAAAAATAAATAATATAATAATAATAGAATAGAAAAATAAAAATAAACGACAATTGAAAGTCCTCAAAATTTGAAGAGCTAAAATTTTAGCAGTCCTGAAAGGTTATTAAATTTGAAAATGGATGGGAAATGACATTGGTTATGTGTATATGTATATCTACACCATGGATAGCTAACTTACAGTACTCTACAGTCCTTTGTCAGTTTATTAGACACACTGTATTTCCAATTGTATGTGTTGCACTAGATTATGTGCAATATTGTTTGGGACCACCTATTTGTACGCTAGACCTTACCACACGGCGAGACTTATTTACAAGAGCAAAATATCCCCTTGTTGCAGTGGCGGCTCGTGCCAATTCAGTGAGGTAGTGCCAGAATGGAAGCCATAATTTTGAATCGATTCAAAATTGTAAAGAATAACTTATAACTTACCCCTGATAGTTAGTGGTCAAAGTTCTTGAGGTTCAATAAATCTATATGTCCAAAAAAAAATCAAAAATAAAACTATTTACACACGCGCACCAAATTATAAAACAAGTGTGGAGAAGTACCTATAACTTCAAAGTTTTCTATACATGAAGTCCATTCTTCTTTCTTTTTTGGTAGCAAAGTTTTCGATTACCTTATTATTAAAATTTTCAATGCCACTAACAAAATGTTTTTCTGCAGACAGCATTCCTAAAGCACTAAGCCTTTCTTCCTTCATTGTGTTTCTGAGGAAAGTTTTAATCCGTTTCAGCATTGAAAAAGAGCGTTCTGCTTCAGATGTTGACATCGGTATAGTGATTAAAATACTTAAGAGCTTAAGAGTTTCTTGAAACGTACAATTTAATCCTTCCTCGTTCAATAAAATGGATAGTGGAACAGCTCCAGAAGTAGTACTCAATTCTTCTCTCTGATATAATACTTGTAACTCAGTTTTAAGCCTGTTTTTGTCTAAAAATGAAAATTGTGTGCATGTGTCATTTAAATGTGCTTCAGGAAACTGATGTTTATAAACAGAAAACTTTTCAGACACAAATAAATTAGAAGCAACTAAATGCCCAGAAAAGTTAAATCTTGTTCTTATTTGCGATAATACTGCATCGCATATTTCTAACGCTTCCCGTTTTTTGCTGCCTTCTTCAACTTGCCTTTTTTTTCTTGCCGGTTCATCAGTTTCTCTCTGCACTCGTTCAATCTCGTCAATAATGCTATCCATTTGTTCTCGTATAGTTTGAATTGCTGCTTCAAAATTCTCTAAATCATTTTTGACCTTAACAGAATCGGTGCATACTTTTTGTAATTGGTTAAAGACAATTTCAACATGTGGCATTATTTTATGGAATATACTTAGCCAAAATACAAAATTTGTATCTTGCAGCTTTAATTTGTACCCACTGGCTTGATTAATCGACGAAGAATCGCGTGAAGTACTTTCTATATTGTCCATAACTTCAATCAGGTCTTTCCTATTTTCATAAACTGTATGAACACCTCGTGACTGAAAATTCCAACGTGTTTGGGAAGATCTTGGCAATCTGCGATTAACTATTTCATCCAAAATTTTTGTTCTTTGAGGAGACGTCGAAAAAAAAGAGCACAATCCAGATAAATTATGGAAAAATATTCTAGCCTGCTTATTGACAGAGCATGCGCTTGTCATAATTAGATTTAACTGGTGTGCATAGCAATGAACATAATTTGCAAGTGGATAAGTTTCCTTAATAATCTTTTGAACGCCATTCAATTCACCACTCATAACAGACGCACCATCATAGCTTTGAGCTATTAATTTGTTTGGATTTTGATCTATTAATGGATTTACAACATTTAAAACGCATGCAGCGATTGATTTGGCATCGTGTCCGTCGGGGACGTAAAATCTCCAAAATCTCTCAACTGGTTGTCCTTTACACAAATATCTGAAAATAATAACTAACTGAAATTCACAGGCTACGTCAGTCGTTTCATCGGCAATTACTGCAACAAAAGGAGAATTTGCAATCTCCTTCTTAACTTCTTCATGATAAACATCTAGCATGCACTCAAGAAGCTCGTTTTGAGTTGTTTTTGAGGTACCCTTGAAAAGTTTGGCACTTTGAATATGGACTTTCAATTCGTTGTCTAATTCGGCGCTAAAATTCACCAGCTCCTTAAATATGCCTCTGTTATCCGAATTTTCCTTTTCATCGTGACCCCTTAAGGCTAACTCAAATGCTCCACAAAACCTTATACAATTAATAATTTTATTCAATACATATCGATTCTTATCCACTTGATTATTATGTTTAATTAGATCATTGCGATAAGCCGAATTGAGTTGAGTCCTTATATTTAATTTACCAAGAATAGAAAAGCTAAAAACATTATTCATATGGACTTTAGATTTTTCGTGGGTCTTCATTTTATCCCATATATGTATAAGATCATCTGTACCTTTTTTTGACCAAGTCTCGTCACCTCCAAATAGAACACATACAAAACAAAATAGTTTATTCGTTTCTTCACAACCACATATCCAGCTGTTTTTATCGTACACATTTTTATTAAATTTGCGACAGCGCGATTTTTGTCCGCTACCACTTTGTTTCTCAATTTTTAAATCGGGTATTGGCCGTCCTAATTCTTTAATTTGCAGTTTTTGATCCAGCGAAAAACCACTAAATGAGTTTTTTAATATCCCGATTTTATTCATTTTCACTAGTTTTAATAAAACAGTAAAAAATATGATCACAAAACAGAGCAGTTCATTAACACTAGACGTACTAAAACAAAAACGTTATTTCTCACTTTTCAGGTAAAAAAAGACCGAAATCAGCACTAGACGTAATCATAACGAAACGACCGACCGAACAAAAACACCGCCGATATCATTTGATAACGAATTACGACTGATGATGTGCCTGGCACAAATTATACTTGTCTTTCGCTATTCACCTCATATAAAAATGTGTATTGTAGCGTTATCTCTGTCGCTCGTATGCGATGCTGGTAAAATTTCTCTCTTTTTATTTGGGCCGGCCCGACATTGGCACAAGTTGATGACGTCAAGGTCAAGGCATGCTTTATATCTCGTCGCGTGGTTCGGGTGCTTGCGGTGTTGTCACGTTGTCAGTGTTGTCACTTCATATAATTTATACCAAAAAAAAAATGAAAAAGCAAAAAATAAAGTAAAACATTGAAGATTGAAAAAAATATTCTTTTTGAAGAAGACAAGGTAGTGCCATGGCACCGTGGCACTACCTCACGAGCCGCCACTGCCTTGTTGGATTGGCCTTGTAATAATCCCAATATGAACACAATATTTTCATTTAAATCACATATTTCCAATTACACTTGTCAATACACACTGTAAAAACAAATATAAACAGACATTTTGTCAAATATAATCTGTTCATACACATCTATATTAAATAACTGAACATCATAGCACCCTTAAGACCAATAATTATTGTTTTCAAATACATTTCAGTACTCAATATACAAATGAAGACTAATGTTACGTGACGCAGCTATTCTATTCAACAACCCAAATACTCAATACTGTATCCAGGTCCATCAAGATCTCTTTTAGCTTCCGTTTGAAGACCTTTTCATTCGTAATAGATTTGCTAGTGTTACCCAATTTGTTATAAAGTGCCATTCTTAAAATGCGCGTTTTAAAAATTTCTGGAGTCCAAGAGTTATAAAGATGCCCAAAAAATTATACCATATCTCAGTATTTTCTAAGGTTGGTGGCTGTTCATTCAAGTATTTTGAGATGTATCAGATGCAGTAACAAATTTTATTTAGTTTTCCATTCAAATACAATATGTGTTCAGACCAGTCTAAAAATCCATCAATATAGATTACCAGAAATTTAACGCTGTTGCTTATTTTTATTTCACAGTGGTTAAGTAAAACTGATTCCGGTTTTATTTAATTCGGTCTTGAAAAGAATTAAATTTGTTTTTTCCTTGTTCAAACATAACTGGTTACTACTGAACCAGTTCTCTAGTAATTTGAATACTTCTTGACTGTTTTCTGCGAGCTCGGAAATATTTGATACTTGGTGTCAACTGCAAATTTGGTGATATTCAAATTTGGATGGTCTAATATTGTACTGCTTAAGTAATTTATGGATATTATAAATATAATGGGACCTAATATACTACCCTGGGGTACCCCCAATTTATCAAATATATCAGATTTGTTGGATACACCTCTCACAGCCCTTGGAAGCCTCTCATACAAAATAAGATTCGAACCACTTGAGTGCCACTTCTCTGATTCCATATAATTCAAGCTTTTGGAAAAGTGCATTCCGATCTAGGCAATCAAACGACTTTGATAAGTCCAAAAACATGCCAAGCTCTAAATGTAGCAAAATTGCCTGTGTGATCTGAAATATTGCTGTATTTGTTGATCTTTCGTTACAGTAGCCATGTTGATATTTACAAAAAAACGTTGCATTCTGTCATAAAGTCTGTTAATCTTAGACACATCACAATTTCAAAACAAATTTACAACTCGAGAAGAAATAGAGTTCAGATCTCTGTTGTTCTTGTTGCCTAATTGTTGTATTAATTAAGAGATGGTGCAACACTAGTTCATTTACACATTGAGCTGTGTGCCACTATACAAGGCCTATAGTGATCACAATATAAATATGGTCATTGGTTTTGCATGGAAGGTTGAGCTTAGCATGCATTTTAAATGGGCTGGCTCTGTGTAGTGTTAACCCACATAATAGCATGATCCAGTAGTTAGTTACCCACAATGTAAACATGGCCAGTAGGTATTAGTATGATAACTGGTGGGCTCTTGAAGCAGACACAGAAAAAAAAGTGAGATTTTGAAACACTCATATTGGGCCTGATTGTACATCTAGATCTAGAGGGATGAAAGAGAAAACACTTTTTTTTTAATGACAAGTTATTTGCGATTTTTTCGGCGTTGAGCGTTTTATATAGGGAATTTTTTGTACTTTTTGATAAAAAACTGGCGTCAAGTAGGTTGACTCTGCATTTCTGACGTAATGCCGTTATCAGTTCATAAAGAATCATGTTCATCACAAACTAAACTCTGTGAGAAAAAAGTGAGTCAAACAGGTCCATACAATTAGTACATAGACATTCTATCCACGCCATACCGGTAGTGCATCTAGAAACGTCGCTTCTCCCGGTCAGACGTGGCAACGCGGTAAGAGCATAGGAAACACTATACTGTGGTGTGGCAGAATGTTATACCATACCAGAACAACACAACATTCACCAAAGCCGGCGGCATTTCAAAAGGAGTAGCTGCGGCCGGTAGGTACGCGATCTGTCTGCTGAGAATATTTTTGTTTTAGGGGCTAATATACGGAGAAATCTAGCACATGTGGAATATGTGTATTAGGTGCGTAGAATTACCAAGGTTGGGAGCGTATAAATGTACCCACCCAAACCCCAAAGTTTTTTTGATCACTAATTTTTTTTCAAAAATGATCAGGATGCTCTGAAACGTTAAAAGCGAAATCCAGTCCAAGCCAGTCGGCGTGGGAAATAAAATTCAAATTTGAAAAAAAATGTGCAAAACTGATTTTACCCATGTCTTCGATTTGTATACTCCAAAATGTAGCCTAAGATGTGTTTAAAACACACTGGAAATTTTAAAATGGGATACTGAGTAATTACGAAGATATACATACATACATTAGAGTTTATCAACATACATGTTGTTCTCCATATGGCATTAGGCGATTGTTTAGATCAACTGGTTTGCAAGATATGACATTAATACTAGAATATGAGTTTTTAGCTCTAGTGATCATTTTAAATACATTTTGGCAGGAAATTATATTTATTGTATGTGATTTAATGAAAAATTAAAATTTAGAAAAAAAGATGGTGGAAAACTGAAATTAAATTTCATACCATAATTTGGGTAACTTCTAATTCATGAATAGGTATTAATGTACGTATATGTTGGGCTGAGCATGACATTATGTGCTTGCTTATTTCAAATGGTTTGAGAGATTTTGCATTAAAACATTACTATGAGTATTTTTATGCTCTAATAAAGATTTTGAAAATATTTTCAATTGGACAGTAATGTATAGTTATATACATTTCAAAAATAAAATCAATTTTATGAATTTGTTCCATTCTCAAGATGTTCTTGATAACAAATTTTTATGCAAGTTATTACGGCAAGCGGCTGGGCAATGGTCTGGGAGGTAACTTTAATTAGTTAGCAACGATTATGTACTGCTCGAAAGAGGACAAGGAGCATAGCATAAACATTAATGTAGATATACTAAATATGCCTTTCCCCAGACTAATTTATTTAAACCAAGTGCATTCCTAAACAAGCAAGCAATATTTGTTTAAAATGAGTACTTCCAGTTTTGCACCATAATTTTTTTTCAAATATCAAATTGGATTTTTTTATCAAAAAGTTTAGAATATTTCCTTCCCCTGTTTAATGTCCTAATGTAATACTTTTAAATTTGATAAAATTATCCAATAAGATCCCAATTTCAAGTATAGCTATACTTCCTGAATGAACACGCACTGAAAAAATTGTTTTCTCTTTCTTATTAACTAGATGTACAAATAGGCACAATATGAGCGAATTTTTAAACCTCACTTTTTGTTCAGTATCTGCTTCATATGGAATGCCCCAAATATGTCTTGTCAATGTCCATCTAACACCATATTTGACATGATACACAATTAACATTGAAGCAGTGTACCTAATAATCTGTGCATTGAGGTAAACTCTGCAAAATAAATGGTAAATTTCTCAATATGAGCATAGTCCACCTCTTCAAAGAAATAAAGCTTTTAGTATAATTCACAATTTTTCTGAAGTTTAAATTCCCTGCGACTATAAGTTCAAATACATGACTACCTTTTTAACATCCTGTGAATGTGCATTTAAAACTGCTGCACAGTCATATTCATCCTCTTCAGCAACCTCCCATATCCATACCGATTTATCTCTACTACAAGTTGCTAAATAATGCCCTGATTTCGACCATGCAACACTCTTAACTTCATTTTCATGTCCCTCCAATGTAGCATTGCATTCAAACTCGCCTCCTTTTTTATCCCAAATACAAACTGTGGCATCAAAGCTAGCAGAGGCCAAATAGTTTCCACAGGGAGACCAAGCGACTTGTCGTATTGTACGCTTTTGGCCATCAGCTAAAACTACTTTATTACACCATTTCCCAGTTAAGTCTTTGGTCCATATTCGTATCGCCTTGTCCTCACCACAAGATGCTAAGACATCACCCTTTGGATGCCAAGCTACATTCCATAAACGACATGGATCTTTTTTGAGGATTTGTACTAATTCTAATTTACCCATTACCACTTAAAATGTGGAAAATAAAAACAATGATTATTAAAAAATAACAAGGATTGCCAAGACACATAACCTGTAATAAAAAAACAAGCAAATCATATTTTATTTTTCATTACCCTATAATAACTGCTGACTATCTAGTAATATTCCAAAATTCCCCATATCGACAGGTGACACACAATTCTGACGGATCTGTCAAGGCGAGGTAGACAGAGCCGTATTTTATTGTTTTTTTTGTACGCTACGGATTTATTTTGTTCTTGTTCACAACTCTTTTATTCAGAAAAGTTCCTTTGCATACAAAAAACGCTACAAGCAAAATGGCTGCTAATGATCATGTCAGATAGGTATAAAATAAGATAGAGTGGACAGAGGTGATTTCTAGTGCCTCATTTAGGTTACTCGGAGTATGCACCTGAGCTACTCATTTTTGAAATCCCCTGCCCCTTCATGCGCCAGCTTTTTATTCGGTGTTATACACTCCGAAATAGTGGGGATAACGAAAATGATGATGTGTCAAGATTGTTAGGTAATGTTTTTTCATTGTTTTTGTTTTTTGCATTAAATTCACATTAAACCGATTCCAGGCAATGCAGGATGATAAAAAAACTGATTATGGTCGCGTTCCCGTGCGCGTTTGCTAGATTAGTTGTGAAGTGTAGTCTAATCATATCAATTGTAAAGTCTGGTTTTATTGGTGCAAGTTGTTCAAGGGGGTATTTAAAACAGGGACGCATAAAATGGGTACACCAGTTTTTGTGGGAAAACTTTTTATTTGACAACAAAGAATGAGAAAACGTGCCTTTTGGGATTCAATCGAAACTGTTGGCAGGAACGAAAAAACTTTTCATACAAGATTTTTACGTATTTATGAGACCTATAAAATGAGGCCACACGTAAAAAGATCCGACTAATAGCAAAAATGTTAAGGCCAAAAAACGATGCAAAATGCATGTTTTGGCACCTGTTGGTAATGCGACGATAATTCCACGCAACTGCTTAAAATTCCTCAAATCCGTAGGATTCATACTTCTAAATAACAACAACAAAATTGGATTATATTGGTCAATTAGTTTTTTGAGAATTTCTAATTCTTTATACCAACGCACCTGTTTTCCGGCCATCATTACTAGTTTATTGAGCAATATACAGGGTTCGTTCAAAGAGCATTTAATAGCAAAATACACGTGTTTACCTTGCCGATATGAATCACAAACCATTCCAAAAGATAAATATTATTTTTATTCGAAAAGCAAAGGTTACTTTTTTTTTCTCTAAACAAATTTAAACATTTCGTATTTATAAGTAATTGAACAAATGCGCTACGATATTCGAAAAACATACGTTACTTTACACATTTTAAAACAAAGTGGATGTGTCTATCATCTTTTGTTGCGAATTACTCACAAATATGAAATGTTTGAATTTGTTTAGAAGAAAAAACGTAACACATCCTTTTTTGCATAAAAATAAAATTCATCTTCCGAAATGCTAAACTAGTGTATTTTGCTATAAAATGTCCTTTGAACTAACCATGTATATTGTTGAATAAACCAGTAGTGATGGCCAGATAACAGGTGTTTTGGGATAAACAATTAGAATTTCTCAAAAACAAAAAACAAACACTCAAATTTTGTTGTGGTTATTTAGAAGTTCGAATCCTACGAATTTGAAGAATTCCAAATATTTGCGAGAAACCATCGTCCCGTTACCAACAAGTGCCAAAACCTGCAGCTTGCCTCGGCTTTCGGCCATAACTTTTTTGGTATTAGTCGGATTTTTCTACGTGTGGTATCATCTTGTAGGTCTCATAAATATCTAAAAATCTTATATGAAGAGTTTTTTTCGTTCCTTCCAACACTTTCGATTGAATCCTAAAAAAAACACGTTTTCTCGTTCTTTGTTGTCGAATAAAAAGTTTTCCCACAAAAATTGGTGTACCCATTTTGTGCGCCCATGTTTTGAATACCCCCTCGAACAACTTGCAGCAATATAACCAGACTTTACAATTATTTCGCAAACCAGGGGTATTTTCGTTTAATATGATTAAACTAGCAGTTCCGGAGCGTCACACGCCGGGTGCATACAACTCTCAATTCAAAAGCAGTGGAAAGCACCTCAGTTTATGACTATGTTAATCATATCTACTTTTTAGAACTTGAAACGCCATATGGTTTTAAAGGACAATGAAACAACCATAAAATTAATTCAAAATGTGTGGCAGTATATGACTGAATTGATAATATCATGAATTAGGTCTAAACATTACTCGGATATTTCTAACAAGTTAGAACTGTTGAGAACACTGCAAAAATCCAGAGAAAAAACGTCGCGTGGAAGCTAATAGCGCTTGTGGGAGGGAAATAAGAAATGTACTTTATAGTTTTTACAAAGAGAGTAAAATATTAAAAAATATCAAATTCAATTTTTTAAATGTCAAAAGATTTCAGATGACCAAATAAATAATGCAGGTTCATGTAACGGCCAGATAAATTTTATTACATTAGTGGTGTTTTAAACAAACTGTATTTATTCATTATTGATTTTTCGGGGAGTTTCTATGCGTACCTAACCGGTATTTGAATTACATTACACTGATGACCGATAATTAACCAGAAAGAAGTGTCTGTGTTATTTTCAGTAAAGATATGTGAACAACAGGTCTGAATACGGTTCTGGGTTTAACTAGGTACACCATTGACGTCTTACCCATGGGTAAGACGTCAGTGAGGTACACCCTACACAAAACAATAGGTATAATTAATTCACCGGTTGAGCTACCGGTGCACCGGTTAGCCAATTTTGAATCCTTTAATTTCCGCTGGCACGACCGGTTGTACATCAAACTTGTCTTTATATTGATGGTGGATATGCCACCGGTGCCAACAGCATCCACCGACGTTCGGGCTCGGTTGATCCCAGATATTCTAACCTCTACATTTTATCATTTTTTGACTACTAGTTTTGTGTGAAAAAATGGAAGAAGAAAAGATTGAAGTTATGCTACAGCACAGGAGAGGCGTGAAATTTAATGTTTTTTTTAACACAATTCGAAATAAACAGAGCATCTGAAGGCACGTGATTTTATTTCGAATTATGCTTAGCTGAAAATTTGCTCTTTCTCTCCACTAGATAACTTCTCCATTCGAAACATCACTCGAATCGCTTAACAAACGTTCCACCACAATACTAGTATCTTCACCATAAAACAAAGGTTAGGTTTCTTCATATGACAACTTGACAACAACCTGAAGGCTAAAAATGCGTCTTTAACCACCATTCAATGGAACTGGTTACTGACGTCATTACAACAGCTGTCAACCATAAGTTCACCGGATCCATCAGTGATGGTATCAACCGGTGAATTAAAGAAAGGACCTTAAGATACACGGTAAACGCCTTGATAATGCTGCTGTGGCACAGATTATACAGATGCGACACCTGCTGTCGGTCCCTTTGATCTTCATGTCCCCAACTGCTTACCACATTCCCGCTTATGTTCAATAGCGTCCGGAGGATTTTTCCCTAGGGGTTTTTACGCGTTATGAGCCTCACGAATGTCATATGTCAAGCTACAGAATGATGACATTTGTGTTTATTATTTCCCCAAATGCATTTAGGCCAGCTAATTGATTTGAACTGATAAAACTGTTTTGTGATCACGTGTCAAACAATTCCACGGATAACCCCTAAATGTCATAGCAACAGGAATCCCACCAAACGCATAGAACTCAAGTTGGCGTTGATATAACCTGATTTTTGACAGAGTGTCGTCTCTGGTAGTACTCTGTGGCTGTGGTCCAAAATTCGTAGTGGAACAAAAACTGACATTTCTACCTTTAAGCAGCGTTTCCACTCATTGTCATTGAATAATCCATTGCACAGGATTTTCTGATTCAGATAGTATTTTTCATTAAAAACGACAAGCTGATCCGGGGAAGTTCAGAATATGGTAAAACCATCCGATTTATTAGTGCAGAATGTTTCCGTTCGTCTGCTTTAACATTCTAATGAAGTCCCACTGCTCGAAATGAGAGGATGAGATGCCAAATTCAAAAAAATTAATCCAACTACGGACTCAGAAGCACGGTACAGTTTTTTGTTCTTCAATAATTTTTCGTAGGTGCCAGACTCACAATATTTTTAAACCTGTTTATAAAGCTTAAATAGCCATTTAATAACGTGCCGAGAGATATACGTTTATTTTGCAATGAGTCCGATATTTTTTTAATCACGCACGCACATACGGCTTTACAAAGACTAAAAAAAAATCACAACAGTACCGCGAAACAAGATCCAAAATTAAATTTTACGTACTTTTATCTACCACTTTCTTTTTTCTATCATATGTAGTAAAATTCATCTAAAAGTCTGGAAAGATCTATCAAAGTTGAATTGATTTCAATTTATGAAGTCTTATTTTATAACTAATTTATGTGCTTGTCCACGGAAAAAAATTCGAAAAAGTCCTAATTGTTTTTTTTGGGAGGGGGCAAAAAACATTGTAAAGAAAAACTAAAGTAAATCCCTTGCCAGACGGTCGTTATGGCAATTGAGGTTTTCAATATCTTTTTATTTAAGTTGACCATTTAGGAATTCGAACAAAATAAGAATCCTGAAAGTAAACTTAATCACATTCATATTTTTTTGTCTATTTCTACCACAAAAATTTTCAGATTCAGTATTTTTCATTAAAAACGACAAGCCGAAATATGGTATAGGAAGTCCAAAATATGGCAAAATTTATTAATTTTAAAATTGGAAAACCAGTAGCTAATTCACATATTATTCCAAGTTTAGAATGTTTCAGAATTGAGAGGTGTACCGTCTGCTTTAACATTCTAATTAAGGAAGTGCGACGGCTTGAAATGATAGGCTGAAATGTCGAATCCAAAAAAATTCACTATACAGGGTGATTCACAAGTCGCGACCAAAAATGGGGGTTGAAGCTTAAAAATAAAAACAATATTTTTTAATATCTTCAAAACCGTCAAGTGGAATGAACTAAAACTTGGTATGTGGATTTACCCAAGTATTGTCCACATTAAAAAGTCTTTACCTAAAATTAACGTGCACCAGTGGCGGAGATTCAGGGGATTAGTGGCATTATTTTTACAAATAAAAATAGAACGCCGCTATTTTTTTAAAACGCAATTCTTTAAATTGGTAGCAGAAATAATATCTTTTATCTTGGGATATTTTGAAGAGCAAAAAAAGTTCACACGCCACTTCTTAACCAATGATATATGGACATATGCCCCCCTTGCCAAACTTCCCGGAGCAAGAGGCCATGGTGTCCGGCATACTGTTCAAGCGGAACTGGAAGTAATTAATTTGGCGTTGGATGATCCAAGTACAATAAGTTCAGCCCAGTTAGCATGTTCCCAAAGTGTTCCGTGGAGAATTTTAAATAGGCAAGTTTTACATCCTCTACCATCGGCAAAATGTGCAATGTCTGCAACCCAGCGACGAAGTGCAACGGCGAAATTTTTGAGTGGTTACTGCAAATGCATAATAAAAATGCAGATTTTATTGATTTGGTTTTGTGGTCCGATGAACTGCTTTTTACGAGGAGTGGCATCTTTAATTCTCATAACGAACATATTTGGTCGTTAGGAAATCCCCGTTCTGTAAGAATCCACTCGTTTCGCCACAGATTTTCAAATGTCTAGTGCGGCATTTTCAATGCGAATTGCCACAATGTTTAAATGCATACTTAGCTTTTCTAGATAATTACATAGAAATTGTGTTAGATCATGTTCCGTTAGCAACGAGAGTACGAATGTGGTATCAGCATGACGGTCCCCCACGACATGTTCGTCGTGACACAACCGCATCATTAAATAATCATTATTATTCAGCAATGGATTGGCAGAAACGGACCCATACATTGGCCTGCGAGGTTTCCTGATTTGGACCCCCTGGATTTCTTTATGTGGTGCGCTTTTAAACAACTAGTGTATGCTGAACAAATTCTGTTGATCATGTACAAGAAAGAATAGATAGTACGTATCATCAAATTCAAGCCACAATATATGTATTTTTTATTTTTACCAAAAAAATGCACTCTAGGAAAAAACAAGAGTAATTCATTGTAGCAAATTGAAGGTGAAATTAAAAAAAACAGTGGCGCACTATTTTTATTTGGATAAATAATGATACTAATCCCCTGTATCTCCGCCACTGGTGCACGTTAATTTTGAGTAAAGATTTTTTAATGTGGACAATATTTCGGTAAATCCACATACCAAATTTTAGTTCATTCCAGTTGACGGTTTTGAAGATATTAAAAAAATTGTTTCTTATTTTTAAACTTCAACACCCCGTATCTTTTTGATGAAGCCCTCGAGGAAAAAATGTTACATGGAAGGGCCCCCCTTAAAATGCGGTCCTGTGTATGATGTTTCACGACTTGTGAATTACCTTATTACAGACCCAGAAGCACGGTGTAGTTTTTTCTAGCTTCACGATTAGATATCGAGAATTCAAGAGAACAGTCAGCAATTAAGTATAATTTTTTGGTAGGTGCTAGACTCAAACATTCTTACACTTGTTTTGAAAGCTCTAACACCCATTCAACAACGTATCGAGAGACTTATGTTTATCTTGTAATGCGTCCGATATTTTTTGTCACGCTTCAAAGATACTGAAACAAATCACGAAGGTATTTTTTCCTCTGTACAAGATTCTAAAATAAAATTTTACGTATACTTTCTTCTGGTACTTGCTTTTTGTATTACATCTCTTAAAACCCATCTAAAAGTCTGGAAAGATATATCAATTTAAAACTAATTTATGTGCATGTCCACTGAAAAAATCGAAAAATTCTAGTTGTTGGCTTTAATTCTACAAAAAACACATGTAATGTAAAACTAAAATAAATCCCTTGCGACACTGTCTTGGTGACAATTGAAGTTTTAAATATCGTTTTATGTTAAGGTGACCATTTAGGAGTTCGAACAAAATATCATGAAAGTAGAATTAGTCAGCTCTATATTTTTTTGACTATTTCCACCTCGAAAATTAGAGACAACAGAGCTTTCAGAGTTCCTAACAGGGGAACCTTTTTTTGACCTCATATACCTTCATCTTCCTTATTGAGCCTCAACAGATACAGTATCACTATCAAAACAGAAATAAAATATTGAGGTCATTCGACCTTTGTCTAACTGAAAATACCTTCACCACTCAGAGGCTTGTGATGTTATAATGACAAAAAAATCTTGTTACCTTGTATGCGTGTCTAGTTGCAGGCATGTTTATCACAATTTTTTCCATTTCCTGTTTCACGGCACATTTCTTACCTCATTCTATTTCGAATGTTAGTTTTTAAATACTATATACTGTTTTTTTTTTACTGACAATAAGAACTACTTCAATGGAATACCTACAGATTCTTCAGTCACAGAAACAGTAACAAATAATTTTATTGATCCATTATAAGATATAAAAAAGCTATACGAATAGTCAATCGACTCGAATGACTATTATCGCTATGAGTTACACAAAAAAATAAGCATTTTCATTTTTGCTTGCTCTGATCATTCACTTCATTCTTGACTCTTTTTCCCATTGAGAATGCCCAGATTATGGTTCTCCAGACGTGTCAGTTTAAACAAACTGACTGAATAAGTTAGGAACAAAGGTCCCACACAGATGGTCTGGATGAGGCATGACATATGTAGTAATAGTAGTAGTAATGGTGAGGAGGCGAAGCCTGGTATCTAGGCTGCTTTTGAGCCTTTTCTCTGATCCTGTTATATCAACTCTATACTACATATGCTTATCTTTTGATACCACATAATTGATTATTGAATAAACCAGCTCCAACAATCAGATGTATGTATTTGATTCTGCTTTCACATCATAACAGTCCTTTCAGGTCTGAATTTTATTATGAAATTCCCTTCAATTGACAAGTTCTCCATTTTGACAGTTTGGATGGGATTCTTCAGAGTTATTTGTTGATGGTTCTGGAGAGGATGTAGGAGTTCTATTATGATTATTAGTGGTATGACCATCTTCCCTATACACATCAGTAGAGATAGTCATGTTCTCGCATAGTTCATTTTTTAAACCCTTCAATAAGACTGCATTTATTAACGATTCTGCATATATTGCTTGTGTGGCATCCATTCTATGTAGCTTCTTGGCAACATTCATGCCAATCAAGTCGAATTCAGTTAATTCTTTCTGAGAATTCAATGCGCTTGTACATGCCTCCATAAGTTGAATCTGAGTATCCCTGATTGACCTTTTTCTGCTTTTGTCTGACAATGTGGTGGTATCATATACTGGAGGAGGTTCTTGTGACGGTTCTTGCAAAGATTCCTGCGAAATTTCATAATTGGATTGTTGTATAGGTTCTTCCAAAGATTCTTGAATTACCTAAAATAGCACTAGTTTGATGTATTAGTGAGAAATGATAATCTTCTGAGTATAAATTACAACAATTTGTTTGGCGGGAGGTTCATGACCTAACCACACAATTTTATGAGAGAAATGAACATTAAATCATTCTTCATTGCAACTAAGCACAAGTTGTTTCAGTGTAAGCTAGTATCAAAGTGAGTAGATAAGTAACAAATAATAATTATAATTTTTATATGAATTCCTGCTATTGACTTATATTCATAAGATCGTAAATTGAGCAAATTAGGGGAGCAATATATCACCATGTTTCAGCAGTTAACTCATTCTTCAGAAATATGTGTTTGTAGGCATTGCAGACCGTATTTCAGTAAATAAAATGAGTCTCAAAATGAACAATTTTTTGTTGCAAGTATAGCACAAACAGCATGACTATATTGTGGCATATTGATCATGGCAGCTTACATTACTTAAATAAGTGGAATTCTGTGCATTCAAGAATCTGACACACATATTGAAATATATTGGAGAAATCAAACATGTGTAGCTGTAACTGGGCCATACTAAAAATACTACCATGTATTGCAAAGTCTAGCTGCTATTGCTGGCTACTCTAAGCAAGTAAATAATCCAGTAAAACTCATTTGGAAGCATCTTGAAGTATGAAAAAACATTTAACAGTAATTTTCTATTAAAAATGAATTTTTATAGTAAATATTGTATTTAATAATAATTAACGTCTTTTATGATGTTTAGCTTGAAGATATCCTGCCACTTTAACCCTTAAAATTACAAAAATGATTATATATATGTAAAAGTAATATATCCAAGCATACTAACAGTAAATAATAAAAATTTAAGCATACATGTGAATGTACACAGAAAATAAAACATTTTGCAAACTGAGTGGTCAAACTATGCACATGAGTACTTTTCTAAAATAAATTGTTTAATTTGTTTTTTAAAGTCATTGTAATTTATATATTTCAATGCCTGAGGTACTTCATTATAAAGTATTATTGTGTTGTATGTGAAGCACTTATGAAATAATGTTTTGTGAAATTGACATATTATAATATATAATATGATAATATTTTCTGCTATCTTATTGAGGATTTGTAAAACAGCAAAAAATAAATACCTGATATGTATCAACTTCCACAGAAAATGTAGAGGATCCAGTCATATTATGAATGTCTATATTATTTATAGAATTTTCTAAATATCGCTTTGGAACTCTTGTGGGATGCCATTGCCCTAGAAGGTCTAGCCTTATGATGCCCCTGCCACCATCTGCCATTAGATTAGCAGAAGTGCGACGGAAGCAATGACCTGTGTACAAATCAGAGTCTGCTAATTCAAGAAATTCAGCAATATCTTTAGGTACTTTTGCTATGGTATTCATACCAACAACTTGTTTACTGCATTTGCGATTATGATAATTTAGGAACAGTCTCTCTGGTGTATCAGAATCTAGAGGTCTTAGTGCAATGTACTTTCTATAGAATTGCAAAATATCAATAAAGCTACCACTCCTAACTGTAAAACAGCGACTTTTATTCGTTTCTGTTTCAGGAACAGTTATTATTAAGAGTGACCCCTTATCTTCAATGTCACTCAATTTTATTTTTACCAGCTCATCTCTCCTGCATGCACCAGCAATTCCAATAATTAAAACAACCTGTAAAATAATGTTTCAGTTATTTTTTGCAGGCATACAAACAGATGGTGGATTATAGGTACCTTTTTAAGCAGGTACAAATCATCTGGAGCTTCACAAATAAACTTCTGGATATGTTCTTCACGAAACGTTTTCGACTTTTTGGCACGGTAATTTTGTGCCTGCTTTTTTAAATAAGCTAGTAATGTTTTGTATTGGCTTATATCAATGCCACGTTTTGCAAGTAGAACTGCTTTCAACATTGAATATATAGACCAAAGTGTGGAAGATTTCATTACACTTGCTTTCTCGGTAAAATAGGTCAATAAAACAGATTCAGTATAACTTTTAATATCTCTTGCTTTGCTCCAAGTCTCAAACATTTCATACTGTTTTTCATATTTCAGTCTTGATTTTACAGGAAGTAAATGTAAAGCAATATTTTTAGCAGCAGCAGCAATATCCGGTGTGGTACTTTCGTTATCACTATCAGAATTACATGGACTTTTCTCCATTTTATCTATTTTTCAACATTAATCAAAATAACTGGAATAAAACAAAATAATATTCATATGAATTAAATAAAAACACAAAATAAATATTTATACAATTCAAAGTGACATTTGACATTGTACATATGTGTACACGTATCGTGTGTGCACACAAATCAGTGTCACCAATGGGAGCAATGATCGAATTATTTGTTCTATGGAGTACCATGGAAAAAATTCGACGTACGTTGTAATGGTCGTAATGCGGGTCCCTCACGATCTTACAACGTTCGACATCCCATAATTGGCAAGTTTGTCTCCTACACGATGGGATGAACTTTCAGACGTTCGACGCATGGTGGCGCCAACGTCTATTATCGGTGTCAGTGTCGCGTTTGAACCTTTACAACTGAAGGAAAAATTATACAAAATGAACGAGAAAACAATTTTTTCGAGCGCCGAAAAATAATTTCAGATCTGCCTTCAGCGAACAAAACGTAAGTCTGTCAGAAGCCTCAGAAATGTCGAAAAACGAAGATTGACCGTTTTTTGTTTGTTTTTCGACGATAACTCTGCCGCCACTGTATCGATTTTCAAAAACTGTAGAGCTTTTTCGTCATTTTCATAGTAGTAACCCAGGGTCAAAATATCATCAAAATCCTCGTTTTCGTTAATTATGTAATGCAAGTCAATATATTTCTCAACTAGTCTTGCGTTGCAACAGGACATTATAATGAAACAACGGTAAGCACTTGATAATTTATAATTTACTAAAATACATATCCTTAGGCCAGCCATACCTCACCTGCGAAAGGTACAAAATATTAGCAATATGAAAAAATTGTTGTTATGACAGCCGTTGCTGTCATATGTATATCAATTTAATTCATTCTCCTCAAAAGTTAGTTACAGAACAAACATTATTATGAATAGGTAGGTATTCAAATAAAAATACCCACATACCACTACTTCACCACAATCACAGCAAACAAGTAAATAATGTTTTTCGCCGATACTGGTTCTAACCAAACACAATCAAACACATGACATCTCGTGTGGGAGCGTAACGAACTGTTTATTTTAGAAAAGCGCGTATATAATCTCTGATTATTTTTATTATCACTTAATAATCGGTGATTTTTCGTCTACAACTGTATATGGAAAGTTTAAATAAGAAACCTTTCATAATATTCATGGGAGAAATGTTTTTTCAGATTTTTTTTTAATGATGGAACCATGGCTTTGTAGCTATGATAACTTTCAATTCTCTAAATTTTTCCGCATGTCAAAGAAAACATTTATTGATTCAGCAGAAATGATGAAAAAAGAAATTAGCAAAACCGTATACAGGTGGATATCATCTAGTGAGTTTATATGGCCATATTTCAAGATTCTTGTGGAACAGGATACGTTGTTAAGCATAGGAACTACATTTAAAGTGTCCCCAACAACCGTAATGAGTATAACTAATAAGGTGCTCCACTTTATGGTAAAACTGAAGTCAGCCTATATCATTTTTCTCAAAAATGAAGCTGAAGTACAATAACAATATCCAATACCCGGCAAAATTCTAACTTGTCACATTTCAAATAATAACCAGAAATATAAAACTACTCTTGAGTTGGGTAAATACCACAATTTTGCGGTGATAACTATGACATATAACAGTTGATTCGTGACGTCACGGATCTTATAACCAAACTGATAACTACACTCGCTTGAACGGATTGGTAAATACCAACCCAAAATGGTAAATACCATTTCCATTTGGTTATCCGCTTGAATTTGATTATTGTGTTACTTTCTGGCACATCATAGCGACAGAGGCATACTAACTATAAGTTATAGCTATAGGAACGGAGCATTGCGATTTTTTGTATCCTTTGGTATTCCAAACGCTGTCCCTCTTTAACATCACTTACGTTTACAGCACAATTCTTACGATTTATACGTATATACGAGTATTGTGACTTGTGACAAATCTAAGTCTGAGTAATGTACTAGCTATACAGAATGTTGCTCAATAGTAATTTGAAAAGTGTGTAAAGCTTGACTGATTTTGTTCGGGGTTGGTGTTGCAGCGAAGCGCTATGTTAGATGACCGCCTAAATTATGAGATTTGTTTAGCGTCGATCAATGCTCAAAGTCAATACCACCCTTCCCGCGTATGTGTCTATTTATGTTGCTATATTGAATTCGTTTAAATCTCGGAGCCTCTCCACTACACGTGAATATGTATAGCCCTGTATTCTCCTGTACGTGTTTCGTACACACATACATTATCAAAATAATTACGATCTAACAGATATAGTTTTCTATAAAGATTTCCAACATTTTTACATGCGACCAACACCGATTGGAATACTGAGAAAACAATAACTATGCTGTAAGTCCGACAACGAAAGTCTGAAGAATTACTGTAATATCTATACAGGGTGTAAACGTTATGGTAGTCATTATTGAAACGGGTAATAGGAGAGGCCAAAACAAGTCAAAAAGTTCATATGACCCATGGTCCAAAAGTCAATAGATTTTTGTCTAAATGGCTTTATAGTTTACAACTTTAAGTGCTTCATATCGACCACAATCACCACAATCTTACTAATTTTTATAATCTAATCTAAAACGTTTTTAAACTGGGTAATTAAAAAATAAATGGCATTAGGTTTTTATAAGTTGATCCAAAATTTGTAGTCAGTAAGTAAGCAAGTTTCATTAAATTGAATATTTAAAACACACATGACAACAGCGCGTCGGTCATCATCACTCTTATAGAACCTGCAATCGATCGCAAACGGTAACAGTGGTTAGTAATACTATGTTAACTTCATATGTTGTTTTGTTTTTGTTCGAGTACGTCGGAAAACGTCGTAATGAAGCTTGTGTGGAAAGTGGAGGACGACATTTTGAACACCTTCAAATACAAAAAAGTGCAGTGTGGGTTTTAAAAAGAAAAACAATGTATGTATCAAAATTGTGTTCTCCTATTTAAAAATGGTTTTTTTAATACGTTCAATAAACTTTCACACACCAAGTGCTGAGACAGTTAGTGGTAATTCCGTTTTTTTAATTATTTGCATTTTACGAGTACATTATCAAATAATCAAAAAATACCTAAGAGCCAAAAATAACAAACTCCATCTTTATTTACACTGCGTTCCGTCGTAATTTGCGTCGGGCATTGCGGCGTTGTCAGATTTTATTTTACTTTAAAGTCGCTTTTCTCTAAAAACAAATGCCGTTTTGACCCTCATGTTATATGAAACTTTTTGTCCCCTCTATCGCCCATTTAAATAATTTTTATTTATGTATTTATACTCTACCCCACAGCTACAAAGCCAATTACAGAGTAGGACAAAGTCCAAATATCAAAAATACACAATATCTTACATATTACACACAAATGTAGGAAGTTAAATCACAAGGATACTATATACAAATATTTACAAAAGTGGCAGTGTAGATAAAAAATTAAATAGCAAAGTAGCAGACAAGACATCATAAGGAACCACGCAGCAGACAAGACATCCGAGAAATATATCTAATTGATCCGCAATGTCATTCGCTTTACCACATGAGCTATACAATGGAGAAAACTTATATAATATATATAATATTTGATCTAGGGGTAGGCAAATGGAAGATATTGCATTGTCTAGCATTCAAACGCGGGACAAGGAAATTAAAATCATGCAATTTATTGCAACAATCAATACGATTGTGCAATATATCAGTCACGAACTTAACACTGCACTTATCGCGCCTCTCCCTAAGACTTTGAAAATCGAAAGCTTCTTCTTCTGGATAGCCAATCGGTGGGTAGATGCCATTTTCCTTAAAGTAAAGGTACTTCAAAAAACGCCGTTGGATATTTTCGAGTTTGTCTATCCAGAAGCAGTAGGAGGGCTGCCAAATAATTGCCGCATATTCAAGCTTCGATCTTACAAGTGAGTTATATAGAAGCTTAATTGTTTTAATATCCTGCAACTCGCAACCACAGCGTATGATGAAGCCCAGCTTTTTGTAATTCTCTGCAATAATTGAATCCATATGACCATTGAAGCAATATTTACGGTTGAAAATGACACCTAAATCCTTCATTTCATGCAATCGATTAAGGGGCACACCACCAATATCATAGCCATATATGATCGACTGGACCAGAAGCTAATTTAGTCTTTAGTCTTCTCAAGGGCTCATAAACCTCATTCACATTAAATTCAGTCACTGTTAAAGGACTACTTCCAGTTGACTGAGTGGAGTTGGTTTTGCCACTTGAGCTAGCATTAAAAGATTTACTGAAAAAGTCAGCAAAGCTGTTTAGAATATCTTGAGGCTCACTTATATCCAAACCGTTATAAGTCATATTCTTAGGTATAGAGCCATGACCTCTTCTGCTGTTGACAAATGAAAAAAACTTTGACGGGTGTCGCTTTATATCATCTTCAGCTTTTTTTACATAGTCTTTATAAGCAATATCGATATCCTTTATTAATTTTGAGTCTCAAAGCTTTGTAATCATGCAAGGTCATTTCATCAGAATTTAATTTTAACCTCCTAAACAATATCTCCTTAGTTCTGATATCCTTTATTATGGTACCATTAGACCAAGGCGGGAATTGTCTACATCTGGTGCTGGAGTACTTTGGGACACACAAAGAAAAAATTACATTCAATGCAGCATACAATTGTTCACACGCTTCCTGAACATCATGAATGCTATCGAGAAAGTTCCAATTGGTGCAGAATAGTTGATCATACAATAAAGAGATATTAGATTTTCTGAAGTTGAAAGAATTAGGCACCATTCTGTCAAATTGAATGTCTTGCTTGGGAGGCAAGACTATCATAACGTTTACATCCTGTATATTGAACTTCAAAGAATAATTGACTATACATATTGATATTTTTATCGCCTGCTGATATAATAGAAGTGCTTGATTGTGTCAGTATTTGCACCATTTACTCGATTTGCTAAATGGGCAGTTCAGAGTCTTAATCCTTACGCTTAGTACACACTAGTAGACCCCGTTGCGCAATTTATCTATAGACAGTCTGGAGACAGTCTCAAAACACGATCTATAGAAATCCTTCTTTGTCTCGTCTAGCGACCATACGATAATGTGAATTTTTCGGTCTCATGTTAGTTTTCGCCATCAAAGACATCGTTTTGTGTCGAATGGACTGGGATATGTCTCGGGGTCCCTCAGAATGTTTTATTTTTATTTTTTTGGTTAACGGAGCAATGAAGTTTTTAATGTTTTAGTCTTTAATAGTATTACACTAGTTACTTATAAATGCATCGTATTTATTTTTATTTTCATACAATAAAACATTGCCTTTCTGAGGATTTCTGAGCATTTTCCATGTTTTTTTTGTCAAGTTGCCATTGACTAGATAGAACATAATGGATTTAAGGAGCAATAATAGGATACATTCTAGAAGTTCCACTGCGGTTGAAAAATTAGCAGCCCCAGATATCGTTTGCGCTCCCCATAGACGAAATCCTAAATCCGCCCTTGACTTGTTTGCTGTGATTGTGACGAAGTAGTGGCATGTGAGAAGTATTTTGATTTGAATACCTACCTATTCATAATAATGTAGATACGTTCCGTAACTTTCTTCTGAGGAGAATGAATTAAATTAGTATCCATTCAAAGCATAGGATACCATAACAACACTTTTTTCATATTGCTAATAATTTATACGTTTTGCAGGTGAGTTACGGCTGGCCTAAGGATGTGTATTTTACTGAATTATAAATTACCAACTGCTTACCGTTGTTTCATTATAATGTCCTGTTGCAATGCAAGACTAGTTGAGAAATATATTGACTTGCATTACATAACTAACGCAAACGAGGATTTTGATGATATCGTCGAAAAACAAACAAAACACGACACTGACACCGATAATAGACGTTGGCGCCACCATGCGTCGAACGTCCGAGACTAAAAAGTTCATCCCATCGTGTAGGAAACACATTTGTCAATTGTGGGGGTCGAACGTTGTACACAACGTTGAATACAACGCTGGAAGCATCGTGTAGGACCCGCATTAAGCGTATGCCCAAATGTTATTTCTGTCATTTTGACTGATTTTGACGTAAATTCAAATTAACGACAAACTTATGAAAGCTCAAATAAACAAAAAACGATCTCCAAAGTATTTTTATGTTGTTTTGTGATATAATTATTATATTTTTTATTATATTCTTTAGCATCTTCGGAACTTAGTACGCCACCATAAATAAAAATAAAATGCCTGTTGAAGCAGCTTCCAGGAACCAAATTCTTGATTTGTTCAATCAGGCCCAAACAACAAGTGCCGTGCACCAGAAAAACTCTATACATCTTTATAAACTAATTCATAGGGTATGTTTCTAACTTTAGTAGTAAATTTGATCTTATACACCCATAAGGGGCTTCTTTGCACACATTCTACATTCTGTTTCAAGTCTGAAGAAACCTGGCCTCTTCTGAATAATGTAATACTTACAATACTACAAGCTGAAGAAAGTGTATATTTAGAGAGATTGATACAATTCATTGGAGCAATCTATGTAACTCTGAAGCAGAAAGAAATAACTAAAAATGATGTCTTTTCACCTGAAGGATGTAACCTATCTTTTGGAATATTGAGCTTTCTTTTGAAGGTAATTTCCAGCACTACAATCCAATACTGTAGAAATATACATCCAAATTTTATAGCACATTGTTTTTTTTTTAAATATAAATAAGAAATTTGGGCATATGAGAAATAAGGGCTTAAAAGAATGGAATTTATTCCATTATAGTATCATTTTCATATGATGTCACTACCTAGCTTCCCATTGGCTGGATGACAAACACAAACAGATTGCTATTTAATTCAGTGTCAGTTGGCTCCAGTTTCTTTACTTATATCTTTTAAATCGCTGGTCAGTAATCTGTTGGAGATTCTTACTGTTATTTAAATATTTGAGAAGAACTATTAAAATTCACTACCGCACAGGGGAAAGCATTTCAATAATTCTTTATGAATAACTAAATAAACCTAACAATTTACAACAGATTCTGGACAGTTTGTATCACAGATATAAGCAAACATACTAGAGCTAATTTACAGCTGGTGCGCACGGACGTATTTTGACGGTACGGTAATGCAACGTCGTTGTTGTGTTGATGCAGACAGAGCTTTTGGGAGAAGTTCTCGTGAGCCTACAATAATGCATGCAGTTCTCTTGACGTGATGCAAGTAGCAAGATGGATTTTGATCATGAATGTGTTTTATTTGCATATTATGTATATAAGTATCATATTTTTAAAAAGAAAAGACAATACGTGGTACACCCTTATGTGAGTGGCTGTGCATTAGAAAAGCCATACACCCAACTACCAAGACAACATTAAATGTAGAGCTTGGTTTATAGTTAGTGGATAGCGTGAAACTCCTTGGCAGCTGGTTCGATGCAGATCTCTTCTTCAGCACCCAAACTGAGAATGTGTGCCTGAATTTAAATAAAGGCTGTTATGCCATATTTCATATGAAGTAATATTTAGATAAAAAGAGCCTGTTCTCACTATACTATGCTCTCGTATAAAATCATTTATCTTATAACATCCTTTGCTTGGGTAGAGCTACAAGCATCAACAGAATATTTATATCAGCAAAATGAATAATGAGATTGTTGTTCAACCTTAGTTTTGGTGAAAGTTGCAATACAACATTTATTCAAAATGAGCTCTTGACAGTTCCATGTATTTATGTATATAAATGTGTTAACTATGTAAAGCGAAACATCAACGATTTCAGCATACAAAATGAACATCATACATATAAGTCCAGAAATTCCATTTTGAAAGCTGATCGTTTTAGAACTATGGCATATACAAAATCACCCCAGTTCAACTTCATATCATTGTACAGTACTCTACCTCAAGATATAGAGAGCTACATGAAATTTAAAAATAAGGTTTTTAAGTTTTTAAGTACGAAATGTTTTTAAATTTCTAAAATCAGTAAGCAATATGTTTTTTATTTTATATTTTTTATATATTGTTTTAGCAAGTAACTATTTTGGTCTAGTTTTGACCTTGACCTTACTGAATGTACTTTTATTGTACTTTTTTATCTAGTTTTATTTATAGTATGGTGTAAGAAACTCTATAAACTCACATTTACTGTGATATTTATACATCTTTTTTTTGACATGCCAGGTGAACTTTAGTTTGAAATTTGGACTACTACATTAAGAGGAGCATTTGTTCGTGATTTTTCGGATGTAAGAAACGACGAGAAGTTTTTTCAATTATTTTATAATGAATTCCAATTCGTTTGACGAATTACATTACTTCTTCTCACCTCTTCAATCAATATTTCAGTATCCATATCAGCGTCCGTCATTTTCAACGCACTGCTTTTCGTCGATCGTGTGCACTTAATGATATAATGTATTGTACCGCTTCGCCTTCGGAACGTCGAAATGTCGTTCTGGCGAAGCAGTCTCCGCGCGTCGGGTTTTCAACGGTGCGTTACCGTCGAACGTTGGACGTCGACGTCCTGCAATTGTTATCTTTTGTCTGTTCAGCAGACACTCTAAACTTTTGATATTACAAACCAACAACACTGCACCACTGATTGTATTCTTACATTTTGATTTTAGGCCTCGAAATTAGCTAATGATAACATTCGTCTGAATTCACTGAAAATGATCCATGAAATCTTGAATAACCTTATGGATGTGGAAATTGATGAGTCATTATGTGAGGAATTGGAAAAAAAATTAATAGATAGATTATGGGTATGTATTGAATATTAAACATGTGAAAGAATGAAAGATGAAGCTATTATGCATATAAGTAGTTAATACAAAGTTTTCCATTAATATATTTCACTTCCTACGTCACTGGCGAGAAAGTGTTGTAATTGCGAAACATTTCAAAAATAAGGAAATATACTTTTTGGTTGTTACATATGACATCTACAGTACGAAAAATCATGTCATTTCCGTAGGTCTTTCTGTCTGTCAGTCTGCCTCTCCGCTAATCCTTCGCCCGTCTGTAATTCTTACTGCTCGTATTTTTACGAGATTTTCACATAAGGTTGCTTCTATTCCAAGGATGAAAAAGATTCTTAGTCTCTGAAAATTGATTTAGGGCCGTTTCGTCAGTCTTACAATTGGACCTCGTTATGCAATAGGGAACCAACCAGCAAAAACATCTTTCTGAGTAAACGGAGAAAAAAGATTTTGTTTGTTATTTCAAATCATGATAGTTTAAAAATAAGAAAACTGTACACTTTTTTACGGCTTTATTTACTTTGAAGTATAATAACGTAATGGTCAAAAAATGAACAAAAAATTCTCAATATTGAATGAAAAAAAAACACTTGGTTCCTTTTTGCAAAATGGCTTTTTTGAAAATGTCAGTCCTCTTGTATTTGGAAATCCAGCTCTGCATTATACCCTTCTGTATCTTCCTCGATTGTATCGTCACCAATAAGGTTAACATAAAAAGGATGATCTGCCGGAGGAATGGGGTTTAAGTAGCTCTTGATATCCTTAAGTTTAGCTTCTGCTACAGGCTTTCCGTTGGGCCAAAGAGGTTGCAAATGCCGAGAGAATAGCATTGTTTGTGGGTTACCTTTTCCTTTTTTAATATCAATTTCTTTATAGTTATCAGTAGCGTCGTGGGTTGTTTCGATAAAGATACTAAAAGGCTTCTCGTTTAAAAGCTTAATTTCTTTAATTTTCAACCAGCTGAACTTATCCTCTTCACACCTTTTTTTTCTATTAGTGATTTCCTTTTCAAGCTTCTTGGTACTAATAAAGTCTTTTTTTCTATGCTCACCACCTCAATGGGACACTTTCTACAGGACTTCATAAACCGAATGTAGTCTTCAGGAGAAAACATATTAGTGTGCCTTTTGAGAACACATTCTACATCCCCAAAATCACTGTCATTGGGCAGAAAACTGTGTCCGGATGTCAAAAATCGCAACTTTATACTTCTTAGGTGAGGAGATTCCTCAAGAGCACATTTCAACAAAAGTAGCATCTTAATAATATTTCTATTTTGACCTCCACAGGAGTCGCTCCATAATATAAGGTTTTTAACGGTTTTTGAGACGTTATTTGCAATATAACTCATCAAACATTAGCCCACCTCTTGGGCACCGCGACCGGCTTGTCCTTCAAGCCACAGGTTGAAAGTGGATTTTCCCTCCTTCGCTGCATATATCCCACAGTTATAGAGCCATAGCTGTCTTTTATAAAACATAATGTTTGTACTAAGATGTGGTAACGGAAGTGTTTTCTCCATATCAAAGGTCAGTGTCTCTATTTCCTTATTCTGTGTTGCTTCTTTGATATCACTATTCATCTTAGTTCTGGCTTGTTCTGCTTCACGGTATTCACATTTTCATCTGTGTAAAGCTTATACATTGCTGTAAGTGTCGTTCCTTCTGCCAAATATTCCTATTTGCCACTTTTTGCCCTACAGTAGTGAGACTTATAGCGGGGAAACTTATTAATGTGACTGATAACCGCATTTTTTTTGTTCATCACTGATTTTGTTGTGACCACCAGCAATACCTCGGCGATCAAGTTTTGATAACGATCTTATCTCACACAGTGATATGTTAATACGTTAGTTGAGATTTGGAGCGTCTTAAGGAACATATCTCTACAAATGAGTTTCTTGTTAACATAGTAATATCTAGAAAATTGTCGTTTCTCTGAGTTTATAGCACCAGTGTTTTTTCTTTTTACTTTCTCCTCCTTAACGCATGTTGTTAAATAGGTTGTTTGAACGTTATAATCCCCCAAGTTCCAATAATGATCAAACAATTTTTTCTCTCGTCAACAGATACTTTTTGGTCACATTTCATGGCACAGGAACATTTATGATCTATGAATTCTTTTGGTTGAACTAGTTTTCCTTTAGATGAATAATACTGTTTATTACAATTTTTAAGTTTTTTCCGCATCGCTCTGTTTTGTTCCTCGTACTTGAGCTTCCTTCCTTTTTTGGACGTCCCCTATATTCTGGAGCTGCAGCAATATTGTTGTTGCTTGCCCTCTCTGTACGCTCCGTTGATTGCAAGTTGTGATTACTGTCAACAGAGGATTCATCGGAAAAACGCGGTTCATAATCCTTGTCTTTGATAGAATCGTCGGAATCTTTAATATTTTGCATATCAGTAACTTCAGTATTCTGCGTCAAGTATTCACTAATAGCTCACTTCTCATAGCAGCGTTCCAGAGTCTGGAAATTTTCATTTTCATTATCCATGGAAGTATTGGGATGACACTCTTTTGTACCCTGTGGAAAATTTAGATAAAATATATTGGCCAAATGAAATATATTTCTTTGGTTCGTCATGAACCTCTTTTACACATGACTTTGCTGGCGAGCGTTCATTAGAAATTCCTGTTCCTGTCTCTGAAGTGACCTGCAAACCCTGTACAGAGATGTAATTTGCAACAAGGAACCATCTGCATTTTTCAAATACACCTCTCTAACAAATCTGTCAATAATAGTTAGCCTAGTCCAGATTGGTCAATGTTGAAACAGAAACGGCGAACAGAGGCCCAACAATATATATAAAACCCGCCATCCAAAATCAAATTTTATCATTTGAGGTTATGATATAATCGATAAAGCATAATAATACAACTGATCATCAAATTTGATGCAACTTACCGGAGTGCTTGGGATTTCTGACGAACCGATACTTTCTGCTTTAACCCTTTCCATTATTAACATCGTTCTATTACAATACATCCCCAATTAGAATAATATAACCTGTAGCCACTAGATATACTTTGTAACGCTCAACTGTACAACACAAATCCACAAATATGCAAAAGAGAATCAAGTACCGTTGGTTCTTCCAAAACAAAAAAGGAATAACTGACACCTTGCAATAAGGTTTCAAGTATACTTGGAACTTCGTTGAAAATTGCAGTGACCTTGCTTTGAAATTTGCAATATGTTTCTTTCACCCATAGATGGCGCCAGCGGCTATTTAAAGCCTGGTTTCTTGTTGCAAAACATGGCTAGCTGATTCATGATTTAGAAAATGTAAATACCTCATTTTAGACCAAAATGTGGTTTGGTTCCATATTGCATAACGGGGTCCAATTGTAGGACGCCTTTTTATGGCCTTCTTGATTTTCAAAGTCTTTCCTTTCCTTCAGAAAGGCTGGGATATTTCTAGATTCCTACGGTTCCGTGTCAGCGTCAGCGCTCTCCTATTGTCAGGCTATGATTTCTTCTTGAATTGTAGGAAATTTCAGGCTATATAACATGGTATAAATCAAAAGCATGAACAATTTGATGCAAATAGATATTTGTAACATAACCTCAAAATAGAGCGCTGGCACGAAAGAGTAGAACAGTATGAAAATCAAGGAGGCCATAAAGGCGACCTGACGATACGGCCCTTAGTGGCGGCGGAGCTAGAGATAAAAAAATAAAAAAAAACAATCGACCAAACTTCGTTTTCCGACATTTCAGGGCTTCCTGATCATTTTCAGAAAAATGTATGTAGGGGTTGAAAATTGATGGTTGGGGGCTGTAGGTAGGTAGGGGTTGTAAGTGTTGCATCTGTGGTATCAGTGAGAGATGTTCTATTATTGAAAGGCTTCTGCCCCCTGTAATAATGAAAAATGTATATGACAAAAATCCGATGAGTACTACTAATGTGCTCTGACCAACGCGATAAAGGTGTCCATGCTATTAGCAGTGAGGAGCTGGAGCGGAGGTGAACCGTGTCGACAAGAAGAACCGGGGGTGGGGAATAATGAGTTCGAATGTTTATAGGTGGGAGTATTTGCGTATTAGGAGTGGTTATTTAAGTTGGTAAATACATATTTCTGTACATAAAAAAGACTTTCAGGGGCGCAATAGAAAAAGGGAATCCTGTCAAGTAATTGATAAATACTACATAATGCAGCAAGTTCGAGTATCCCGCGATTTTGTAAAGGAACTATTTATGTATATGTAAGGATGAAATTTAGGTTTGGTAATTCCCGAATCTGATTTAGTCTCGCCACGACATGCAGCAGTTTTATTTTTTTTACCCCCTAAAAGCCAACTCGGAAACCTATAAGATTTGATTTTAATTAGTCAATTTTTGGAAAATTAAGCAGGTATGGGCCTGGCATTACTCATCTTGAACAAAAATTTACATTCAAAATATAGAGTATATACCATTCAAGTATTTTGAGAAGTATATCAATAACAAATGTTTCAAAAATCCAGTGTCAAAGTATTCAATATTGTATTCCACAGTGAAAAACATTGCTTGCTTTTGCGAGACTCTTTGTATATTTAAAACATCAAAACTTCTAAAAATACTATAAATACAATAACCTGGGACTGTTTACTCACAAAAAAATGTCTAACGTGCACAACTGTGGTGCGTTAATTTCTTGGAAATCAATTTAGAATAAGACCTTTCAAACTCGCAAATATAATCTTAATATCACTAACAGTAGGCGAAAATGCCTAGAGAAAGTCACTGAGTACTCGGCCCAGTACCCGGTACTTGGTATTCGAATCTGACCGAGTATCCAAGTAGAGAGTTAACCTACTCTCCTCTTCCCACGCAAAGCCGTCTTCAGTTTATAAAGGATTGTGTTCAGCACAAGTTAGACCCTATCGAAATAAGACAGCGCCATAGACCTTGTGTCGTGGATAGAGGATAGTTGTCCCAGAGACCAAGCTTAAACCATGCTGACGAGTTGCCAAAAAAAGCGCAAAACAGGTGTCTGTGGTTAGCTGTCTTTGGTTGGACAGGCGAAAGCAGCATGTTTAAATTAGACCCTAAGAAAAAAGCTGTTTACGAAAATATATAAAAGGGAAATTAAACGGATCAAGTCCGTACAATTAGCTAATAACATTATTTCCCTACACTTCTCGTAGTACCGTCCATCTGGCAACGTCGCATGGCCTCTCCTCAATATTTGAAAGCATGATGTGTCACACGCGGCAGACCACTCACAGTATCAGTCATGTAGGACACATACAAACACCGGCACGCCGACCGCGGTCGTTAAAGTTAGCAGACGCAGGGGCGCTTGTCGAATGCGTTTTTCTAGCGTACTAAGTTGTAAGGGCAAATGCATGGGACTATCTATGCTGTGCAAAATATGTCTAATAGGTGCGTAAAATTATCGGGTTTGGAAGTATATCAATGTGTGTGAAGTAAAAAGTAGCATTTGGTGCATCCCTAATTTATATACAACTATTTTCAAACTCCTTTTACCTACATGTGCATTCTGATTTTCTGAAAAACGTTTCCTGTAAGTGCACCATACTTTAGTTATAGTTTTGGTTTTGGTACATATATGTTGTAACAAGAATGAATAGTACTGTTGGCGCCAACTGTTGGGAGGCTCTCCTACTCGCCAGAGCTTCATGGCCGATCTCTGTTTTTACCCGGATCACGACCGCACATGCTGCTTGGTGACATCTGTTGAGGACCGTGCCAGTGACTCGCCTTCTAGATCGACGCGAAGTGACCTCTTCTATTCTGGAATGCGGCTATGTGGCTCACCGGAATCTTCTCGACCCACGATGCGGACTATATAACTCGATGGCCTGGAGAGGGAAGCAGAGTAGAGTAGATTTGAGCTGAGTGGAGTATAGCTCAGTCAATGGCGCGACATAAGAATTAATCAGACATGAATAGTGGTGTACATAAATGTTCTATCTAGTCAAGTTGAATAAATTATTGCATTTCTTTTTGTGGAATCCTGAGTTTTAATCCACACCCAAAAGAACTCAGGAAAACGCTGCAATATCATGATTTAAATATTTAAACGATTATAATTATATAAAACGGTGAAAAACAGTTTGGTAATTTTTCAAAACCGCAAAGCCCATTAAATTCGGTGGAAGCGTTTCTGAAATTGCGTGGTTACAAGAATACTGGCAGGCAGTCAGGCTGACAAATCGAATGAAATGCTGAAATGATTCGTGCCTTGCAGATACCTTTAGCCAACAAAAATTTGTTTAATGAAGTTTGAATGTTTTTTGCGATTGCAAGACTCCGGATTTTGATGTCACGTAAATTGACCTTGTACCTCCAGTGCATTCATATGGCTTTATGAAACGTATCGAGTAGTGTCGAGACACCTGGATGATATTAGACTGAGAGAGTTTATCAGGTTTTTCTATACGTTCCTCAATCATCAGCCCTTCTAAGACTCGAAAAGTACCGCTTTGACCTGCCTGACTGCCCTAACTATGAAATTAGCAAATTTCAAATGAAGTGGGAAGTATAGAGTCAATCTACTTGAAACCATTTTTTGCATACTTATAATGTTTAGGACTAACAAGATATTGTGGATATGGAGATTGGTATTCATAAGTATAATGATTGTTAGGTATTCTGATATACAAACTATGATTGAAGCAAAAATACACAATATTGTATTGATTATTGATCAATGGTGGTATATTAATTTTGAAATCACGATGCAACAAAATTACAATATGCACGTTTACTACGAGGCTCCAAGGTGATAGTATTAACCAATTTTTGGACTTTTTTGAGAGTGTATGTGAAAACCGGAATTATCGAAATTGCTCCACTGTGCACTTGGGCGACTTCATAAATTTTGATAATCAAGATTTTTATGTAAAAAAACATGTTCTAAACTTTTATGGTGTCTGGCAAAAACTTAATAACTACACAAGGATTACAAACTATTCAAGAATTAAGATAGATTTAATAATAACCAATGAACAGAATTTGAGTATTAAGGTTTTGCATACTCCAAAAATAAGTGGACATGTTTTGAGGTGAAACTATGTTTAATGAGAGGGAATCAATGGATAATATGGAAAACTGCATGAGAGCACAAATTAAACAAGCGGTACATCAAAGGAAAAAGCTCACACTCTGGTTTTCACAAATTTTTCAAGATTTTAAACTGACACGTGATAATGACTATGAAAAGGTTATGATCACCCAAGCTGAGGAAGACTGGAATCAATATAAGAAATCAAGAGACAAGTGTTTAACAGATCTTATGTGGAAAACACTAAAAAAAATATTGTATCTCCCAGTAAAAAGAATTAATTATCCAGAATGTGCTTCGAAGTTGTTGTAATAACAGAAAGATATTAATCGGAGGACGAATGCACACTTATTTTATAGAAAGATGGGGATCCAAACATATGTCACATGCAAGTTATTTATAATTCATCTATGAGTCAATTTGAGGCAATAGACTTCAGCAATCTAAAAAAAGCTATTTCTAAATTAAAATCAAATGGAAATCCTAGTGAACATCTTTCAGAAATGGTTCTCAAAGAATGTTTCAACATTATTGAAGAGAAGTTATATTACTAGTGAATCACTGTTTTCCTTCGAAACTAAAATGTTCTATAGTTACCCCTGTTCCCAAAGGTTCAAACTTCTGAAAAAAGTATTTTACTGATACAGCAATCCAAATGGCAGTACAAGAATGGAGGCTAAATATGGATGAAAAAAGGTTTACAGTAACATTGTTCTTGGCTTTCAAGAGAACAGAGAAAGAACTTTATTTATTTATTTTATATATTAACGATATTCCTGATGATTTACAACACTGCAAAATTCAAATATTTTATATGTAGATAGTAAAATAAATTACTTTTATAGAATTTCGCAAAGCCTAAGTGTTTATTACATAAAGATTGTGTATAACGTCATTCTTCCTCATTTGTTATATTGTTCGACTATTTTGGGCACTACAAACGAAATTGTAGTTTCAAAATTACAAATATCACAAAATAAAGCTATGAAAATCATATTAAACAAAAATAAATATACTGAAATAAATTTTATGTGCTGACAGAACTAACTACTCGTACAATGGTTAAATCTCAAAAATTTGGTTTTCGTTTTCATATTCAAGTTATATGATCATCTACCAAATCATTTAGAAAATTTTATTGAGTTGAACTATGAGTACAATAGTTATTCTACTAGAGGAGGTATATACTTTCATTTACAAAATTGCAGTAGCAATATAATAAGCAAATCAGTATTTCAAAAAGAATTGCACGAATTTAATAAATGAATGATATCAAGATGTGCTCCAGTTTTAAAATGGTCACAGGGAAATTGAAAAAATGTTTCATGGAAAGCCAGAATTCATTGTAGTGAAATTTTCTATAAAAATATGTAGACTTGAAGACATAAAATATTGTCTGCGTAACATTGATATTGTAGCATGAATGCTAAATAAATCTACAACAAACAAGATAGATATAGTTTGATTTCTCGTGTTTCATAAGTTGTTAATATTTTGAAATATCATGCTGTGTTCTATAATTTGCAGGATCCCAGAATTTCTGTCCAGCTGGAAGCATTGGGTACTATGTCCCGTTTACAGAACTATGATAACCCTGATGATAATATAATTGCAAAATTCATCTATCTGACAGCTTCTTCAAGTTCAAAGGTAATATGATAAATTGTATATTCAAAAGTATCAAAGATAATGTAGCTAATAAGCTAATCGAAAAATCATAGAAAGTATAATAAATACATTTGCCAACATTTAAAACTGGGAATGTCATTCGATAAACACTTCGCATATCTATAGAAATAGAGGCGTGATATATTGGTTGAAGCCTACTGAAATCTGACATATACTTGATATCTACAGATTTTTTTTAAATACCTAAATTATTACGTTAATGATTAAGTAATATAGTATTGGACACTTATCAATTGGTGATGCCAAATATTATAATATGGCACTAAGACATACCAGTTACTGAAAACTGCCAATCTATGACCAGGAATTTTAGAAAATGTTCAGTTATATACGCTATTTATGAAACGATGATAAAACGAAAGGTTATCAGAAATATAATCCAATAATATTTAGTTCATTGGAGTGGAAAATACTATTTATGTGTTTACAAAGCCTACCTTCAATATCATACTGCAATTTATTGTATGTTTACTACTTCTGTTGTTGTCCTGGCTATTCTGGGATTTATATTTGGTATGCGAAAAGTTAATGCTGATGTATACACCAATATACGGATCACTTTGCTTTTTAAGCAATGAGCTACTTTGCAGCAATGTAGCAAAATGTTGCCTTGAATGAACGATTCAGGTGATGCGTATATTTTATCCGTGCGAACTAATCAACCTTTAGTGCTATTTGTCGTTAGACATATTATGTTTGCGACTTGTGTCAGCAACGTCATACGATAATGTTCGATATTCGGGTACACATTTTAACTCCAGCTGGAGATACATTGTCTGGTAATATTGTCGTGTGACACAAACCGCATGCATAAATGATCGCTTAAGATGCACGTCCACTAATGCAAAGCGAAGAAAACATAAGTGAAATTCTTCACTTGCGATTTTTTTACATATAAGCAAATGAGAACCCTAGAACAGCAAATAGGCGAAGCCGGGCAAGTAGGCTACCTTTGGCTTTGTTTGCCGACCCCGAGTATACCAACACTCCGCTCCTTATGTGAATTCACCGATTATCTCAGCTTTTAGACCGCAATCCACGTGACAATAGCCCAGAAAGTGAAACAATGTGTCTGTTAGTCTTCAGTGCCGGTGAGAACCCTCGCCAAGAAGTTGAGTGATTCTTTACCCCTGTCCATTAGCCAGCGCGTCTGGCATTTGTTGGGGCTCGCCACGCTTTTTCCAGGTATGCCCAGCCTAAGCTCGGCACCGATGCAGGTGCTTCTGGCCCCCAGACTAGTCAGGCGATGAGCTTTCTCGTTGCCCGGCACTTCGCTGTGTGTGGAACCCAATGCAGGGTCACCTCTTTAGATCGGGCTGGACTCTGAAGAGCAGTAGTACATTCCTGTACTAAGGGTGACCCTAAAGGCTTCTGAAGGAGTTGTCCTTATCGAACCAGTTATCCCCAGCGCCGCCAATCGTTGACTCTTGGCAAGATTGCGGGTAACCGAAGTCTTTTCAATACATGGCCACCACACCACGTGTCTGTACTGTATCATAATAGGTCTTATCACCGTCGTGTAAATCCAATGAAGGACCTTTGGCCTTAATCGCCAAGTCTTGCCAACTGCCCGACGTAACTGCCGCATGGTCGTTATCGACTTCTTGTAGATATAAGCGACATGCTGCAAAATCTCTGTCCCTCTACTGACCGGGGCCTTGGCAAATGCTTATTCCTGAAGTTGTTCCACTTAGTATACAACTTCTTCCCGTTAAACTGATAGCACACGCGTTAAGGAATACCTCATTACTGATTGGCAGGAGTCGGCATCAGTCCGCCAACGGTCCACAGGCCGGAAAGACATTATGTGACTTCGGCTTAACTCCAAACCATTCCCCAATGTTGGGTGACCTACTTGAATCTCCTGCTATCAAGATCGACTTTTTGAACGTCAATCACCCCTCTTCAGAGGTAATTCTCCTCGGTGACTTCAATTCCCATAATGAACTGAGGTTGGGCCCAAACAAGAATGATGAAGCGTTCGCCATTAGCCAAGGACTGACCCAGTTGGTGACGAGCCATACTTGTCACACGCCAGTAGTCTGCTGGATCTCTTTCTGACTATGTATCATGTGCCATACAGCACTGCTGTCCTGCCTCCCCTGACTAACTCCCCGGCCTTCATTGGAGAGATGTTTGTTTTGCTGACTCGGATGTTCTATAATAACTGAAGTTATCTACGTTGGGATAGAGGAATACATCCCTCATTCAGTGAAAGTGCCTAAACCAGGGTCTATCGGCTGGTTTAACAAATCGTGACCTAGATCAAAGACCACAGAAGGGTCTAGAGACATTTAGAATATGGTGCACCACTTTGCGAGGTCGTGAAAATGATTTGCTATCTAGAATTAGAATACAAAATAATTATTAGTCTACCGTTTCAAATCAGTCTGTGATGTGTATGTCATATAGCTATGCGTTATTTAAACGTTTTTAACATTTTAACACATAGTTTCCTGAATCCAGCCGTTTTTATCGTTTTACTGAGTGTTCTCATCCATTTTTATGAGGACACTTTGCAATAATTTGCTGAAGTCCCTAAAGATTCTTTCATCTAACTAGTTGTTGACTACAATGACTACGTAAATATAGTTTTTTCGAGTCGCTTTGCCCCACTGGGTGAACAACTTTAGGCACTTATATGTTATTTCAACGAACCGCAAGTATAATATGAATAGACGTACTATCAGAAGAATACCTCATTTGAATACGTACATAAATATTTATATTGTATATTATAGGTAAGGCAGCGAGCAATAGAATTAGTAGCTGCGCGAGGAGATGTCATAAAATATTTTGTAAGGTCAACAAGAGACAAGGATCCTGCAGTAAGATTAGCTGCACTAAAAAGACTCGCAAGCAAAGCAACATTTTTGAAGGTACTAATATTGATTATTTTGCATTAAATACTAATTCTTGAATATGTTGTTCTTTTAATTTTCATGTACTTTTCAGACTCCAGACAAATGTGACATTCTTCTGTTTGCTTTGAGAGATTCCACACCGTCTATCCAAAAATATTTACCTGTTTTGCTAAACTCATGGGTAGAGAGCTATGATAATAACATAATACAGTTCTTGAAGTCACTTAAAATACATACTGATAGGAATCAAATTCAGAGGGCCGTCTCTCTGTATGAGAAAGTTCTGTATATAATATTAAGGTAACATGAATCTAAACAACAAAGAAATGCGAAATCTGATAATATGTCCATAGAATGGTTAAAAAAAACAAATAAAATCACAGAAGTAGAGTAACTTCGACAATAACCGGGTATCGATTTTTTAGGAATACAGACCTTGCAAGGTTGTCTGGATATGTGCAAATCGTTGACAAAGTAGTACCATATGATCAGTTGAATTATGAGACATCTTGCTACTGGAGAACATACATTGAGTATTTACATGGTAAAGGAGATTATTTTGAGGGGGAAGTTGAGAGGATGATTCCCGAACTACCTTATTTTAGTGGACATATACTTGGGTAAGATGTTATTGCTTACTAATTTGAAGGAAGGATCAAATATTCTATGATTATTCACATGATAATGTCCACGTTCATCAGAACTGGATGCTCTGTAGCGTTTCAATAGCCCTAGGCCCCAAATAACACTGGCCACGCTTGCCAGACCATAACTGGCGCTGACTTGTGATTGCTGTATAATGACAGATGACTTGAAATCAACCAATGACAAGTTAGCGCTCCTCAACAATTGGACAACAGGTGCGTTTGCTGAATCCTATTATTTCAAGATGCGCAAACTCCATTAATCCTTTTGAATAATACAAACATAAAAAGTGAAGGTAAAAACAGTTCAACCCTACAATAATCATGATAAACTTCTACATGTGGTACATGTACCATGTAATGGAAGTAAAAAAGTAGATAACTAAAGTTAAGCTTGATATGCTGTCATGATAGAGGCAGTATAAGCATAGTTATGTTTCCATAGCTAGCTTATTATTTAAGCAATTAACTTTGAAATAGGTAATGCATTTCATTCATTTTCGATGATTTGTTTTGTCAATTAGTGCTATTTTGCGTAAATAAACCAATGATGAGCATCGAGAGACAGTCAGGCTGAAATAGCTGAACTACATTGTAGGTTGAATAGTCGTTTTCTTTTTCACCGTGTGCTATCGCTTGTTCTTTGTCAAGAGAAACCCCTGGAGTCAGGTTTGAGCTATATTTGATGACTGACGATTATATAAGCTTTCATTTTGTTCTGTTGATGACATATACTAATGAAATCAAGATCACTCGCCGGTACATAGGCGGAACATTAACGACTCAGAATACTTTTATTTTGCAGTGTAGTGACAATAGTTTTTCGCATTCGTAGATTCTGCAATAGTATGAAAACCAAAGGGCTGGAAAATGACTCAGAACAGCAATACATACTGAAGCAACTATTCCTGATGACTAAAGTCTTCGATTATGCTGATGTTGCAAATAGAAGATGCTTGAATGGTTTGGTGCAATGTGTGTTACGTGACTTACCATTAACTACAGATACCACTGAGGTAGTTGTATCAGCCTTAGAGAGGTCGATCCCTTTGGCTGCTCCTAGGACGCATTTTGTCAATGAAATGATCTCAGAAATTATTTCGCCTGTTGATGTAGAGACTGCTGTGCAGATCCACGAAGTAAAGGAGTACGAGGTATACATGACCTATTAAAAAATGATTTTTGCATTTTTATATAATATATTTTTATGCTTTTTGATGTAACCAAACGCCCTTGCAATCATCATCTGAAGACGCTAACATAGGAAAGTTGTGCATTTTGATAACTAAGAAAAATGCGCTTGGAAATTTTTGCAATTGCATGTCCGAAGATATACGAAAAAAACGAATTTTCCCATTATCATTTTAATTGTTTCCTGACTTTGAGATAGGATTCCAAAATAAAAGATACAATAGCGCTTCCACTTTTTCTTCTCTAAAAGATGGCATAATTAGAATTCCAATATGGCATTTCGTCTCTGGTCCACAATCATCAACTTTATTTTTCCTTATGGATGCTTCTGATTCGAAAAATGTCATACGGTGACATTGTCAAGCCTTAGTTATTAAAAAAAAACAGAATTTCTTAGGTAGGCCTTGAAATTATCAGGCAGTATTGTTTCATAACATCATCAGGCAGCATTCCTTCACTTTTTATGAATTAGACATAGGTGAACAGTGCGTCCCTATCTCCCATTTTAATGTACGTATCATGACATAGATTGTTATTCAAATGTCTAAAAAAGTAATCTTCCTATAGTTGGTCTTGAATAAAGAACAACATAATGCTAAAACATTTTCATATTATTTAAAGCTAGTATTGAAAACATTGAACAGTATTTTATCTTACCGATAGAAACATTTTGAAGTGAATCAAAACTAGACGATAATGCAGCTTGATCAACATATTCTATATCCGCCATACCTGAATCGATCCACATATCCTTCATTCAAATACTATTAAAATACGGCTGAGGTGTCATGTAGTGCATCTACGTAGTGCTAAAATAATACTTGTTACAATCGATAGATGGGCAAATTATCTGAATGGCCTTTAAACATGCTGCTAAAAACTGAAGCATTGGTAATCAGATGAACATTTGATAAACTTGTCATTTTCAAGGCCAACTATGAAAACATTAGTTTTTTTTTAATAACATAGGTTTGACAATGTCTTTGTGACATTATACATTTGGAAGCAAAATTTAAAAAATTTTGTTCGCCTGTGCAAAAATACAATATGGCGTCCAAGTTGAATATTGAGGACAACCGACGAAACGTCATATTGAAATTTTAATTATGTCACCTTATAGAGGTGTAGAACATCTACAAAATGTCATAAAAACCTACATAATGTCAAAAGACCGACATAATGAGACTATTCAAACTATGTAATACCCTTTTCGCACGAGAATCATGTATCTTGAAAAGTGAAGTTATATCGATTTTTTTGACATTATACTGTTTTTTTTTTGACATTATGTATGTAGGTTTTTCTACAAGATGTTAACTCAGCACTTAGTTGTACGTGTTGCCTAAACGTCATAAGGCTTTAGTTATCAATGTTTGGCTCTGATGTGATGTAAAATCTGCTGCAGAGATGGCATTACTGGAGGTGTAAGCTATAAGTTGTATGTGTTGATGATAATTCCATTGGATTCTTGTCTCAAATACACTTAATCGAGATTCAAAGCTAGAAATTAGTTACGCAACCACTTTTTCTTATCCATTCTGGAAATTGCATATATAAATTTGCTGAATTTCAAAAATGAGAGAGACAAATAATTATATTCACTGTACATTGTTGAAGTAAAAGGCATATACATGCTACAAGTAATTACACATACCGCGGGCGCGGTGATGATTTCCCGTAATTCTTCTCAGTTTTTCGCAATTTATAACTTTGAACATATCCTCTCTCCAGAAAGCACAACATACAAATATATTCAGCATATTCAGTAATGATTTTCTCACACAGCAAATATCACTGATTTTATACACATGCAGACCAATACACATAATCATCCATCATCCTATTTTCTGCTCGAATCCAATTTCCTTCTTTTTGCGGATTTTGTACAATATTTTTTTATACTTGTTATATACCTTTCTCCGCATGATCCTCTTTTTGTCGATGCTTGGGGATTGAAGTGTCTATAACCGTCCGGGTGGTAGTAGCTCGACTCTTGTTGGTGACTTCTTGAGTCGTTTTGTTCCCTCTCAATCTTCGTTTCCTCAGGTTATACCCGTAACCGGATGTATTGGTATGTGTGTATACTTTTGTAGTTGCATATGTGCATTCATTTCGGGTCTGATGAACCCAACAAGCAGAAATTAATTATTTCTATTTATTATATACCTTCCATTGCATAATCCTTTTCTCTATATATAGGAAATACTGCTATTTAGTTAATATCTAAAATATTGCTCCTGGATGCAGTTTCTTTCATGAAAAACAACAAAGATAAAAATGACATGGAGAGTGAGTTAATTTTAATCCCAGACATCCATTTTGAAAATAGTCCGATACTGATATTTTTTTAGCTGACGCAATTAAAAGTGCAAATAAACTGCCTAAACAACGACCTCGATGAAGCAGTACAAGAGAAAAGTTATCTGAGAGCAGATGCCCTCAAGAAAGAATTGGAACAAAAAGAGGTAGAATTGAAACGTCTGAAGGAAGAGCGTTACGTACAACATGAGATTACAGAAAGAAAAAATGACGAACCGACGCTGAACAAATGTCTGGACATTGCCATTGCTGCTGCATCTTCAAAACAGGTATTCTAAATAATTTTTTCTCGAGAAAGCTGTGTACAAACTCCAAGTTATCAAAATGATGGAGATACAACGGATTACTCTGGGAAAGCTTTCTCTTCCTGCGGCCCAGCTCCTTTTTAATTCTTTCAAAGACTACAACTAGTTGCCAGATAAACTAATGATGGCATTGCGTAGGAAGTGCAGAGTCAACCTACTCGACCCAATTTGTTTGGTCTCTTACAGTTAATTTTTTGTTCATGAGTGAAATTTCATTCTTGTATTTTTAGGTGACACAACTGACTCCCGCCTTGAGGTCTCTAAAAGAAAGTTTAATTCCAGATTTCATGGAACATGATAGCTGGATCATCAAGCTGAAAGCTCTTAAATTTTACGCTCTCTGCTGTCTCGTAGACAAAACAGTCGTTCCTACAGGAATACAAATCTTCACAGCTCTCGTAAGTTGCCTTTCATTCGTGAAATGAAGTATACGCTCTTTTCACTATAACAATGTTAAAGGATATGATATATCTAAAGACTGCTGTAACAGTCATTAAATTAGAATATGTCTTATAGTCTAATCATATTAGACGAAAATACCCGTGGTTTGCGAAATAATTGTAAAGTCTGGTTTTATTGATGCAAGTTGTTCAAGGAGGTAGTTTAAACATGAACGCATAAAATGGGTACACCGATTTTTGTGGGAAAACTTGTTATTCGACAACAAAGAATGAGAAAACGTGTTTTTTGGGAATCAATCGGCAGTGTTGGCAGGAACCAAAAAACTCTTCAAATAAGATTCTTAAGTATTTATGAGACCTACAGACTGAGATTACACGTAAAAAGATCCGACTAACAGTAAACAAGTTATGGCAGGTTTTGGCACTTGCTGCTAATGCGACGATAATTTCACGCAGCTACTTGAAATTCTTCATATCCTTAGGATTTATAGCAAAATACACAAGTTTACCTTGCCGATAAGATCACAAACCATTTCGAAAGATAATTGTTGTTTTTAGTAATTAAACAGATTCGCTACGATATTCGAAAAACATGGGTTATTATACAAATTTAAAACAAAGCGGATGAGTCCATCACCTTTTGTTGCGAAGAAAACAATTTTTTTTCAAGATTTCTTCATACGCTTGTGTATACATATTTAGAGCTGAAATTCTTACAAGGTGTCACAGATGAGCCCTAAAGTTTATGAAAATAAATATTTGATACCTAAATGCGCTGAACTGTCTATAAAGTTAGCATGCAAAATGAAGACACAATTATGGTTCAAACTGTCTTAGCCCAGTTAGTATGTTGCATGTGCTAAATGGCTTCATTATTGATCACTGCATAACTTTGTCAAATAAGTAGGTCAAGTAATCTAGTTTCTTTAAGAAGAAATATAATTCCCTGGACCTTTTTTCTAAAAGCTTCACTATAGTATACGTCTGCTTTCGAAATATCGTACGATTAAAACGACTGCGAGTTCAAAATATTGGAAAATAAACTCGATAATACGAAAAAACGGTAGACAAATATCAACCAATTGTAGCGAACTGATCGTCTTCAAAAATATAAAAAATGCTCAGTATTAGTCCCTAATACATTATTTAAAGTTTCAGCATGGTATCTTGTTCGGTTTTCAAGAGTATTCTAATTGTTTATAATAGATTTGATATGCCTTCAACGTTCGCTTGACATTTGTCAGTGTCAAGTGTAGTGGTATAAAGATACAGTCAACCAAGAGGCGTCGTAGCGTAGTGGGAGAGAGCGGTGATATCTGAACCGCAGAGCGGAGGTTCGAACCCACAAAGCTCTTTTTTTGCTATCAATTTTTTTTAAAATTTGGAGAAATAAATGCTTTTTCACATTATGTGTATAAATAGCGATCAAACAGTTTTTCGCACGCCATAGACAATGTAAGTTTGCAAACAGTAAATCAGCGGTATACGTATGATGCGTCCATGTTTTAAATACCTCCTCGAACAACTTGCATTAATAAAACCAGACTTTACAATTATTTCGGGGAAATGTGTTTATGATTAGACTATTATAATATAACATAATATAACAATGTTTCTCCTACATGTCAACGACCTCCACAGCTTTGCTAATGCCGGCACTCTACATGCAGGAATTCAGAGCGACAAGCCGATCTCTGCTGGTGAGCTGGAAAAACGAAGACTAGCGGCGAATTCCTCTCTGAGGAGATACCTGGAGGTTATCACTGTTTCGGGATGCAACAATCTTGTACCGTTTAATGCTTCTAAAACACAGTGACGAACAAAAAGCGTCCTAGTCTGGCTCTGGGGTACAGAGATTCATCTTGAACTTGCTAACAACTCTTTTATTTAGAAAAGTTCATTTGCATACAAAAAAATGCTACAAGCAAGTTTTACTATATTTTCATCCGATTAATTATTGCCTAGACGTCAAAACGTGATGGATACTCGTGAAATGAGATTACTGCATTATTTGAGACAGCCAAAGCACTCTCTTAACGTGTGTGCGAAGTACATTTAGAAATTTTTACATTCCTTTTAGATCTACTCTTACTCGCACGGAGAAAAATTCGAAAAGGAAATCCTGCAACTTTGTGTTTATGCTGTGTGTGACCTGTTGATTTTGTATGGACCAGCTCTAGTTGCTGCACCTAATGTGGTGGATCTGTCAGAAAGTACCGACGAGGACCATCAGCAAGTTTTTGCTGGATCATCCATATCTGAGATAGTGGATGCACTTTTGGCTATCATAAAAGATCAGGTTTGTCGTTAAAAACTTAACCGGTGTACTCACTTTGATATTAGCGCATATTAGCGCAGCTTAGATAACAATCAGCTATGAAACTCTCCTGTCAATGTCAAAAACGGTCGCCATTTCGGCGGAGAAAATCGCATGTAAATTCCCCTAGTACAACGATAAAAGAGGTTTTAGTCTTCAGCAGCAGCCGGTGTTGCCGCGTACCATGCCAGCGACCGCAGATACACTTTGCAGTCGTAAAGTGATACAATTTCGATATGATTAGTGCAGTTTATGTGAATCAATAATACAAAGGAGTGTGTTTGTCCAAAAAGAAGCGACAGAGTATTGATGACTATTTATGCAAAAGCTTCAAAATAAATTTGTAATGATGGAAGTACAATGAACGGAAAAAGAATTACTTTTGCTAAGTATTCTACGCTGCTACGATATAATCAACCTATTGCATTTTCAATGTAAACAGTGCTAAAAACACCAGACAAATACCTCCTTTACTCATTCACAAGAAGTTCAGTGTCTTTGTCGCGCAAACCACTAGTAAAGTGACAACCAACACTGACAAGGACTTCTCAACTAGAATGCTTCTACATACAAAGCGAGTCTCTAATGTGTTCCGATATTTAAAGTACCTAAAAATTGTAAGCAGCTGCTAGGAAAATATGCCTCCCTCCCCAGGGTGATTCATATCTATATGACAATCCAAACATACTATGTTTTTCAAATGAAGTATCCTATATATTTTAGTTTATTTTGAAACGACTCTTCAGAAGAAGAACTTTGAATATGATGTATATAGGGTTCGTACAGCTACGGAGCTACGCGATAGTTTGCACGGAAAAATACTGAGCTTTGAGAGCTTGTAAGTGACTTTTGCAGATAAAGTAGGTAACTTTTTGACAAAATGACCTTAATATCCCATAATTCCCAAGCAGCGACTTCTTAAATAGGGACAGACCCGTAATGTAACTTTTTTAAAGTATTGCAATTACACTTTTTTATAAACTTTAGACGTGAGTCTTGACTAATATGTTTATGCAGAAACATCTTCAGTGTCGTGCGTTTACAATTATTTACCACTTTATATTTTGGTAACAGTGCTGGATTAAACCAACCCGGGGCCAGTAGCAAATTATATCAAGAGGCCCAGAGACTATTGAAAATTGAAGAGTGGGGGGATGGGGGTAGTGACTGCATTAGTGATCTCTCACTCAGGCGATACTTTGTTAAGGTCACACAGCGTTGGTGCGTGGGGTCCATAGCATTTGCTACTCTTGCTAAACCGCGACTGTTTGGTAAGAATATACCCTCAGAACTTATTCTGAGCCTACATGAACATTTAAATGAGGGATTTAAGAAACATTGATCGTCAGTAAAACTAGACCATTTTGCACGAATATTTTTTATGGTTCGCTCATTCTAAACACATTCACCCTAAGGTTGACCACTCTGATCTATGGTATGTGAATATTTTTTGTTTTGATTATATATTCCATTCAAAAAACTGTTTATTGTAAGTACTTCCACAAATACAAATTTATTTTGAAGCTTTTTCATACATAGTCATCAATACTTCATCGATTCTTTTGGGACGAGCATATTTATTTTTATTAATGGTTCACACAAACTACACTAGATCATGCCAATATTATAATTTTTGCGATTGCAAAGAATATCTTCGGTTGCCCACAGCAATGGCGGCTGTTTTTGACAGTGACAGGAAAGTTTCATAGCTGATTGTTATCTAAGCTGTGATATTAGGATATACGCCCCACAAAACGACGGTAAAAAAATGCTGCATTTGGTATGAATAACATGAAGGCCTAAAAAGTCTGGTTTCCAAAATTCTAAGATTTATTTATGCTCATAATAACAGACAAAGATTCCTAGCGATGACCAAAGTTGATTTGATCTTATTATTATAATTATTCGGCATGTAATGAAGTTGTTATATTTTCCTCGAAACCAGGGTAAGATACGAAGAGATACCAAGAGTCCAAAATTTTTGTGTATCATTAGCTGCTTAATCTGAAAAATATGTGGCGTTCGTTTTTTGTCAGTATCTTTCATGAGGCTTTCCCCGACACGTTTTATTGCAATGAAAAGTACTACCAAAATTCCATATAATCAGCCCAAGGCTCTTTGAGATATTAATAAAGAACGAACTTTCTTTAGAAACTTTGACACCATGTATCTTGAAAACCAGACTTTTTAGGAGGGATGTTTAAATGGACCTTGCTACTTATATTCAGGAATGCTCCTTTGTAATTATAGTCTATCATTAAGTAAGGCCCTGTATATGCACGCTATAATCTTGTTGGATCTGTGGGGGCATTTTCGAAACGTATCAAACAGTACCAAACACTACATTTTTAACTTTATTTTTTTAGGAAAATGAGACTTTGGTGAAAGAATGGGCATATTTGACCATATGCAAGCTCATAAGCAATGGTGTTGCGAAAACTGCTTCACTAATTTCAATGCTGATTTTGAAATGGTGTGAACCTGAAGGTGGTGAGTTTGTAATTTTCAAGTTAATCTGTTAATGAAATACTTGTGTGCAAAGTTTTTAAAATCTCAAACTTTACGTAAATACCATACAATTTTCAAGAGTTTTCTTACAGTGGGAAACCTACTTTAGTAGATGATATTGCATATTGATATAACAAATTATTCAGTGCTCAGAAAAGACAATGAAAATTAGATCTTAAAAAATTCACCTAGCCACTTTTATTAAATGGGTACCACCTTTTTTTATTGTTTCATCATATTAAGCCTCAGAAAGAAGATTAGCCTTTGGTAAGGTTGTTTACTTGGCAAATTATTAACTTCAGAGATGTAATCATGAATGAATGTCCCAAAAAGTAGTGATAATAGGAAGCCCAGAGGAGAACACCCTATGAGGAGTCCGGAATCACCCCCATGTATATGTAGCATTTTTTTATTTTAGGAGTTATGGCTTTTTTCCGATTTACCGATTTTTTTAGTTCCGAGCTTATTTTAGTCATAACTTCGTAAATAAGTGAGAAAAACCGTGATTTTTCGTTATATAGCTAAAACTTGAGTCGAAACTTTCATGGGCTCAATTAAATAAGGTAATTGAGTTTTTAAAATGCTAATAAATTGTTTCTATTTTTCAAAAACGTACAAAGTTGTTGGCCGTGTTTTTGTCATGTTTTTTTTTTAATTTTAAAATGTATTAATTACTCAATTTAATTGAACTCATAGTAGTTAAACCTTAAGTTTTAGCTGAATAATAATGAAAAAGCATGTATTTCTCACAGGAAAATACCTCTGGGCTTCCGATTATCGCTACTTTTTGGAACACACTGTATATGATATACAGGGTGATTCACAAATCGTGACCAAAAATGAAACATCATACACAGGACCACATTTTAAGTATGTAACATTTTTCCCTCGAATGCTTCATTAAAAAGATAGAAAGTAAAAATAAAAAACATTTTTTTAATATCTTCAAAACCGTCAACTGGAATGAAGTAAAATTTGGTATGTGGATTTACCTAAGTATATTGTCCACATTCAAAAGTCCTTACCTTAAATTAAAGTGCACCAGTGACGGAGATACAGGGGATTAGTGGCATTATTTTTCCAAATAAAAATAGTTCGCCAGTGTTTTTTTCGATTTTTACTTCCAATTTGCTACAAATAATTACTCTTGTGTTTTTTCCTAGAGTGCATTGTTTTCGTAAAAATAAAAAACAAATTAAATAATCAAAGCTTTATTTCAGTAAATGTTCAAAAAGACCACCATTCTGCGGCATCTTTTTAATAAAGAAAAACGTATTTCCGCAAAATTTGTTGCGGCTTGAGTTTGATGAAACGCATTATCTATTCTTTCTTGAATCTGATCAACAGTGTTAATTTGTTCAGCATACAGTTGTTTAAAAGCACCCTACAAAAACAGTGGGTTCAAATCAGGAGACCTCGCGGGCCAATGTACGGGTCCGTTTCGGCTAATCCATGGTTGTCTAAAATGATTATTTAACCATGCAGTTATGTCATGAGGAACATGCGGTGGGGCACCGCCGGCCGTGCTGATACCACATTCGTACTCTCATTGCTAACGCAACATCATCTAACATATTTTCTATGTAATTCTCTAGAAAAGCTAAGTATGAGTTTGGATTTAAAGGTTGTGGCAATACGTGCATAAACAGTTTTCCAAGCAATACGTGCATAAACAGTTGGCCATTGAAAATGCCGCACCAGACCTTTCTAGAAAATCTGTGTTGAAACGAGTGGATTCTGACAGAACGGGGATTTTTTAACAACAAAATATTTTCATCATGAGAATTAAAGGTTCCACTTCTCGTAAAAAACGATTCGTCTGATCACAAAACCAAATCAGTAGAATCTGCGTTTTGATTATGTATTTGCAGTCACCACTCAAAAACTTCATCGTTGCACTTCGTCGCCGGGTTGCAGACATTGCACATTTTGCCGATGGTAGAGGATGTAAAACTTGCCGATTTAAAATTCTCCACGGAACACTTTGGGAACATGCTAACTGGGCTGAACTTATTGTACTTGGATCATCCAACGCCAAATTAATTACTTCCAGATCCATACAGCCGAAGTCTTAGAAATGAACGCGCAAAAACCTTTGGGGTAGGTTGGCGTCTGTTAGGAAATCTACGCTGATACTCCCGAGAAGCCGCTAAAGAATTTCCATTACAGAACCCGTACACAAAAATAATATCGGCATACTCATCATTGCTAAAGTCCATTTCACATCACTCAAAAATGGAAAAAATAAACTTTTGACTTGACTTTTACAAAAAAAAGTGGTAGTAACGATAACAACCGTATAACACATAACTTTGACAAACGTCAAGTTGGTATCAAGGCCTCCTATTTTATTTTGAAACTAATTGTATCCCGGCTCTTCATGAATGATCTAATTTGTTTTATTTTTATTTTTACGAAAATCAGTGCACTCTAGGTAAAAAAACTAGAGTAATTATTTGTAGCAAATTGAAGGTAAAATTCGAAAAAGTGCCACTAATCTCATGTATCTCCGCCACTGGTGCACGTTAATTTTAAGTAGAGACTTTTGATTGTGGACAATACTTAGGTAAATCCACACACCCCTTATCTTTTTATGAAGCCCTCGAGGAAAAAATGCTACATAGAAGACCCCCCTCAAAATGCGGTCCTGTGTATGATGTTTCATTTTTTGTTCACGACTTGTGAATCATCCTGTATATTATGAAATTATTGGTTTTACTATTGTTTAAATGCTCCATACAGCTTTTACTATCATATAATCTCAGTTGACTGTGAATGTGGGGCTCTACATCCTTTTTTATATTCTACACCCTGCATGCTGCAGTTTTTAACATGCACAGACTTCTGTTGACAGGCTTTAATTTCAGATCGATTTATCCAGCAGTTCTTAGCATAAATATGTTTTCAGATCCCAACCTGGTCAGTATCATTGGTCACACGTTGCAGAAGATAGTTCGCATATCCGAGTATTCGCATAATTTGCAAGATGCATCAATTTTGACTATAGACGTGTTGCTTAATGATACGTCACCACCGATCTATCAGACTGTCAAAGAAGACGTAATCAAGTTCATCGTCGCTCTTTGCAAAACATCGCCAAAGGTAAGTCTACTATTTAAGCTTTAAGTAGTAATGAGATGAAGTCTTACTGACTCGATGGCGGATTTGATTAGGGATGGCCGCAACGGTCAACTTGACTCATATCTAATTTCATAGAATAAATTAGTACATCTTACAGTATTTGCCTATATATCAATTTAAATTTGCCACGCCTTTTTTTTAAACAAGAGGAAATTGTGGTGTGATTCCTCTTTCCTTTTTTTTTGAAATTAATCAATGAACTAATAAATAAAATACTATAAATGAAGTCTAAAGGTCAGTCCAATGCAAAACAGCTGTCTAGTGGCGTGCACATTTAGGCCCTAGCTCAATAAAGCGGGGAATAGGGGGTTACTTGAGTGACTTAAGACGGATTAAGCCACAAATCCCCGAGGTGTCAATCGGAACTTTTTTTGCTTGACTACCCACACAAAAGAAAATAATCTAACAGAAATGACGTAACCTAATTAATAGTACACAGAGAGCCAAATAAAACAATATATTAAAAAAATCACAATATATTACCCCAGCAAACAGCACAAATGCTCCACCTCTGGAGTGCATATTAGAAGAAGGGGTATTATTAAAAAAAATATATCGGACAATAAAATTATTTGACCGTGATAAAAAAACTCCGCTAAACGTTTACCATGGTACATGCTTTGCAGATATTTTAGCGCCTGAACTAAACGTATCTAGGTTAAGGTCTTCTCCTAGTTACGGCTAGGTGCAGCCGGGATATCCTCAGCTCACAAGTGCTCAGGTCAATAAGAAAAAAAAACGGTGGCCAGTAGTGGGCACGTCACAAGGTCGCTTCGTTTTCCAAAATTTACGGTATAACCATAAAGAAAACCCTAGAGAGTGGCAGACTGCTTAAATATCGATAAATTGTGCCATTTTTGAATAAAATCAAACTAACAAATTTGTCACATGATAGGAAATGTACTGCGAATTTAAATGAATTGTTGATTATACATAGTTATCCATGACTGCAAATAAAAGTTGTTTTGATCGGTTATGGCTTATTTTGACGTTAAGCTGACATTGTTAGCAGTGTAAAATTACTAGATTAAAATCAAAATTTTTATTAAATCGATTTAAAATGCCAAGATTTGCAGACAGAGAACTGACTGACATGCATTATGTGTACGGGTTGTGTAATGGCAGTTTATTGGCAGCCGTAAGAGAATATCAAAGAAGTCTTCCCAATCGCATAGTACCTGGACGTCGAATGTTTACTAATATTCACCGGAATTGGTCAAACTATAGAAGTTTTCAGCGCATGCAGCGCTCAGGAAGGCGACATATGTTTGAAAATAATCCGCAAATAAGCATACGAAATGTTTCAGAAATTATGGATATACCTCGATCAATAGTAAGAAAAATTTATGAATACGTATTTGATAGTTATCCTAAAAATAATAATTTTAGATTGGAAGAATGGCAAGAATGCAAGGATTACATCCTTTCTACGAATCGAGTTTTGCCAGTGGATATTAGTAAATGAAAACACTATTCTTGGAATATTATGGTCGGATGTGTCCACATTTACTAGGAATGGTGCTTTTAATTTCCATAACATGCATCACTGGTCATATGAAAATCCAAAAGTTGTTCGCCGCGCCGTACAAATTTCCAACATAGATTTTCATTGAACTTATGGGCAGGAGTAATTGGGCCTATTGTACTTCCCAATCGTCTTAATTCAGAGGTGTATCTGAACTTTCTTCAGAATGAGCTCATGGATATAATACCATTGGATGTGCGCCAGCAGTTTCAAGAAAATATGTTTTTTCAACATGATGGCGCCCCTGCACATTTTGGACGCAATGTTCGAAATTGGTTGAATGTCAATTTTCCAGACAGGTGGTTAGGCCGAGGAGGTCCTATAGCGTGGCCGCCACGTTCACCTGACCCAAATCCATTGGATTTCTACTTTTGGGGGTCATTAAAAGACCTAGTTTACTCGACTGAAGCAAATACTCAAGAACATTTACTTCAAAAAATCCATCAGGCTGCGAATGAAATAAGAAGAAAAAGGTTTTCCACTTTTCGGGCTACGCAATCATTAGTTCGTCGAGCGAGACTCTGTATCCAACAAAATGGGAATTTATTTGAACACTTATTGTAAAGCTAGTTTTAAGTATATCCAACAATCCAGCATGTCTTTTTTAAACAAATTTCAATTTCGTTCGTAGAAAAAATTTATTTCTTTTGTTTTTGCCTAAATGTTAGCTATGTTGCCATAGAAGTATGTATTTATGTAATATTTACCAATTATTAAGTTAGTGTTTTCGTTGCCATGGCTAATTGTTCAACAATTCATTTAAATTCGCAGTACATTTCCTATCATGTGACAAATTTTTTAATTTGGTTTTATTCAAAAATGGCACAATTTATTGATATTCAATAAGGGTATCTTTTTATGTATATGGTTCAAGATGACACACGGGCTGATGACGTCAGTTGCTCGAATCGCTTGAACGCGTTGGTTTTAACCGCGGTATTGTTGCAAGTTGTTTATTTTAGAAAAGCCCGTATATAATTTCTGATTATTTTTATTATCACTTAATAAGATGCTTTTTCGTGTACAACACATTCTCTAAACTTTTCCGCATGTCAAAGAAAATATTTATTGATTTAGCAGAAATGATACGAAAACACGAAAAAAGATATCAACATCAAAACCGCGCATACAGGTGGACATCATCCAGTGAGTTGATATGGCCATATTTTAATATTCTTATGGTATACGGCTACACAGGATACTTTGTTGAGCATAGGAACTAGATTTAAAGTGTCCCCAACAACCGTAATGATTATAACTAATAAGGTGCTCTACTTTATGCTAAAACTGAAGTCAGCCTGTATCAAGTTTCCCACTCACTCGCTTGAACGGATCGGTAAATACCAATCAAAAATGGTAAATACCATTTTCATTTGGTTATCCGCTTGAATTTGATTATACCTTGTTCAAATTTTGACAGTTGTCACAAATAAGATGGCCGTTGACGGCAGCAGTGTTGCATTCAAAGTTGCTGCGCGGGAAATTCAAAATGTCACTGACTTATCAAACGGCCCTCGTAGCTAAAAGTAAATATTATGTTGATCTTGTAAAGGAGAATAAAGAAAAGTATTATCGAAAAAGAATTATGAATACTTCAGAATATGATATCTTTGTGGCAAGTAGTTTCAAATATAACGCATAACGGGTGAGGTAAAATATATTTTACATATCGATAGATTATCGACCTTTTTATCAGTGCGCCGCTTTTGATCTGATTCGGATAGAAAAATAAATAAACAAATTACTGAATTTAATTAACAAAAAATTGAAAACAAAACGTCTCGTGACGATCACATCCCTCCTAAAACAGGCATTAGGCCATTAACATTCTTAATCAGTCTGTATTTTATCCAGAAATGTTAAAGATTGGTAAAGTATCTCCGTATAGAAATGGCAACAGAGAATGCTTGGAAAACTCTAGGCCTGTAACTGTACCGCCTTAACCATTTCATACAACATTGCAATATATTGAGCGACTATCATCATGTCTAACGAAATTACAGTTCAATCACGACAGCATTATTTCTCATTTTATAATAAAGGAGTAACTGATGGTGACAGGAGAAAGTCATGCTGTCATCTTTTGTGATGTAAGCAGCTGTTTCGACTGTGTCGATCATTTTTCATTGCTTATGGTACTAGAGAGACATGGACTGAGGGGAGTGTCTTTGAAATGGATAGAAGGCTTTTGCTCACATAGAAAACAATATGTTTTTCCGCAAAAGCAAGAAAGAACAGTAACATCCAACATCTTATCTATAACTGCAGTGCAGGGATCGGTGCTAGGTCCATTAATATTTATATTGTATATCAACGGTATCACAGAAGTATTGAGGAATGTCCATCATACTATGTATGCTGATATGTACTAGATATTAGCAAATAAACGATCAAAAAAAAAGCGTCGAACCCCTTAATGTATACGTAAATGAATCATTGGTCAATGGCTATCTTATACAACCTACTCAAACAGCAAAATTTCTAGGAATTCCTTATGGTAATAATCTCAAGTCGCGCAGTGAGAGCTTGACATCAAAACCATATCCAGAACTCTCAGGGTGTTTTTCGTGTGGGCTTGACTGATAACTCCTTTATTACGCATGGTATCTAAAAAAGACACATTTTACTGCAGATTCGGATAGACCCTTCTAACTGAAGCATATAACCTACTATAGGGTTTGATTCCTAAATTGTTGAGATATTGGACAATATATCGAAAAAAAAACAGCTAGAGTACCGAATTTCAAGTTATAACAATTTCATGATCCCAAATTTCTCTCTCTCGTATCCACTACTGTTTCAGTTGTTTTATAGACTAAAAACTCAAATTAACGGTGACTCGAAATTTTAGAATGGAATATCCTGTACATTTTCACACTTTTCACAAGTTTTGTTTAGGTTTCTGGGAGTTTGTGTTAACGGTTTTTGAATTACAGTTAACCTATTTGTAAATCGGATATCAAGGTGAATAAAAAATATAATACCTAAAAATAAAAATAGCATTCAGTTAGTAACCGAAGATGGTTATTTTCAATATAATATCTACCTAGTGCAATAGTCGAAAAGTCAAGAAGGAGTTTTCGTATTTTTAACCAATTTTACGAACCTCCGTAAACCTCATATATAAAGGTCTGTGAAAAGATATAAACTAACTAAAAAATGAAAAAGTAAATAGTATGGAGAAAATACCATAAATTGTTTCTAATCAAAAATTCACTTCTCTAGCTGTAACAGTTGCGAAGCCACGAGTTGAGTGTTTTTTTTTCAATCTACTGGGCAATATCCATTAAAACTACACTAAATTGCCTTTTAAAAAATGTATGTTTGAATTACCACGTAGTTATACATCACCCAGTAGAAATTCGAATATTTTCCAAGGAGCAAGTCAGGAGCTTGTCGGCTAGTTTTTGTAATTAACTTTTTTAGATACCATGCA